ATGCGAATACAATGTCTCGCGTAGTGGTTGCTACGCTGACCTTTTGATTTTCGAGCTGGCTGTCGTTGGGACCGGTCAGCCTCAGCGCCATGCCCCGCGCGGGAACTGGTGAGAAACCAGAACAGTCGTCATGTGTGGTTCTGCGACATCGTCGATGGTTGAGTCGGTTCGTCGCCCCTTTCCGCCGCCACGAAACGAACGAACGATTGCTTGATTAAACCTGCCCTGACCTGACGTTGGACGAACAAGAAAATAAGGTGCCATCGCTGACGGGCGAGTCAGTCCCGATATCTCGCGCTGACCCAGGCACGAGAGAAGCGATCATCAGGCACTTGAGGCTCGTCTCAGGGATGGCTCGTCGCCAGGAGGCGGTGGGCATGCAGGTGGTGCTGAAGTACAGCCCATCTCCGGACCTAAAAGTCGTGATGGATGGTGCGGGTTGCCAGACACCGTTTCCTCATTCGACCACTCTCCAAACCCCGTCGTCCATCAGTGAAACAAGGGCCAGACCGGACGCCAGGCGGCCTGGGCCTGACCTGCACGTCAAAACAGAAGAATCATTTGACATTTCAGACATTGTTCTGCACCTCTGCTCCGCGGCCAGACCTCGAGGGGAATGCGGACGACTGCCTTGCCCGGATTGAGGACGTGGTACAGAACGTACAGAATGCTGGAAAGAGGAAAGACGACATGGCAGTTCGACGACGGCGGGCCCAACCACGGCCTCCGAAATGTCTTGGACTGGGTTCCGACTGCCAAGCACCCACCACGGAGCAGCGGCCTGCGGCGCATGTGGCCATCCATCATCCATCATCCATGGCTCTCAATCCGTGTAACGGCCTGCTGCCCACCCAATGAAAAGCCGGGCATGCGAGGCTGGAGGGGGGAACCGCTGACTCGCCGACCGAGAGAAGATCGGCCGAATGTGCGATTCACGTTTGAACCGTGAATCGTCTGTTCAATGCTTGCTCTCTCACCGTCGAGCGGTGACTGCCGAACATCCGTCGATCTCTCGCCGGATCAGGACTGATCAAGGGTCCATCCATACCTGACCGAACATCGCACACCTGGGGAATTCTCACTTGTCGACTTTGTGGGAGATGGGATTCCCGTCTCGTTGGCGGCTAGCGCATCGTTTTGGTTGAACCGCCAAAACGCCCACTGGCGTACGAACGAATACGCACGCCAACAGCCACGCCGTGCTCAGGACTGGCTCTTAGCAATCTGTCATATCTGCACCGGTCGAGCCAGCTGTGGACTACTGCATCTCTGCTATTCGCTACTGTCACCTACGGGAGTGACGGCTTCCGTTGGAGCTGACGTTGGATATCAAACCAGGAGCTTGGGATGCAGGGACGTTGTCGGTCAGTCGGTCGGCCGGTCGGCCGGTCGGTCGCTCGGCGCAAAGAATATCCAGCATCCGAATAACCTCCCGTCCCATCCCACCCTCGACATACGAAACCCCAGTCGCTCGATAAGACGAATCCGGACGCGGTTTCCGTACATATCTTGATTGACAAGGCGCTACTCGCGCAAGGTTCGGATTCTCGCGGGATGCAGCAAACAAGGCTTCTCGAACCCTGAAGATCACCGCTTTGCCTCTGCCGAGTGTTCGCCGACACAAACATATTACTTACTGGGTGTTGGCCACATGATTTGAGCATGCAGCCGCTCTCTTGGAAGCGAGGAATGCCAAACTCCCAGCGTGTTCGTCTCACAGGTTCGCCGCTCGCCAGGGGTTGGGAGGCGATACGCCTATTGCTCGCTCACCGCTCCGTTCGCAAAATTCTTCTTTTTTTTTTCTCCTTCCTGCAGACTGGCACACACACCACGACGTCTCATGCAAGCAAGACCGCAGGCCACAATAGGACAAGGACGGACAGGGTTAACGGGCCTCGTTCCACTCGTACTGAGTGACGCTATTCCCAAGTCGTTCTAGCGGTTCAGACAGGGATTCGGAGCGAGCGCAGGCATGTGGTCCGTGCTGCTAAGGTATCGGCTCATGACGAGCGAAGGAAAAAAGGAGGGGCCATCTCGAATGGACCCTTGGGATGTGCCCCTCGATCTCGTGGGGAATTGCATCTTTTTAGCCATGACCGTGACCACCGTTGTTGGCTGCGAACCAACCAAACGCCATTCCCGCCTTCACCACGCCTTTGGAGCCTTGGACGACGGCATACGTATGCCGCAAATAGACGCCCTCTTCGTTTTGGCAATCTTCTATCCACCTTCGCGAAGGAAGCCCAAGTCCACGGGCTTAACCTTTGCGGGAGACCTCATGCATCTACTCTACTCGAATCCGGGACTGCTGGCGTGGGTTCTCTCGGTGCAAGTGCCGAGTAACCAGGGACGTGGACGCTCCGCTGGCTTGCTTCTTCTCCTCCTCGCTGTCCTCACCTGAGATGCCGTCTCTCATTCGAGCAGCGGCACATGGACAATGAAATGAACATTCCAAGTTTCTTATTCGACTCGGCAGCGCCCTCGCGCCTCTTCCTCCTCTACCTCCTCCTCTTCCTAAGCGGACGGAAAGGGCACCCCCACACTCTCTCATCTCGGAACTCTGCACCACATAAGCGTCCTGTCAGACCCCGGACCTTGTCTCGCGCCATGTACCACCGTCCCATCTCCGCTTTCGCACGTCAACAGTCGCTGCTGTGTTTTGTTTCTTTTGCGGGCATCGTATGAATATCAGCAGCCGATGATCTGACCTCGACACCACCAGGCATGACGGGCGTCATGCTGTGATGAGGGCATCGCGGGGAAGTCATCTATCGCCTCATGCACCACAATTCCAGGCTGAGCCCATTACACTACACATACGCACAGGTAAGGCGAGGCAAGGCAAGGCAAGGCACCCGAGGGTATCGTCGTCCACACACGTCTCGCAATTTTCCACACCGCAAATGCAAACCGCATATTTGCGCGAGCCTCTTTCCTCTGCCGTGCAACACACGCCCTCGCCCGCCCCGTGCCCTCGTGCCTTCGAATCCTCCTGCTTCATGACCGGAAGAGGCAACATGCAGTCACTCAAAATCAGGCACTTAACGGCTCTGCCTCCCTCGCCTCATGCCGGCGCCCGGAGCCGCGATCTCGGAGGTGGAGAACGAGATCGAGTCCTCGTCTGCACGTCCCCTTGACCTTTCTTTCGCCTTACGTACTCGACCGGCTCCGGTCTGCCACCAGCAGACGCAGCAGACGCCCGCCCTGCGATACCAGACGATAATGACATGGCGCCGTTGGTCGTTCCACTCAATTCGGTGGGTCCCCCCGTCGGCGAGAGACCGCATTATCGCTCACACTGCTGGACAGGACAAACCCAGTCGAGGACGTTCCCTGATGACGGCATTGTTGGAACATTCCATGGCGGGGTGATGGAAGACCCCGAAGATGGCGGCAATCCAAGCCTCGTCTACTGCGTAGTCCATCACCCCGTCTGGACTGCGGAGGCGGGCTCCTTCGAGGACGTCCAATCCTTCTTGACGAGAAACCGCTCACATCACACCGCTCAACAGGCGAACTCGCCGGCTCACATGGCAATTCGCACCTGTTGCGGTCGGTGACCTTGGGAATGGCTTCAACTGAAGCTCACCACCCCGCACTGCAACCCAAGACGAGGCGATCGACAATCCTCTGGGTAAGAGACGAACGCTCGACACCGGCGTCGGCGGGCTCGCCGGACTCCTGCATTTCTTCAGCTAGCCAGCCCCCCTGGTTGCCATGTTTTTTGTTGATCCAGAGTTCGACGTGGCTTTGACAGGCAGGGATAGCCTCGTTCTGCGAGTTTGGATATATCCGTGAGGCTGACTGACCGCCACAGATCGCCAGCAACCGTTTTTTTCTCTCTCTCTACCATCCATCCCACCTACCCAAGTGGGACTGGACAGCTAGCAACCAACTTTTTTTTTCCTCACCCATTCCAACCACCACAGCAACGCAGACCACACAAGCCACATCCCAACCCCGACATTCGATTCACGATCCGATCCCGTAGTGTCCCGCCCGATTCGCGCCAGTGAAGATTCTTCTTTTTCTAATGGGCCTGTCGTCGTGCTGTTCCGTACACGTACACGTATCACACGTCTTTCTCACAGTGCTATAGTTCAGCCCCGCGGATATTGTGTCCCATACCCCCGCCGCCGCCGCCGTCGGAATCGACTCCGTGCATGTATGTCAACGGTACATGCGGTCCCTCCAGACGGTGTCGGGGAGACGGAGGGCGTGGTGATGCCATAATTGGGTCTGCCCGCCGATGATCAGGGACGCGGAGGGGAGGCGATCAGGGGCTCTATCGGCGATCGATGTGTGTGTATGGCTTGCCTTCTGACCCCTCTTCGTATGTTCCCACCGCCGCGCCTTGGATTGTGCTGTGGGTGATGTGGTGTTGGGCGATGGAGGGGCTGATGGATGTGGGATGTGATCATGACGGCTTTGTGACGGGACGTGGAAGTGTACGGCCAAGGCAGATAGCAGTTCGACGTGTCAGAAGAGGTCTATGATGGCGGTGTCGTTGGGACGAGGAGGGTTGAGGATGAGTGGTGCTTGCAGGCTCTGGACGGGAGGGTCTATCAGAGTTGTCTGCTGGAAGGTGAGCCATCGATATGTTGCGACGGTGACTGACGATGTCGTTGGGACGAGGAGGGTCGAGTTTGTGTAGTGCTTGCGGGCTCTGGACGGAAGGATGCAGTGTTGTCTGGTGAATCTGCTGTCTATCAGAGTCGTCTGTTGGAGGTTGCGCCGTCGACATATCGGAACGTGGAAGTTTCCATGCCGTTGGGCAACATGTCTCTGTGACCCAAGTCCGTGTTCTCGTCTTTTGATATTCATTCACGGGTTCTAAAGCTTCTCCTGTCCTGACGATGTCTTCTCCTTTGACTAATTGCACTTCCTTGAGTATAACGCCATTGACATGCCTTCTCCCCATGCCCAACTCCTCTCGAGATCTGTGATGTTGATACACTGTCGACACAATATCCTACAGACGTACGTGAGCCGCCTCCGCCTCACCTCTTCATCACATCAACCAGCCGATCCAAAGCCCTCCCCTCGTCCAGCGCCCAGCACGAAGCGACATCCAGCTTCAACTTCTCCCCGCCCGCCTCCATCTTCATGAACCCGCTCTTCGTCAGCGCCCTCTGCACCCCGAACCAGGCCTCCTTCAACCCCCTCCCCGCGTGCCGTATCGGCACCGTCATCATGTGCTTCTTGTCGTACTCCCACTCCTCCCGCCTCTTCCTCTCCGCCGCGCTCGAGATCTGCTCCGCGCTCCGGAACGGGCTCGCCGGCTGGTACACGGCGAACGGGATCCTCACCTCCTCGGGCCGCACGAAGATCTTCTTGGCCGGGCCGGGGAGGAGCTTCTTCACGCGGATCTCGAGCAGCAGCGGCGTGGTCCTCGGGTCGACGCCCCGCGGCAGCGCGCCGGCGCGGGCGAGGTGGGCGGTGGGCACGGCGTGGATGCTGCGGACGATGTTGTGGGAGGCGCGGAAGAAGTAGGAGCCGAAGCCGGTGCAGGCGACGCAGGCGGCGACGAAGGCGTACGAGACCCAGGGGCCGAGCTGCTCGGTGCGGTCGGCGACGAAGTCGCGGAAGATGCCGTAGTTGACGAGGCCGTAGCCCCAGAACATGGCGGCCGCGCCCCAGGTCGAGATCTTCATCCAGAGGTGCGAGCCGGACTCGTAGAGCAGCGTCGGCGTCTTGTTGTGGAGGAGGGTCCGGATCACGGGGATGGCGGCCGGGTTGGTTGTCAGGGAGGGGGGGATTGGTGTCGTTGGTGTCGTTGGTGGTGGTGGTGGTGTTGATGTTGTCTTGATGGCGGGTTTCGGTTTCGTGGAGTTGAGCGCGGACTTGAGGAGGGACGGTGTCTTTGTTGGTTTCTTCGGTGGGAGGGTCGTCTTCTTCGGGGCGGGTTTGGAGGATTTGAGGAGGGGGTTGCAGGTTGTGAAGAGGCGTTGTTGGAGGGGTCGCGCCGCGAGGGGGGCGGTTCTGGAGGTGAGGCGCATGAGGCCGATGCCTCTAGAGGAGGCAGCCATGATGGCCTATGTCGTCTGTAGACTAGATACAACAGCCGGAGGTGACTTCGGGAAGAGAACCGCCGTGGTTCGGAGCTCAATTGGCTTTCGACGTCGTCAGACCATTTGGGAGGTGATGTGAAGCTATCTCGAAAAATTCAGTGGAGACTTGGGCCCAGGTCCGAGCTCTGCAAAAGACCCACATCGAAAATGCGACCGTCCAATCTGCGGCAGGGGTTTTTTCCCTTCGGAGCCCGGCGCAACGATACGGCGCCGTTGAGGGTTCGCCCGGGGCCGGATGGAGACGTGACGGCCGGCTTTGACGGGGCGATCGTTCACGCTATTGCTGTAAGAAGTTCAGATGTAACTGCAATTCCGAGTCATGGTCGCTTCTACCTCAGTTTATTCAATGTGTTCACAAACTAAAGATTGTTCAAGATAAAGCCGGCGGATGTCGTTGTTATTGGCGGCCGGTACAGAATACCCCCGTCACTTATTCCCGAAAGTCGGGACACCAAAACCGCGCAGGTACCTAGGTACGTACCTCTTTCGTCCCGTCAAAATCCAACGGTCCGGCCAATGGAAGCCAACAAGTGAGCGGGCGCCGGCAGGGTCATGGCCCGTGCGCCGCGACTTTACAATTCCCTCGCCGGCGGGAAATCCCAACAAGGTGGGTGCGTTAGCTCACGCCAAAGCTCCAATTTGGTGGTGTCTCGACAATTTTTGAGAAAAAGATTCCCAAGACCGGGGGGGTAGTATCCAGCGCCGCCGCGAAGACGTTCTCGAGAGGCTGTATCTCAACCCACTTTACATCCCTTCTTTCTCCGAACCGCCCACGCAAATCAACAACCTCCCTCCCGCACGAGTTCGAGCCTGCCAATTGAGCAACGCATCCCGCTCAGCCTTTCGTTCCGGTCGGTTGAAGGTTTTCCAATTTCGAGATGGCTTCCCTTGCGACGGCGTGTCGTCTCTCGGCGAGGGTGGTTGGCCGGAGAGTACCCGCAGAGACCAGAGGTCCGTACAGCTGAGCTATCCCCCTCCGATCTCCGATGACCAGCTGCTGCATCGCAACAGCTCCCAATCGCCAACAGAAAAGAAAAAGCCCTGGAAGCTGACGTGCCCTCCTCTCTCTCGAACAGGCTTCCGAAGCTCAGCACGATGCCTCGCCGCCCAGAACTTCTCCATGCCCGCCCTCTCCCCGACCATGACGGAGGGTAACATCGCCAGCTGGAAGGTCAAGGAGGGCGAGTCCTTCTCCGCCGGCGATGTCCTCCTCGAGATCGAGACCGACAAGGCCACCATGGACGTCGAGGCCCAGGACGACGGCGTCATGTTCAAGATCACCACCGGCGACGGCGCCAAGGCCGTCGAGGTCGGCACCCGCATCGCCGTCATCGCCGAGCCCGGCGACGACCTCTCCTCCCTCGAGATCCCCGCCGACGACAAGAAAGCCTCTTCCTCCTCCGCCCCCAAGCCCGCCGAGAACAAGGAGGCCCCCAAGAGCGACACCCCCGAACGCCGCGAGGCCCCCCAGGCCCAGGCCGGTTCCAACGCAAAGGGCGGCGCCCCCCGCGAGCAGCGATACCCCCTCTACCCCTCCGTCCAGCACCTCGTCAACGAGCACGGCCTCGACAAGGACGTCGTCAGCCGCATCGAGCCCACGGGCCCCGGCGGCCGTCTCCTCAAGGGCGACGTCCTCGCCTACCTGGGCTCCATCAACGCCGAGACCCCCAGCAAGATCATGGACCGCGCCGTCAAGATGTCCCACCTCGACCTCAGCAACATCAAGGTCGCGCCGAAGAAGGCGGCCGAGGCCCCGAAGAAGGCCGCCGCCGCCGCTCCTGCTGCCCCCGCCGCCCCCGTCGAGACCGAGATCGCCCTCCCCGTGTCCCTGGCCAAGGTCCTCGAGGCCCAGAAGCGCATCCAGTCGACCCTGGGCGTCTTCATGCCCGTCTCCACCTTCGTCGCGCGCGCCGCCGAGGTCGCCAACGACGACCTGCCCCCCTCGGCCCGCAAGCCCACCGCCGACGAGCTCTTCAACCAGGTCCTCGGCCTCGACAAGCTCGCGCCCCACGGCACGAGGGGATACTACCTGCCCCAGATCTCCGCGCTCCCCGAGCCGTCCTTCCTCGCCAGCGCCCCTCCCCGCGCCTCGCCCAGACGGGGCGGTGATATCATCGACCTCCTCGCCGCTCCCAAGAAGGCTTCTGCCCCTGCACCCAAGCGCGTCGCTGCCGCCGGAAGCATCTCGTCCGATGGTAACCTCTTCAGCTTGACCGTGCCTCGGGGCGATGAGAAGCGTGCCAAGGTGTTTTTGGAGAGGGTCAAGATTATTCTCGAGGAGGAGCCCGCGAGGCTTGTGTTGTGAGTTTCAAGAGGGAGGGACGAGTAGGATGGGGGGATGTGTTTTGAGTGTGTGGCGTTAGAAGAAAGGGCCACCGGCGAGAAGAGGTTTCCCGGTTGATGGGGAATGTACTTGTAGCATGTCGTGGACGGAAACCGATAGATGGCATATACACCCAATTTTTCCAATTTATTCATTGCATTGAGAAGAACGATAGATTATGAGGCACACTTCAGTGGTAACAATACTTCGTCTGATTCTTCGTTCAAAGCCAGGCACTTTTCAAAGCATCCTCGGAAGGTCAAGATGCAACCAAATACTGCCGTTTGATGAGACCATCAAGCTGGAGATGCGGTCCTGATCAGACAGAAGTCTTGGGCCGTACTGTTTCTATCTTGTGACGACCTCATCTGAGGTGGCGTCTTCATGAGACAGAAAGACTGAATGTGTATGTGTAATAGGCAGCGTTCATCTGTCTATAAAACTGAAGCGCACTAGCATCGACTCCGCTAGCTCAGCCCGCGGCGGAGTGAGCGGCGTATTGGTGTCTGTTTCTTCATGGCGTTCATGGTGAAGCCAGTGAAGTTACATCTTTATTCTAACTTGGGTCAATGTTACGTTTTACAGTCGAGTGGTTCAATCTCTGCTGTGCTTCTTCGTCCTCGTCGGGGTATTCGCTCGGTATGCGTCTGGTGAGTTCAGTCCTTCCGGTTTTGTATGCGTTGGTATCTTCTACGTCTCTTCGATTGCCTCTTATTGATGTTGTGTGCAAAGTTAATCGAGTCGTCACGCTTGCAACGTCTGCGATGCGGCAAACTTCAATACTGTACTCAGAACTATATAGCTAGCATAATGGGATGTTAATTCATCAAGATACCTCTCGCACTGTCGATCAATTGGAAGGTCCCATGACTGATGTGACTGAATTTGCCTTTCGTAATTGACATGTTCTTCCTTACCCTTGGTATCGTATCTTACTCTCACTGGTAGGCTGAGTTAAGTTTTCGAGTACCATTGGTTCTTGGCGGCTGGAAATGACACTTCCATCATCCCAGCAAGCCAACAGGAGAACGTTTTGAGTGAGACTTCTAGGTCGAGCGCGTTCGAGGTATCTTGGGCTACGAGCGCTTCGTATGGTGTCCTGGTCGCGGTGAACTCTCCTCCGAATTCCGGGAGTGAGAACACTTCGTCGACACTTCGTCCGGGATAGTCAATCCCGTTATACAACAGTGCTGCCTTTGAGAGTGTCAAGATACCGCGAAAAAGGTAGAGGAGAAGCTGTTTGATGATAATCTAGTCGCAGATGCGGCCGACAGAGGTTTGAGCTAAACTTCGCCATCCGATCCTACGTGAAGTGAAGCCCGAATACGAAGCAACGAGCGAGTACAAGAAGCAGCACGCAGTCGCTTGTTTTCGAAGAATGCGACAACGACCTGGAACCTATCAAGTCTCATGGTTGCGCGCAGTATGCGGTCTGTTGCGATGCGATTAGATCCAGGGATGGGTATCCTCTTTCTGCGAAATCCGACTGTCGCATTCAGTCTTGCTGGCTACGGCTGGGTGCTACGGCTGCGTGCTCCGTTCTCTGGCGAGCTTCGTCTTTGTTGGGGTATTTGCTGAATACGCCCGGTAAGCTTACTGATTCGATGATATAGGTACCGATATCCCAGCGCCCTTTTCGATCGCATGGGTGTGGTGAATCGAGATTGGTGGTCATGTTATTAACCGATGACGATGACGGTCTTGCTCATTTGTCTGGCGGTGCAGTTCAATTCAATATTCAGTTCAAACTTATACAATTACTGACGCCACATCTTGAACTGGCCGGTGTGGGACATTCAACAGGATAATAATTCTCATTCGAGCCTGGTAGTCTGACCTTGCTCATACGCCTGCAGCACAGTTTTGACAAGGTAACGTATTGATATACCCATGTAATTAAGCATGCTTCTTGCATGATAAGGGCCTTTGGTAAGTGCGAATGGGAGCTTGACATCTCACTTGTAAGGGCCAAGGAGTAGGTTTGTCGGCACAAAATCAGGGAAGCCTTGAGTTCATAGACTCTGCAGGGCTTCTGTATCTATTCGCCGAGGCTATCCTGAAGGATTCCTTCTTCTCATGTATTCAGGACGGACCAAGAATACCGTGATGAAGAACCCGAGGTCTCGATAAAGGCAATGTCATCGTTATCTTTGGGGCCGTCCAAGTGACGCAAGTGCTGGGAAGGCTGGTGAGTTATACACGGTCGAATACCAGAACGACTTTGAAGAGAAACAGAGATCATTGGCGATTTTTTTGCGACGTCTTGCTGCCTTGGCCATCACCAACCGCTCTGTATTCGCACTACTACCGTATTTCAGCCGTTTCCCCGTTCTGTGAAATCTCAATTGAGCACCATTTGCCTTGTTGGAGCGGTGTAGTCTCAACCATCTCCCACTCAACTCCTGAGCTTACTGTTGGCAATCATTGAAACACAGTCGATCTCCTCTAAACACCCAACATTTAAGGGCCTTCGCCCAGCATCTGGGCCAACACAACCCGACCACGGGCAACGGCGTCGTTGGCTGCTTCGTCTTGGCAGACGAATGTTGCCTTGTGAAGCTCTCGAGTGACAGTGAGTCTCACCGATACTGAACTCTCAGATGCATTTATAAGCTGGTGACAGAGTGAGCTGGCCCATCGTCGTTCGTTCCCGGTTCTCTCTGTTTTGCGTTTATCACGCCCTCGCCCGTTCGAGCTTCGCCCATGACTGGTCTCTGATGAGGGGTACTTTCAGCTGTAAGGATTTCATGTCGGCAGGTCGATCAATCGCTTATCTGAGAAGCTAAGAGGAGACGAAGGATCGAATTGGAATTGCCTTGGTGCAACGTCCGAAGAACTTCTTGAGCTTTATATAATTTACACTGAGTTACTTGGTACCCTGGCAAAGGAATAGAAAGAGGAGACCTGGTGTGGTCAGGCAGAAGACGCACTACCCTGGTGAGGATATCACAGAGCCAGAACGTTTAGATGAGACTTGAGTGTGGAGACAAGATTCCTTGCAACCATGATCTCTGCAGAGGCAACTACTTTCAGTATGGAAGCACTGGGATTAGTCCTGATAACATGAAACTACCTTTAGCTACTAGGTAACTCAATGCAACACTACGCTTGTGTCCCAGTTGGGAGACAATTGGCAGGGTTTCGGACCAAGTACCTCCTGAGACCGACAACACCAGCTTCATACAGCCAAGAAGATCCGAGATCATGGAGTATACGTGTGAGGAGATAGATAAAATGCGATACGAAGCACTTCTTGCTGTCATCAACACCAGATTGGGCAACAGCGCTTGCTGACTGCTACTGAGCATTGTGAAAGGGCATGAAGTCCGGGTTGATTTGCGCTTCGTATGACCGTCGAACTCAGAGTATCATTCTGACTCCCCATTAACCTGTCTGCCCTTCTCCGTCTTTGTTGTCCCCATCTTATTCCATTGGAAACTCCGCTTGAGAGCCATTGCAAGCGTGGATCCCGGTATCCGAATCAAGAGCAGCCGATCAGTTCATGCAAAGACTGCGATGTTTGGTGTTGCGAGTACGAGAACACAGAGCACATCGCATGGAGGAAACACAATGCCAGTATTCGCTGAAGATACATCTGGTCAGCCGAACCCGGCTGTCTGGAAGAGTAACAGCGGGCGGATAAAAGAGCTCCACAGGAGGTAGTAGTATTGAGTCAACATTGCATACAGGACAACATCGCTTGCCTGGAATAATGATGACAGCACGAAAGGCAGAGAAGGATCTCATACACGGGTAACGGGACATTGCTCTGAGACTCGCAGGATCACCAACTGCTCTCTTGGCTCTTGTCGTCCCCGCCATTCTCGTACTATTGTATGCCCAGCGTGTGCTTATTCCTCCATCCATAACCGGTCTGACGTACGATGGTTGTCGGAATTGGATGAACAACAATACAATCGCCCTCAGAGACGCACATATGATTGAGTGTAAGACATGGCCGGCAACGCCATATGTGTCGCTGGTGCGTACTCTAGTTTTTGTTATCCACTTTTTAAGGCAAATAAAATCACAGAAGACAAAGTCAGCTTGCTATGACCGACTCATAGAGTACTGAGTGTTGTTGAAGCCGTGTTTCCGTGTTGAACGAAGGCAGAAGCGGTGTTGTTTATAAGTCACTCGATTCCACGGCAAACCCTGAGACTCAAATGTCTGATTGTAGAAGAGAACATCGAGATAGGGTGGTTTGCAGAGTTATAACAGTTCGCAAATAACTCTGGTCTTGAGGAATGTCGGGAGAACATTGGTCTAATTCCAGTCCGTAATGGAGGTCAGCGTTATGAGGGCGGTTAGGGGAAGTTGCCAAGGAAGTAAGTACAGCAGCGGCCCCTTCAAGCAACTCCCATGCTGTCCTTCTTCTCTTCCTGTTTATCACCAGCATGAACTCTCGCATAGTGATTAAAGGTCGATCTTGGAGAACCAAGAGAGACATCCTAGTCATGCCGTCTGGAGAGACCGTGCCTCGTGCTGTCAGACATCCTGGTATGACAAACGAGACGATCCAAACCATCCTTTTCAGTTTCTGGTGGCATCGCCAGATTTTCAGTGACGAACTGGTGATATATAGAATAAAAGCAGAGCTGAAAGCTGTGACTCCCTGGGCACATGCATCTTGCAACTTTGACAGCTGGGTTCATTCCATACTGCATCTGATCGCCCAACAGATGGGAAACCCAGTTCGCAAAAGGGTTGTAAGTCGGAAAGCGAGAGAACGAAAAGGTTCTGGAGCATTTCTCCAGACCTACGTCTATACGCTGCCTTTATATCGCGCTGCGCTCTTATTATTCATCATCTTCCGGTCAATATTCGTTACGGAATAAGACTCGACAACTCACATAGCCCCCGTGTCCAGTTTCATCACCAGTAGTGGACCGTCGCCGTCGCCCTTCATCAGTCTGGCCAGCATCCCAGCGCCCAACACCGCGTTCGACGGGCTAGGTTCATGCGTGAGAACATGACGGCGACCAACCTCATTACCTACGGCAGCCGCGTCTTCCGCATCCAGCACAATGCCGCCAAGCAAAAGCACGACCCCCCGCCTGCCTGGACATGATGGTCAATTACTTCAGTCCTCTCGGCGCTTGTTGTGTATCATAGAATCTACCGCCAGACATCGTGCCTGGAAGCACCCCGAGATGCCGATTTGGCTAAAACTCTGGGGATTGGGTCTGAACAAGAAACTTGGCACGACTCAACAGAGACTTCTCGCGGTGACTTCGGCATACATCTATCGACGACACAGGACAAGGAACATGATTTGACTACTAAAGGTTTGACCTTCGCCTTCTGGACGACCGCACCCAAGCTCATTACATGTTGCTGATACGGCCCTACCGTCTCAGCACATTCGCCCAAGTTACGTCAGGAATCATAAGATATATCGAGTGGCAAACCAGCTGGTCATTGTGTTACTCACGCCGAAGCCAACATTGCAGCTTCATATGACGCTGCGTTCCAAAGACCAAGATAAATAAGCCGGGGATTCCTGGGGCCGTGGCCGTAGCGTAACAGACATATAAAAGCAGCCTCGGGCGCTTTGAACATGTTTTCCAAGCTTGAAAGAAAGATTTTCGAACTCAACATAAGGTAGATATGTGTCACTTCGATGGGGACCACATCAGCTGTAGCTTGTACAACGTGCCGGGGGCCGCAGAGAATCCTCAATTGAAGCTATCATGGTGTTTTGCCATTCTTCTCCTCCAGAGTCCATCACTTGTGACTTATTCAGCCATCGAATGGTACGCGAACGCCAGCCTCATGCTCAGAGTAGCTCAAAATCGCGGTTGACATGGTCGAGACCAATGTATCCAGTGATTCGATACTGAGGATTCCTCAACTCCATCAGTCTTCAAATTTGCCAATTTGGATATCGAACATCTGATCTCGTAAAGAATTACCGATGTTTGGTTCGACATAGCCATTTATCAGGACACCGGCCGTCAGCAGGGCGGGCATAGCGGCTAGGATCCCTCAACTCTGTAGGAGCACTGGGTTCTTTGTTTATATCGCGCACATCGGATCTTGCGCTCTTCAACAGATCCATATTGTTGTCTTTGAAGCTGTTCCCGTACGATGGAGGTACCGATGATACGACAGTATGCCTTGCAAGGAAGCACTTGAATGGGTACACTAGGGCCGCGAGAAGTGATCCAGCCCTCTGGGAAACCCTTACGCTTGTCGTCCATCAATGCTGGTAGTTGGAGCTTATTCGTCGCCGAGTATTCGGGATTGGCAGAGGGACTGAGTTCCGAAGAGCCTCGTCATGATTACTCCTGAGAAGTCTTCTGGGGGTTGGTTCTTAATCGGAATCCCATCAGCCCGCGCAGCAAACCTGAATACAATCTCAACCAAAAGCGCTCTCTTCATTTTAGTCAACGTGCCATCTTGGAGCAGCTTGTGTTCACATATCCGGGATCATCAAGAGGCTGTGCGGGACAGGGAAAAGTACATTGTTCCAAGTGTCTGCAAAAACACACATGAGGTGTGAAGTTGATATTATCTACCGACGTTTCGCCACAAACTCCTCCAGGTCGACATGAACCCGCAACCCCTTGGAGGCCATCGTATTAAACACAGAGCGAAGCTCGAACTCATCCATGACGTTGATGAGCGTCGTGTACGCCTCGAGAGCCAAGTCCTTCGACCACGGACAGTGTCGCAAGCCCCGGAAGAAGACGTCCTTGGCCTTGGGCCGGAACTGCTTCGTCGCGTAGCTGAACCTGATGTAGCAACGCCAGAAGTCAGGGTTGGTTCTGCATGCTGGACTATCGAGCGCACGCTCAAAGGCAGCTTGTGTGGAGTGAATATTTCCTCTTTCCAGCTCGTAGCGAATCGCAAAGATGCGGTTGCTGATGGAATCGTTGGTATCTGTGAGTGCGACTTTGCGGAGGATGTCGCGGACTGGGTCGTCAATGCCGAATGTTGTTGATGCCCAAGAGAATAGGGTGAGAAAGGCGGTGTTGCGTGGGAATAGCTCAATGCACTGGGAGAGCTGATCTCTCAGATATGTACGCCGGAAAGGCCTGGAAGTGTTAGAGACGAGAAAATTGTTGGCAGTTGAAGTCACTTACCCTCGGCTGGCATGGTGGTAGAGGAGCCTCGCGCCGGCTTGCAAGAGCCTTTCGTGGGCCTGCGACTTGGCTAGGCCTTGCGCGCACAACTCAGAAGAGACAGTCCATACTCTCTCCATCGCCATTGTGATGCTTCCCTGCGCCTCGGAGGTGGGCTCTGAGGTTTCCTCTAGTGTCAGGTACACCAGCATCGCGAGACATTCGGCAGTCAGGACAGCATCGTCCAACTGCCTCGTGGAGAGGTGCCGTTCGAGGGTGTCTAGTAATATCTGACGGGCTTTCAGAAGTTGCGTAGAAGTTGGTGCGACCAGTCCTGGCGTGTTCCTCAGAGACTCGTCAACTGCCGCACACAGACGCACCACAGCTGACGTCCTGTTTCCAGCTGAAAGTTCCATCCATGCCCACGTCTTCCAGAGTATCAGTCCTTGAGCATGGTTCGAAGTCTGCGAGCAATGAGTCAGTGATTGTACAAGGAAGGCGCGAGGTGGTGAGCACTCACAGACAGCAGCCCAGTTGCCGACTGTACCACCTGTCGCCCAACATCCATGTTGCCATAGCCAAGCTCAGCCAAGGCATATGCGTTGTAAAGCCCCAAGTTGGAGGGGTTCTGTTTGATGAGAGCCTTGGCACGCTTCTTGATGCTACTTGGTTCATTGACCACATCCACAGCCAAAGAATATTCCGCTAGTTCTTTGCAGTTGCCCAGCGTTACCAACTGTCGAAGAGCACTTGCAATCCATGACAAGTCGACAGGGCCGCCTTCGGTTCTGGATATAGTGGCCCATCCACATAGATACGGAAACCAGTCGGAGCCAGCGAACAGCAAGTCGGACGAGACGGCGAGCCGCGATCCGTCCTGTTTGAAAATGGGGACCCTTTTGGTTTCGTCCATGACTTCCGGGTCATTGGGCCTCCGAGTCACGTCCTTCTCGAACATGCCCAAACCACCAATAATCAGCGCATCATCCTGTGCAGATTCCGTCCACTCGCTCGAGCGAAACGCTGGAGGTAGACAGCAGAACAGGAGAAACCCATCAACAAGCTGTTTCCAGACTGCTGAGATAATCTCGCTTGGTATGACAAAGAGAAGCTCCTCAATGTCGGAGAACATGACAACTCGATAGGGGTCGTCCTCGAAGACATCATCCGTAGCGCGGCCGGGAGTTCTAGAGACCGTTGCTCGGTGTCTCTCAGTCGCACCCCAAGACTTATACACATCCCGTGATTGTGCAACAACCTCACTGTCGCGGTGTGATTCAGGGGCGTCGACTGACCCATTTGCCTGGACGTAGTGATGCCATCCGCGCGCGTTCTTTTCTCCTATTCTGGATCCCTCCTCTTCCCAGAAGTCCCGGAACGAGTCGATAACTTCTGAATCTGGCATCGCCTCATGACTTGTTGGCCGTTGTAGATTGAGTTCCAGAAGCGCCTGCCATGCTGCAACCGCCAGTTCACGGTACCCAGCGTCGTATATGAACCTGGTAGCTCTAAGGAAGACGTATATCATTTGTGCATATCGTGGCGCCGCAGCGTCATTTGTGCTGTGGCCTGGCCCCGGGGAAACCGACACGGACGCTTGTTTGGCAACTGTTCGCAGTCGGTCAATGTGCAAGGACTTGATGTCGTTGTACTGGAATGTCGTCAAGCTTGTGAGCCTGTGATCGATCCTTGCTTTCCAAAGACAGAAGCTCGAGTCGTGATTTTTTACCAAGTCCGCCCACTTGCTATCAAGCTTCGATGAAGACCATACCTTGGCGCCTTCCAGCATTAAACCAAGGAGTAATCGCTCTTCGTCTTCGGGCTTCTTCGTCTGTGCCAGGGCGGACTCATACATTGAAATCTTGATTTCCGCGAAACTGTGTATCTCGGCCTTCGTCACCTCGTGATTAATGCTCTCGCTGGCTTTCAAGAGGACGTCTTGGTGTGCAATGAGGTTGAGCCAGGCTGGGATGTCTTCGGGGCGTTCCTTGACCTGGCGTGATAGCTGTATGGAACGCTGTTTCAGAGGCTCATCTGCATCGAGGTTCAAGCCATCGTCCTGGTCGCTGTCGTAGTCGAGATCGCTGTCGGAGAATTCGTGTGCCTTTGCCTTGCCCTCGATCGATCTGTATGAGGGTTCCTCATCTCCGGAAGGCTCAAGCTCTTCCGTATGGCGGCGTTTTGAAGACCTGCTCAGCGGCACAAAGTCCTCTTCGGCATCAGTCTTAATCTCCTGGGAGATCTCTAGCGGCCGTATGCGTTTTGTCTTGAGTCGGTGAATTTTGTGTTGGAACAAAGATCTGTCTCGCAAGCTGGAGTTTCCCTCACCCGGCCGCCGAATGCTAAATTGCTCTCGGGGACCATCTCTGTGAATGACAAGAAAGCCATCGGAGCCAAGGATTCGACCACGGCCGCCTCGACGGTACACAGGTACACGGCCATGATCGTTGCCGCCATACCTCCTGATCAGGGGATCGCCCTTTTTGTCAACGAAGAAACAAGCATTGCCAGGTTTGTCTTCTACTGCTATCGCTTTTGCAGGATGGGGGTTTTCAGCGAAGATTTCTCGATCCCTGCTGCGGCTCCGGCTGCGTTTGCGATCACGATGACGGTGCTCCGAGCGATGCTCATGACGGTGCTTTCGGCGGTCGTCACGGTGTCGAGATCCATGCCGAGATCGACTCTCATCGGCTAAGTCATCGGCTCCGTCTTTTCGGCCGTGGGCGGCTTCACTAGATGACTGTCGAGCCGACGGCGCGGGAGTCGAGGCCTTGGGCTTGAAAGACGAGAATTTGGGCACCGTCAACTTCTTGTCCCCGTTGTCTGACATGTCGCCAGTCTGCGGCTCACCGGGTCATAATTAAGATGCGCACAGTCAGATATTGGGGGCGGTGGCGGCCGCTTGACCTGGATGACAGGCCGCAGAATGGTGCCACGCGAGGTATAGACGCCGGCGTGTGGCGCTGAGACTATTGTCGTGAGAAGATGAGGTTCCCGTCGTTGAGCGCGTCCGTCGTGTTGAACGGTGACAGAAACGGAGGCGTGGATGGTTGGCGAATCAAAGCTCGAAGACGTCGGTGAGGCTCTCAAGGTGCGTGAGATTGACAGCTTAGGTAATGCAGTTGACGGTGGACGGTGCATCAGCGCCCCAGAACGGTGTAGCACGTGTCTAGACTCGACGGGAGGTACGGTATCTGCAACGGCCGGGGGTTACAGTGGTACCATCCACGACTCAGAGCCAGTGAAATAGAATGGGGCGTTCAGCTAGCGGCTTCTGGGGTTTGAGCTGCGGAAATCATACTGGAAGCAGACCTAGCCAGGCCCGGGATATTGGATATTGTCAGGGCCTTGTTTTTAGCCTGCTGTTTTTGGATTCAATCATTCGGAAACGAGGTCAAAACAAACTGACTGGTAGGATGGTACAAGAATAGTTGATGCGATGGTAAGAAGAACGGCCATGTTGAGGAATTCTTGTCATCGATAAGCGGTATCCAGGATTGAGACAGCTTCTCATTTTTTGATAGTCATTTGATACAGTCCCTAAAGTAAGGCACCTCGGCTACTAATGATCTGGAGGAATAGCTAGAAACACTGGCTCCGCGCCAAAACTCGGAACGTTCCAGACGGCAGAGACGCAACCTGCAGCCACCCTTTTCCCCATGCCTGGCGTTGCAGCGGAGAGCCGGGCGCGGGATTGACTCATGATTGGCCGGAGATGGCGTGCGGAGGAGGATTTTCGTTACTTTGTACCCGCGTCGTAAACGGTTGTAGGGATTATGCAATCTCAGGGTCCTCGATCTGACCGTTTTGGCGGAAAATGCGCCAAACTGCGGCCAATAACCACCTTCAAGTGGATGGTCACCAGGTGCTATGACGTCCACAGCCAAGACTTTCTGCCTCTTTAGTGCTTCCTTTTCCACCGCTACAATCATTTGCAAGCACTGGTCTGCGTGTTGGGTGGATCACGCCCTCCTCAACTTACCGCGCGTGCCCGGTGCACAGCCCGCCGGGGTGAGAATGAAAGTGGACGGGGACAAGACCGTCTGTCGCATTTTGTTTCTCGCTTCTTCCGATGGACCTGGATAGACATATCGACGTCGGAGGAACCAAGCGGAGACGGTCCAGACACCTGTTGATGATTCTTTTCTTCTTTCCACCCTTCAGCTCGACTCCTTCATCTCCCGTCAGACTCATCGCCGCCCGAGCTGTCGTCTAATGGCCACCCGAAGCCAAGAAACTGCCATGTCTCGCTCGCGATAGTCATCCGCCCTACACCTTCGTCGCATCTGACACCGAGCCCCTCGACGTGATCACCTTTCCGCCGCACCCATTCCAACCTCAACCCTCCTCGTACTTTGCTGGAGTGATCTGGACCGACTCGATATTACTTCACGTGCAGACCTCCAGCCTGCCTTGAACCTTGTCTCCTCGGTTGCTCGCCCGACTTGTCAAAGAAGCCCAAGTCCAGGCAAAAACACTCGCCTCCAACCACCATCGGCACCACACCCCTGAACCTTCCATAAGTGTCTAGCTTGCACTTTACCTACCTTACCTCGACGACCTCGAACGTGTTCTGTGCTATCAAGTTTATCCCATCTCGTGGGCGGCGAACCTCGTGCTTATCATCCACCAGCAAACCTTTGGACGATTAGTGAGAGCGAACCCAATCAAGCCAGCTTTGAAACAGACCCGAGAACTTTAACGGCTCAAGCCGCCTTCCATCCGCACATCAAGCCCTATCATGGCGACCTTACCAGACGACGACGCGCCCTCGGCGCCTCCATCACCAACAAGCACGAGAAGGCCGAGATTCGACCGGACAGGCTCGCTCGGCGACCCGGACGAGCGGTCGCCTTTGCTCTTGAGCTCAAGATCCCGCATCCGCCGCCCTCAGCCAGGTCCAGATAGTCCAAAATTTCTCACACCACGCCTGTCGAGGAACCACAGCACCGCAGGTAGGTATCGCCGGCTCTCACATGCTTTGCGTGCACCGAGAAACTATCCCAGCTAACCCATGTCCTTGCCATCCAGGTAGCATCAGGAGCTTGCACCACAGTCGCAACCCGTCTTTCGGCCAACGCTTGTCTCACGCCTTCAACGATTACCCGGAACCTATGTCCGAGTCGAAACGATCGATCCTAACCGATGAACGAGTTTGGTATGACCAGTTTACATCAACCGACTGGGTCCATGATAACATTATCGATGCCCACCGAGTCAAGGCTATCAAAATGCGCAAGGATTTCTGGGGGAGGATATACGCCGTTTTCGACGCCTCGCAAGGCTGGATTCTCAGCGCTGTTTGCGGCTTCGTCGTTGCCCTCGTCGCTTACGTCGTTAATTTGTCCGAGGCTACGGTTTTCGATTTCAAATACGGATACTGTGCGCGGGGCTGGTACATTAGTGAGAAGGTGCGTTTCTTCCCTCTCGGAGATAGGTCCGGAGATGCTAATACCTCCGCAGAACTGCTGTCCAAAAGGCACCTGTGACGACTGGCGAACCTGGTCTGAAGTCTTGAGCTTCTGGCCGTTTGGGGATGTGGGAACTGAGTTCACTATTTACCTCTTCGGAGGCATCTTCTTGGCCTGTACGGCCTGCGCGATGACGTTGACCACCAAGACGGTGGTGCCCTCGGCATATCGCATGACGACCTTCGACGAGAACCTCGCTGCAGAGCTTGCCCCCTACGCCGATGACCCTCCTAGTGACGAGAGTCCGACGCCTCCTGAGGTTGTCGAGGCGGTTGCAGCAAACATAGAGGCTTCAACGCCACCCCCGATGGTCTATTATTCCGCTGCCGGAAGTGGTGTCGCCGAAGTTCGTGTCATTCTTAGCGGCTTCGTCTTGCACGGTTTTCTCGGTGTCAAGACCTTGTGTATCAAGTCTGCCGCTCTTATTCTCAGCGTGGCTTCTGGCCTGAGTCTCGGAAAAGAGGGCCCATACGTCCACATTGCCACATGTATCGGCAACATCGCTTGCCGCCTGTTCTCGAAATACGACCAAAACGATGCGAAGAGACGAGAGGTCCTGTCCGCCGCTGCAGCGGCTGGTGTTGCGGTTGCCTTTGGCGCGCCAATTTCAGGAGTTCTCTTTGGTCTCGAAGAAGTATCTTACTTTTTCCCGGCCAAAACGCTTTTCCGCACTTTCTTCTGTTGCATCGTGGCAGCACTATCGCTCAAGTTCCTCAACCCCTACGGCACTCACAAAATTGTGATGTTCCAAGTTCAGTATGTGAGCGATTGGCACTACTTCGAAATCTTCTTCTTCATTGTGATTGGGATTCTCGGGGGTGCTGCTGGAGCACTCTTTATCAAGGCCTCCAAGCACTGGGCCAAGTCCTTCCGCCGAATCTCTTACATCAAGAAGTACCCTATGCTGGAAGTCTTCTTGGTCGCTGTTGTGACTTGCCTCATGAGCTACTGGAATGTTCATACGAAGCAGCCCGTCGCCAAGCTCATGCTCAACCTGGCATCGCCTTGTCACGACGGCACCGACCGTGAAGATTACGGTTTGTGTCCTACGACAGCCGACGGCATCCCGCCTGTCATCTCAACCCTGTTCTACGCGTTTCTGATCAAGGGCTTCTTGACGATCATCACTTTTGGCATTGTAAGTAATAGAGAGTGTGCAACAGTTCGGCAATAGCTAACCTTGATTAGAAAGTTCCAGCCGGTATCTATGTGCCGTCCATGGTTGTCGGTGGCTTGATGGGAAGACTGGTCGGCCATGTCGTTCAGCTGACTGTTCTGACGTACCCGACCTTCGGGCTCTGGGCTCGATGCGCCGAATCACCGACCGGATCTTGCATCCAACCAGGCGTCTACGGCCTCATCGCTGCCGGCTCGACAATGTGTGGCGTCACTCGACTCTCAGTAACTCTGGCAGTCATCCTCTTCGAGCTTACAGGCAGTCTGGACTATGTCTTGCCCTTCTCGCTGGCTATTCTGGTGGCCAAGTGGACTGCGGACGCCATAGAGCCTAACAGTATCTATGTTAGTACAAAACAACTATTTGGGTGAAGGACGCAACTAATTCGGGCAGGACCTCCTTACGAACATGAATTCATACCCCTTCCTCGACAACAAGCACAAGCCTGTCTTCACCTCCGATCTGGCTGATATCGTTCCTCGAGTGCGTCGAGAGAGAATCATCGATGTTAGCGCGTCACCCGTAGTATCCGCGACAGCCCTTCGCTCCAAGCTCCGGACCCTCCACAGGGCCGGTGAAATCGATGGCGGTCTGCCCATCATCCGGGACGGCATCCTGGTGGGGCTGATCCCGGCCCCGGACCTTGAGTTCGCATTGGACAACCTGGACGATGAAGCCTCAAGCAGGTGTCTGATGGCACATATCCCAACAATCGAAGACTCTGATGACGAGGAAATCGAAAGGGACAAGACTGACTTTACGTCCTTTATCGACCCGGTAAGCACCCAATACCATGCGCGCCCTTGACTCCGACTAACCTAGGACAGGCACCAATGGCCTTGGACATCCGTTCTCCCATGGACCTTGTCTATGAATGTTTTGTGAAGCTTGGTCTTCGTTACATTTGCGTACTGAAAAATGGACGCTACGCTGGAATGGTCAGTCGATCTCAAAGTACCCGCATCAAGGCCATGGCGACTAACTAGCTGCAGGTCCACAAGAAGAGCTTCGTGAAGTACATGCGGGAGCTCGAAGACCATGAATGATAATTTACACTGGCCAACCGAATGGCCTCGGGCGGCCAAGTTTCATTTCCATTCGTTTCACAACGCCACCTCTTTCCAACCGAGGGCGCTTGTACATTCGGGGAGCAAGAGAGGCTGCATAGCATAATGTCTGTTTCACGACAGGCTCGCAGTTCAGCATTTGGAATACGGCGTTTAACCATTTCGAATTTCGTTTTGACTTGTTCCGGTGCGCGTTTTGTTATTTGTTTCCTGGATAGGATCCAGAAGTGGCTGGGAATATTTTCATGCCAGATTGCATAGCATTGCTTTTTTTGTTCTTGTACCGTCCGCTGGACCACAGGATATATGGGATAGGCTAGATTGTTACTGCATCTTTGTTCGTGTCGGGCCTCGTGGCCGCTCTTCCTAGATTGGGATGCATCCGGGCGGCAATAAACCTACTTTTCGCGAACCCACAAACATGGACTCAATGCCGGGAATCGAAGTGAATCGTGGTGGTGATGATGATTAGTTGCGCGATTCGGACATGAAATGTAAGAAAATGGACTGGGCTGGCCGGCCGGGGCCGGTGTTCGGCACGGGTGTGTCGGAGTGGGGCCGTCGATCCGGCGGGTGACGAGACAGGCTTGCCGATAGTCTCGCGCAATCGACAGAGGTTGAGTTTCTGTTACGAAAAGGCCATCTTTCGGTTTCGAAATCACGGCCGGAGAGGAGCATTCTATTATTCAACGACCGGCAAACCACTTCCCGGTCCCGGTTTCCGGTCCCGGCATCGGCCATCGTGATGTTCCTTTGTGGGTAGCTAGCGGGTGGCGCTAGGCCCCTGCCCAGGCGAGTGCTCCCCTGGCGCGGTGGATAGGTTCCCACCTGGAGAGATGCTTATCGTCATGGGCTTCGGCGGGAAAGCAAGCAATGCTCTTATCGCGTGATGGCGGGGACGCGGAGTGACACCGAGATGATGTTGGGATAGATAGGCTGCGATTGTTACGGTGAGTCTCCTTTTGCGTATGTGTGAGGTTCGAGGAGGAATGGCTGATATATTTAAAAAAGCGTAAAGTGCAATTGGGGGAGGCGAATTGGATGCAGTCACGTACAAATGCCATCCGAGGTCCCGCAAACCCAGGCTAGACGTCAAATCCCACTAGAGGCAAATGCAAATAAGTCAAGTCTAGCTTGGACGTTTGCCGTAATCAATGACCACAGGGAACAAGCTTCCTGCAGTTGGAAAGCTGAAGCTGGGAGCCGCAGGATGCAAGCCTCATGTACCTTGATACACGCCGCCGGGCGGCGCGCGCGGGCGTAAACGGCGTGAGTTTACCCCTCCAACAAGCCATTCACCGCCCGCGGTGTGAGGTCACTAGGAACCTCCTCCATCTCCCTGGCACTCTGGCTGAGGTGCTGCTCCCCCAGCTTTTCCCACTGCGCATTGCCCCGCAATTCCTCATTGGGCACGTAATCTTTCCCCCTCCTCCTCGGTGCTCCCTTGCCGTGTCCATGGTCCATCGCCAAGCTAACGCAGCTTCCGGCAAGGGTTGGCCGCGCCGGCCGTGTGTGCGTGCCGTCTGAACTCCCGTCGGTCTCGAGTCAACACCAACCGGGGGGAGGAGAGGACCAAAGCTCGAAACAGGTACGACAATACGCCTCCACCACAAGTGTGTCTGACGAACGACACTTGATAAGCCGTGGCCACCCGCTATCTGTTATAAACAGCCCCCTCCCCCGCTCACCGTCTCTGTCTCGTGGCTTTCTTCTCTCTTTCACTTCTGCATCCTCTCCTTGCTTCATTGGCCAATTGATCGTATCTCGAAGGGCACATCTTATCTCCTCCGATATCGCACAGCTTCACACAACACCGCAAGAGAGCCAGCACAGGAAGAAGAGAGAAAGAGAGAGAGAGAGTGAGGTTCTCCAAACCACATCACATCCCAAAACCCGCAAAAGATGGCCTTCACGAGAGCCTCAGCGGCCCTGCGCCCGGCCCTCCGCACGGCGGCCGCGGCCAGCAGGACACCCGTCTCCCGCCGAACGCTCTGCGCCTCTGCCCCGCGCATGGCCGCCTCCCTCTTCGCCGGCGAGCCCTCCGCCCCGGCGCTCAAGACCGACATCCCGGGCCCGGTCTCCAAGAAGCACACCGAGGACCTGCACAAGGTCTTTGACACCCGCAGCTTGAACATGCTCACCGACTACAAGAAGAGCAAGGGCAACTACATCGCCGACGCCGACGGCAACGTCCTGCTCGATGTGTAAGTCCTATTTCGCACACAATGAACTGATATCCGCTGACCTCCTTCTTCTATAGCTACGCCCAAATCGCCTCCATTCCAATCGGCTACAACAACCCCGCCCTCGCGGCCGTCGCCCAAACCCCCGACATGGTGAACGCCATCATCAACCGCCCCGCCCTCGGCAACTTCCCCCCGGATGACTGGGCCGAGATCCTCCGCACCGGCATCCTCAAGGTCGCCCCCAAGGGCCTCGACCAGGTCTTCACCGCCATGGCCGGCTCCGACGCCAACGAGACCGCCTACAAGGCCGCCTTCATGTGGCGCCGCCAGCAGGAGCGCGGCGGCCCGGATGTCGAGTTCACCGCCGAGGAGACCTCCTCCGCCATGAACAACCAGGCCCCCGGCGCCTCCCAGCTCTCCATCCTCTCCTTCAAGACGGGCTTCCACGGCCGCCTCTTCGGCTCCCTCTCCACGACCCGCTCCAAGCCCATCCACAAGCTCGACATCCCCGCCTTCGACTGGCCCCAGGCCACCTTCCCCCAGCTCAAGTACCCCCTCGACCAGAACGCCGAGCACAACGCCGCCGCCGAGAAGGCCTCCCTCGACGAGGTCGAGCACCTCATCAAGAACTACCACATCCCCCCCGCCGCCGTCGTCGTCGAGCCCATCCAGTCCGAGGGCGGCGACAACCACGCCTCCCCCGCCTTCTTCCGCGGCCTGCGCGAGCTGACCGCCAAGCACAACGTCCTCCTCATCGTCGACGAGGTCCAGACGGGCGTCGGCGCCACCGGCAAGTTCTGGGCCCACGAGCACTGGGACCTCCCCAGCCCGCCCGACATGGTCACCTTCTCCAAGAAGGCCCAGACCGCCGGCTACTACTTTGGCAACCCCGAGCTGCGCCCCAACAAGCCCTACCGCCAGTTCAACACCTGGATGGGCGACCCGGCCCGCGCCATCCTCTTCCGCGAGATCATCAACGAGATCGAGAGGCTCAACCTCGTCGAGAACACGGCCCGCGTCGGCGACTACCTCTTCGGCAAGCTCGAGGCGCTCGCGTCCAAGTACCCGGGCCAGTTCGCCAACCTGCGCGGCAAGGGCCAGGGCACCTTCATCGCCTTCGACAACCCGCGCCGCGACGAGTTCCTCAAGAAGGCCAAGGGCCTGGGCATCAACATCGGCGGTTCCGGCGAGAGCGCCGTCCGCCTGAGGCCGATGCTCATCTTCCAGGAGCACCACGCCGATATCCTCATCGAGGCGCTCGAGAAGATTGTCAAGTCGTGGTGATGACTTGACGCATCTCCTGGCATTTTCCTCTTGCATTTCGGGTTTATCTAGCGTTTGTGAACGGTCTCCCAAAATTTAGGGGATGTAGAAGAATGATTTGAGGCAATACCAATCATGATATTTTATGACTCTATCCACGTATGCTTGGCATCTGTGAGCTAAAGCTCAATGTCTGTTACCGCATCAAGTGTAACTCCTCCCTATCGTACACTTCGTTCGACACATAATTACGTTAACGCTCCGCAGTTAAGACATGTCTAGCCTCCCAAAACCCTTCCTTTTCGGATAGTGATAATGAATAACCGGCAACGCCTTCCGTGTAATGTACATGCGCATCGTTACAACGGGGATTCATTCACCGTCGTCTCTAGGGATTGCTTAGTTGATCGGGATTGCGCCAATACTGAAGGGGCAACATGGCTGTCCCGTTCCGTCTCGACTCTTTCGAGAATACCGGTAGAAGGTAGCGCCATCTGCTTTTCCCCATCATCGATCCCTCGACTGACGGAACCTCATGGTCCTGATCGCGCTTCTATCTCGCCAGTCCCTCTTGTGTCAGGTGGCCAATGTGGGGTATGGCTCTTTCTTTCTGTGATTCGGGCAATTGCGCTCGCTCGTCGTAAGATTCTCGAGGTATATCATCAGGTCGGCCACGGGTAGCTTCAACTGGTGTTGACCTGCCCGATGGCGTCCTTGGTTGATCTGCTGCATGGGGCGTCTGTTACCAAGGTTAGCGTATGGTAGGCCCGTTAAATCAGTGAACTAACCGTTTGTGCCTTGTCTACAGACCTCGGCCGACCGCGCTTCTTCCTAGGTGCTTCGCTGACTGCTTCTGAAGCCGGGCCAGGAGAAAGGCTATACGCAGAGCCTTCTGCTGGGGTGCCTGGACTGTCTCTGGCTGAAGGAGGAGGCAGCGGCGCGGGTGCAGGCGCGAGGGGTGTGAGGTGCTGCGGAAGCAGAGGCCTCAACTGCCTCGCCTTATCTGCCCGGGAGGGCCTGCCTCTTTTCCGAGGTAGAGGCGGCGCGGCTTGTGGTTGACTGGGGCTCGGGTACCCGTTCGAGGCCGGTCTGCTGTCGACGCCAGTGGTGATCGGACGGGGTTTTATACTCGCAAGCTGGGTGTTCTGCAGCTGTGGTAGAATCGAATGCATAGGTATCGAATTGCCATATGCCGCAGGGCTTTGCTGGGCAGAGGCAAGCGGCGGCAGCTGTGCCGGTGGTTCCATCGGCGGTGCCACTGCCAGCCGTTTGGGTGGCTGCTCGAGAAGATCGTTCATGGATTTGCGCTTCAGATCTGGTACTTTCATCGGGCCCTGGAACATGTGTTCGGTGGCTTGTATGCACTGTTCCATTGTGCGTCCTAGGATGAATGTCAGCTCCCACGGGGAGGCGTCGCGAGACTTGATATGACGAACCACTTGGCAACTGCATTTTGAGCCAGTCTGGGTCGATTTGGTATGCTTTAAGAAACTCGACCAGATGGCCCACGTCTAAGTTACTGGTTTTGATAACCTCACCGAGGATAAACCTCTGTCGCGGGGTAAATGTCAGCAGTCGTATTTCGGTAGTCGATGGCAATGCGCATACCTTTTCACCTTCCGTGAATGAGTAGGCCATTGTGAAAAAGATCAAGGTCTGCCGGGAGAGGTGTCATGAAAACAACTGAAAATGGTCAAGCTCGATCTGAGGGCTGGCATTTGCGACGGGGAGGTGTAGGAAACGAGCGTCTCGGCGCTACCAGTCAAGGGAAAAGTAAACGAGGGGCAGCGAGGTCAAAAGCCGTTGGAGTGAAAGTGATAGGGCACGCAGAAGAGCGAGCGAGATCGACGGAGCCGGCGCCGTGAACTCAAGCAGTCCGCTTGGGACAGGCAGGCGACGGCCAGGCAGACAAGCGCGGTAGCAGCGGCAGGAGGCCGTCGCAAATGTCACGAACAGCCGCCGCGATGGGCCTCGTCTCGCTTTGCCGCAAACAGAGCGCGAGGTAGATGCGCTTGCAAGAACGACACCGGAAAAGAGCAGAAGCACCAGTGAAGTTAATGAAAGTTGCCCAAGCAGCGCAAGCGCGCGTCTTTTAGCTGAGGCCGCCGAAGAAAAGACCCCGTCCCACGACGAGGTCGAGGGGAAGTTGGACGAGGCGCGAGATGGAGGGGGTAACACAGCCTGGACAGGCCTTGGTCGTGGAAGTGGAGGCTCGAATGTTTCGTTTGTTCCTGGGAACCTGGGTCACTTTGCGACTGTGACCGCGGGAGGCCCTGCACGGCGCGCGGTCGGGGACTTGCTGGCGTGACCGGGGTTGTGGTGGCAGGTCTGAGGCGTGTTTTTGAAGTTGAGAGACTCTGGGGGAACAAGCGAGACAGTTTGCCGAGTCGTTAATTACGCGTTATGCCTGTTCAGGAGGCATTCCAGGGCGTCGGTCTGATCGGTCGATGCTTGGTACCTCAACTTGCGTTGCGACGGCTGTTCGCAGCAAGGAAGGGAAACTGGGGGGGTTTTTGAAATAGTCTTGTTCTGCTGGACTTGGGCGAAGACAAGGAGGATGTTGTTTGTCTTGAGGTTCGTGGTGAGGGTAAGGTAGGCGAAGTGGTCCGTCGTGATTACCAGCAGGCCTCCCTTGGCATTATTCCTCGTCTTGCTGAGTGAGATTCATGAAGCATGGGAAGCAGGCGCAAATGGATAAACAAATCGCGGCTCCAAAAAGCCGGTTCCTTGTGAGTGCCTAGCAGAGTTGCAATGTCCGAGCGAAGGTGGCTGGGGAATGCCCGCAGATCTATCGACTCAGAAGGCGATGGATGACTGATAGAGACAGGACGTCGCAGGGCGGCGCAACGGAGCCTGGAATGTCCCAAGACGAGGCCGACGAAAGGAGGTTGCAATTCTGGCGTGAGCGACTGACGTCGAGACCTGGGTATCCGTACGAGAGGGTAGGATTGCCGAAAATCAAGCGGGAATCTGACTAGGGGAAGGCTTCCGGTAGGAGTGTGGGAAGTCGCCTCTCATGGTCTGCGTCCTGTCGAATGTGTGTCGATAGTTGCTGCACAACGGGCACTGCCAATCTGGGCATAAGTTTAATGTAATGTGCTCCGTCGGTTGTTGGTGGGTGGTGGAATGAGGAGGGAGGGATGGATGGATTGATGGATGGAGGGATGTTGGATGTTGGCGCAAGTGTCGATGCGATGTGGCGCCCTGGACAAAATCAGGTCAAGTCAACCTAACGACAGATCGAGGAGGTTTGTGTGCGTCGCGCGTCGTAGTCATGCTGTCTGGATTTTCGGTTCGGAGGTTGATGATGGTCCACTGGCTTTCCGACGTCTTTCTTTGCTGAGTTCTGGTCCCTTGCGGTAAGCATCCCGTCCATTCTGGTCTGACCCGGCAGTGGCTTTGTCTCAAGCGCCTCTCGCGCCTCCCTTTCCGTCGTCGGATTCTTGCTTTTTTCTCGACAGCCGAATCGCCCTTTTCCTAATTTTCTTGCGCATGTCTCACCAAGCCCCCAAAAGAGGAAGCGCGCATCTGGTTGGTCGACAGCCACATCCAGAGACCCTTTCTCGTTCGCATTCGAGTTCGAGAATGGGGGCTCAACAAGACCCAGAGCTCCAACACTGTTGTGAAAGCTATGCCAATAGGTATACAGAGTACGGAAGCCGTATCCTCTCTATAATCTGATGGTTGCTCATTCAGAGGCATCACATATGACTGCATAGCTCTATGCAATCGACAGAGCAGGTATCCGCATCCCTGTCTCCCGCCCGTCCTGCACACTGCACACGCTTCTTGTTGCTTGAAGGTAGGTTGCTGCAGCACACCTCAGTCCCATATGCTGGGCTGTTAGTGGCCGGCACTGGGCTGAGAAGAGCCAGATGCAGCCATTATGTGCAGGCTGTAATGGGAGAGCGTCCTGCAGCTGCAGTGCAATGTCTAATGCCTCCAGAGGGTTGCGTCGACCGGCCAATCCCATTACAGGACATTTCCCGCCTGACTTGATATTCTGCCACTTGCAGGACGTCATTGTCGTTGTGTTTGCCGAGAAAGATGACATCTCCAATCCCAACAAGTTTGGTGCAGGAGGCATCCGTAAGCTGAAGAGACCTCCAGCTGGGAGACAAACCAGACGACGGTAAGGTATCAGCACTAGAGGCTTTGGCTGAGGATGCGGGACATTGTAAAAAATCCGAGAAATTTTGGATTAACGAAAAGAACACTTGCACTGCGCTTGCAGCGAGTTCCGCATCATCCATCCATGGACACCTTCCATTACCCAAGGTACGGGCGGAAAACTGGTCGGTACGCTGGCACCTCACTGCGACTGCACTTGCTCCCGAGGTCGTATCGACCCGATATCAGCTGGAGGCGCACTGAAGCTCCCGTCCGTCAGCAGCTGCCCCTCCTCCATTTCCCCTCCTTCCCACCTGCCAACCCACTCCCATCTTCCGTTTGAGTTCAACCTGCCATCCCATCTTCCACTTGTCGAAAGCGCGCACCCTCTTTCGCTGGTCAAATTCCTTTGGCGACCTCAACATAGAAGGAAAGAAAATGCGATCAACCGACGACCAAATAAAGAAAACAGGGGATGTTTTAGTGCCCGCGCAATGCCAACGGCCGGAGTCGCGTCTGCTATCCTCATTGGCCATCCTTCAGCCAAACCCAACTCGCTGGTGACTCTGGGAGGAAACCACTGGATTCCCTCTTCGCCAATCATCGACAATAACGGCATGTGAGCCAGCACGGGGCATCGGTTCGTCACATTTCCCGCTGCGCTCTTGTCAGAGCCCGCCGCAGCCAAACCAGCGCCGCACCTGAGTGGGCTGAATCGTCCATGATTTCTGGGGGGCGGCCCAATATGTGACCCGAAGGAAGAGAGACGACGATCCGATACAATGAGGCTGAGGAAAATCCGAAGTCCAGTCACACGATCATGACCATTACGACGAACCACGAAAGATATCAAAGACGGAGAGTCGGGAAAATCGACTCGTTGTCAAGAACGCTGCGTTCATCCACCGCCTCTTTATATTTCTGGGCTCCCCAAACCACTTCATCCGGCTTCAGCGACGTCTTGCTGCACAATGAGTTGGCATCCTCCCACTGGGAGGACCCACCCATGTACAACCCGTCCATGCCAATGGCTCCACGCCGGCGGCCGGCCTCACCAGACGATACCAAACGGCGCCTACCGCCCGTTGCTAGCAGGGCATCGTTGCCCAAGTCGGGTACGACTGCAATCCCTTTCTTCCTTGTCCGAAGATCCCCAGCATCGCCTTCGCTGGGCGTCTCCTCTGCAGTGCTGGGATATGCGTCATGTTGCTTCAAACTTCCCTTACCCTCCAGACCAGTGGTCGCCTTGGGCTAGTCCATCGCCGAGCGGCTGGCTTGGCTATTCGCTCTCGCCGTTGACGTTGCATCTGGATCTATGTTTAATCGGATGGACATGCCTCGCGGCATCTCTTCCAGTGGAGTTGGCCATCGGCAGTGGGCAGAGGTTGCAATTCCAGCCAAATACGGCATTTTGCTACCCGTCACAGCATGAGCGGCAGCCCGCTGTGGATGACCAAGCGCTGCCAAAGCCTTGATATCAGACGGAGAAAAAGCTCTCAGATGGAATCTCACTCTGGCTGGAAACGGCTTTGTTCAGGGGTGGTTTCTTGGAACATGGAGCAGGCCAGGTGGGTGCGAAGTGTCGGTGAGAAGACTGAGAATGCTCTCCTCAAAAGACTCTGCCCTGCACCGTGCTCTTGATTCATGACCAAGGCGCAAATTTCTCAAGAGCAAGCATTCTACTTCTCCTACAACGGAGAAAAAGCACGTCAGACAATTGAAGAGGCTGATTTGGGTTTCAATAGATCAGGCTTCAACCGGCGTTACACAACCTTGCTGACGCGTGTATTTCAGGTTCTATCCGTACCGTAGGGACAATGTCTATTTCCAGGCGCAAAACTGCATTGAGGCAACATCTGTGGTGTTTTCGAAGCAGGCCGGCCCTTCCAGCTTGGTGATTGTTTTCTCTGAAGCCACGCTTACTTTGCATCAAACAGTATTGGGCAACTGGCAACTGGCAACTTCGTCTGTGGAGGCATCAGTGACGTGGGATCTCCGTCCAATTCGGATTTTAAGCAACAAGTAAGTCCCTTTGTACCTTACCTGTAGGGTCTCGTAGGCGGGGATTGTTCGGGACAAAGCCATTGGCCAGATCTCGCGACAGCTATTCTGGGGAAGCTACGATCGGATTTTTAAAAAGTCTAGGCCTCGGAAACTGGCTGAAGTAATATTCCGATTACCTTTCCGCCCGGGCGCGAGTTCCCGCCGGCGCTGTTGGCAACCTGGAAGCCCGGCTCAGACGCTCCAGGCACGGAAGAGGCTAAGCGCGACAGGCTGTGGCTGCTGCTGCTGTTGCTGACCTAGGTGCTGCCCAGGTTCAGAAACTGCTGAGATTATTCTCGTCTACCGTCGTCCCTTCGCAATTCTTTGCGACTTTGCCCTGGAAGCCTTTTTTTTCTAGCCGCCGACGATACAATATTCTTCGGAAACCGATACATCAAACATCGAATTTGCGATTGCCCAATCGCAACTTGGTTTGCCGTCATTCTCGGTGCGACCAACACTTGCAATGCGGGAAACCTTTGGCTCGGACTACTAACCGCTCTCTCCTAACGCGCCGCCGCCTTGCACGTCGTCCCCCATTTCCTCTCCTGCCATACTTATTCTTTTCTTTCCTTCCCTTCTCCACCCAACACATCTACTGCAGCTTCCTTCATGCGCACCGACCTACTAATTCGCAAATTCTTTGGTCTCTCGCGTTCGGCGCCTTTGGATCTTGTCCCCAATTCGAACTCCAAGACGACACGACCCGCGACACATTTTCGCCTTCCTCCTGCGCGCCTGCCCTGCGGAGGGCTTTGCTGATTGCTTGATGGAGGATGAAGCGCTGGCGACGGTGAAGATGGAGGAGGTAAAAATCGCAGACGGCCCTGTGCCGAACTGCGTCAAGATGGAGCGGGACGACAGCAGGGCATCTTCGCGCAACAAGAGCAATCATGGCTCTCGGGCCGTCAGCATGTCGCCTGGTAACGAAAATAATGAGGAGGGCGTCTCGACACCTGGCGCGAACAACCGGCCGAAGCTTTCACGCAAAGCGTCCCAAAAACCCGTCAAACGCGAAGCGCCGCTTTTCACCGATTTGCCCGACGTCACGGAGGCAGCCAGCGATACGTTCCAGGTCATTCCGGACTGTCTATACGGCTCGAAGCATATGGGCTCTTCGGAGCATGATGCCTTGGACTGCGATTGCCGTTCCGAGTGGCGTAAGTCACCCATACCCTCCCTTTCTGCCCGTCGCCAGGCGATTGCCGGTGGCGCCTAACAGAATTTTGCAATACAGAAGATGGAAAAAATTACTCGTGTGGCGAAGATTCCGACTGCATCAATAGAGCGACGAGGATGGAGTGTGTTGTCGGCACTGGAAATTGCGGCGACGGTTGCCAGAACCAGAGATTTCAGCGCAAGGAGTACGCCAACGTTTCGGTCATCAAAACGGACAAGAAAGGTTTCGGCCTCCGCGCCAACGTCGATCTGCAAGCCAACGACTTCATATTCGAATACATCGGCGAAGTCATCAACGAGCCGACCTTCCGACGGCGCATGTCCCAATATGACGAGGAAGGCATCAAGCACTTTTATTTCATGTCGCTTACCAAGCACGAATTTGTCGATGCGACGAAAAAGGGCAACCTGGGCCGGTTTTGCAACCATTCTTGCAACCCGAATTGCTACGTCGACAAGTGGGTAGTGGGAGAGAAGCTGCGCATGGGAATTTTCACATCGCGCAAAATCAAAGCTGGCGAGGAGCTGGTGTTCAACTACAATGTCGACCGCTACGGAGCCAACCCCCAGCCCTGCTACTGTGGCGAGCCCAACTGCACCGGTTTCATTGGTGGCAAGACCCAGACCGAGCGGGCGACGAAATTGCCCCTTGCAACTGTTGAAGCCCTCGGTATCGACGACGGCGACAGCTGGGACACCGCAGTCGCTAAGAAGCCCCGGAAGAAGAAGACTGAAGAGGATGACGAGGAGTACGTTAACAGTGTGCAGGCTAGAAGCCTGAACGAAGATGGTGCACGCAAGGTCATGGCGACTTTGATGCAGTGCAAGGAGAAGTGGATTGCGGTCAAGCTGCTGCAGCGCATTCAGCAGTGCAATGAGGAGCGCGTGATCCACTGTGTCATGCGCATGCACGCCTACCAAATTCTCAAGACCACCCTCAACACATTTATTGACGACCACAACGTTGTCCTTCAGGTCTTGGACATTCTCGACAAACTCCCCCGATTGACCCGCAACAAAATCGAGGGCTCGAAAATTGAAGACACAATCAACAAGCTTGCGCAGTCGGAAAACGAAGAGGTCAGCGCAAAGTCCAAGAAGCTGTTGGAAGAATGGGCAAAGCTGGAGCTGGGTTACCGCATTGGGAAGAGAAAGTTTGACCCCAACGCCCCTAACACGAATTCCTTCCACGACAGGCGCAATCCAGACCGTGAGGAAGATACCACCGCCAAATCAACCCCCGACCCTCTGCAAAATGTCGAGATTCCCAAAGGACCCCGAAGCAGCATGCCGCAGCGGAATCCGCATGTTTTCAATGGACCCCCTAGACCTCGGCGGCAACAGAATTTCCACAGCAGCGGCCCTCTTCCTCCAGGATGGTATCCAGCGAAGGACCAGCGTGGCAACACCTACTTCTATAATGACAGTGGCGCTGTGACATGGCAGCGACCTGCACCCACTGCCAACAAAGCGCTGCAAGAGCAACAGGTGTTGAGAGATATTATCAACAAGGTTACGAAAGAACCCACTCCTAGACCTTCTGCTTCGCAAACACCACAACGGGTAGAAACTCCTGTACAGGAACCGAAGCAAGAGAAGTGGCGATCTCTCCCGGTCGAGAAACAGATGAAGATCTATGAGAACACGGTATGTATTGGCTCGCAACAGGATAACGACCACTCGCTGACGTCCCCAAGCTTTTTCCTCACGTAAAGTACGTCATTGATAAATACAAGCACAAGCTGCCAAAGGACGACCTTAAGAGACTCGGCAAGGACATCAACAAGAAGCTGGTCTCGTCCGACTACAAGAAGAATCGCGTTCAGGATCCGACTGCCCCGTTGGACCAGAAGCAGGCCAGAAAGGTCAAGACGTTCGTCAAGGAATTTTTCGACAGGGCTGTTGTCAAGATGAAGAATCATGAAAAGGACAGAGCCGCCCGTCAGAGCAAGGACAAGGAGCCGAACGCCGCAGGTCTGTCTGCTGACGGAGACGTTACTGTGGCTGACGTTGCTGGTGAAGTGACGCTTTCTGACGATGAAGACGCCGCCTCGACAGGCGATTCAGAAAAGAAGCGTAAGCGTGAGGAACAGACAGCGAACTCGCCGACCATGAGTCCTTCGGACGGACCTTCAGCGAAGCGCTTCAAGGATGGCAATGCAGAGGATGGAGCTCCACCACCTCCGCCGCCCCCGCCGCCTTCAGAGCCGGCCCCAACCGATTCCCCCGAGTCTTTGACTGAAGAGCAACAAGCGCTTAGGGAGCAGGAGGAAGCTCTTATGAGGGAGAACGAAGAGGCCGAGCGGGACGAGGCCACCAAGACCCAGGAACCTTTCCGGGTCAATGGCGGCGTACTAGTGTCTGGCGAAGGTGAACCTGCTGATATGCTTCGGCAACGAGAGGTTCTGGGTCATTAGTTCCGGGACAGGACATTAGGATAACACCAACTGACCGTCAAAAGAGGGCCAACCGAGAACAAGTGGGACTCGGTGTTGTACGTACAAGCAGGCACATTGCATTTTGGAAGGGACTCAGCAGACCCCAAGCACTAGGTTGCTGTCATTGTTCTCAAATTTTCTTTTCTTTCTCATGCGGATACTACAAAACGCGGTTATCGACATTGCTCAACGAAGCCGCCATCTTTGGTATTTATCAGGCGTGTTCCGGTGGCATAGGTGGGCGAACAACGGACGGACGGCATTCCCTCGGATCGGCAGGGGGTGAAAAGGCGTTGCTTGTTTTTATTTACTTTTTTTCTTCGGGAGTGTCAGGAACCCCAAAAGCATACCCACATCACTATACGCGTGGTCATGGCATAATGGCATATTGATACTCTGCAATGGAACAAGATTTGTGCAAACCCGAGGCCGTCGATTGACGGACCGGACTCGGGGCACAGTAAACAACCAGATGGATATTTAAATCTTTTGACCTGTGAAGTCCCAACTTTTGTCCTGCCCTTTTTTCCCCAGCCTTGAAACGCCGTTTGACTATGCCAGATTAAGGTTGCCTTGAAGAGGCTGTCCAATACCGGGTTGCTTGCAGTCGCATCCCAATACGGATATTATACTATGCATTGAACTGAAGTCGTCGCGATTCGACAAAGCGCGAGAAGACCACACAACCTCTCAGTCATCGTCATTCTCAAAGTCGGACTCTTCGCTACTACTCTCGTCCCCTCCCTTCTTCCTCTTCTTCTGCGCGGGCAGCGCCTCGGGCGCCTCCCCCTTGCGCATGAAGACGTAGCTCCTCGCGGGCCTCTCCTCGCCCTTCCACGCGGCGCCGCTGGCCTCGCCGGACCTCTTCTCGCGCACGACGCCGAGGGTGCGGGCGTGGCGGTAGCCCGGGTAGGCGGAGGAGTGGAAGCGGAAGCTCTGGAGGGCCTGGAGCCCCGCGTGGCGGCCGAGGTCCTTGACGTTCCACAGGGTGTAGGGGTCGCCCTCGAAGAGGGTGACGACGAGGGTGCCGCCGGGGGCGAGGGAGGGCAGGGCGGTGGTGAAGAAGGAGACGAGGAGCTCCTGGTTGTAGCGGACCTGGCGGTTGCGGTCGGTGGACTTGCCGCCGACGTGGGGGAAGTTGAAGAGGATGCGCTTGTAGAGGCCGGATTTGGTGGTCACGGAGGTGCCGTGGTGGGATTGGGTTGTGGTGCGCTTCGTGAAGGGTTTCATTGTGCGGGCGTCGACGTTGTAGAGGATTTTGTTGTTGTTTGGGGTTTTTGGTGTGGCTTCTTCGTCTTCGTCTTCGTCGTCTTCGTCTGCGCTCGCTTCGTCCTCGTCGTCGTCGTTTTCTTGTTCGTCATCTTCCTCCTCGTCTTTTGACTTGGCGGACGGCTTCGTCTTCGCGCCGGTGATCGTCGCGATGTTCTCCGCGGCGTGGGGGTACTTCTCCAGCAGCTCCTTCTCGTTCTTCTCGAGCACGGTGGCGGTCACGTTGCGGCAGCCGTGGTGGGCGGCCAGGCTCGCGGCGAAGCTGAGGTCGCCCTCGCCGATGAGGAGGATGGCGTCTTCGGGGGAGAAGGGGATGACGGGGTCCTGGTTCTGGTGGTATTGCTGGTGCGCCTTCTTCTTCTTGGCCGCGGCCGCCGCTTCGTTGGCATTGTGGGCGCCTCCCTTTTGGGGCTTCTTCTTCGAGGGAGGGCCTGCCGGGCCCTTCTTCTTGACGGTGTCGACGAAGTGGTTCTGGTGCGTGATCTTGCGCTTCTTGCCCATTGTGCTTGTTTGAGGGAGCAAAGACTTGACGGTTCGGGCCGGTAAACAGTTGGTGAGGTTTGTTCCGAAACGGGATGCACTCGGTGGTCGTTGCGACGAGGGTTGGTGTTGCTATCCGTGGTTTCGTGGTTCGTGGTGGTTGTCCGGCGCCGAATAAACTTACCCCACGGTCACCGAACTTTTTTTTTTTTTCTGAGAGGTCGTTGACCGAAGGTGAGTGGCGCCGTACCGCGTCCGCCCGCGTGCCCGCGCCCCGGCGGCTCGGGAATAGACGAGGTTCAGCCGTAGCGCGCTCTGAGGTGCCTGCTGGGCCATTTCACTTTGCGAGAGAGAGAGCCACCACCCCTGGACGGGGCGACACCGGATTATGGAGAACCGCAGGGGGTCCGATTGGGAAACTGGAGACCGGCGGTCGAGGTAGATTGTACTTTACCACGTTAACAGAGCTGTAAGGTGCCAGTTCAGGGACTTTGCTGTGGGTAAGAAGCTTCTCCACACACGGAGTGTTGTGCGGTGTGGACATGATTTTTTTTTCTTCCTGACCCTTGATCTGTCTTTTGCTGAGAGGAAGAAGTTCGGTATTCCTGCGAGGTGACGTTGTTGCTAACTTCTTGGGTGTGTGTTGGTCTCATGGATTTTTGGATTTACTTCCGCTGACTGATGGATGGTTTGGGTTGCTGAATTTAGGGGTCATCGTCTGTTGCTTGTTAAGCTCGTCTATTTTTGCTCCCTTGGTGGACCGAGCATGCTATTGATGAGGCTTACAGAACCTTGAGTGCTGAACGCCTTACTTCAGTAGCAGACGCAAGGGAGCATTCCCCAAGAACAAGTGACGGGAGCATTCCAGGGATGTGTTTGCTCTGTTGCTGGAGCGAGCGGTTAACATTTGGAGGACTCATTCATGAGTGTCAACATATCGTTTTGACGACGCGGAAGAAGGCCGCCCCCAAGTCCCTACGTAATCTGATACCACTTCTCCTCGCATCACAGGATCTCGTTGGTCGTCGCCAACACTGACTTGCATCTATCGAACAGGGCCTTGTTGGAGGCTGGAGGCTGGAGACAAGACAGAGAGAGCCGGCTGGAGCTCGGGATCTGGGCAGGAAAGGGCCCACTTCTCGGACGGGACCAGGTTCTGTAAAAGTGCACCCCCGTCCGACTCGTCCGAACATGGGGACTGGGGGCGAGAGTGAAAATGTCTGTTCCGTTGTTGTTCTGGTGAGATGAAAGCCAAACCGCATGATAGGATGGACGGCGATAGACGAAGGATTAAACGCAGGGTGAGATAGATCGGGTTTGTGACTGACTTGCACCAACCAACGGTGTGGCCCCCCGTTGCCAGACCGGTGAGATGGAAGAGTCCACGTCGTGTGCGTGGATTCTTGATCCGGGAACGGTCGAAAAGGGCAGCACTGGCTGCTGGGTGGCTTTCGTCACGTCAGAGGGATGAGAAAGGCACACACGCACGGCGCGGGAGTCGGAGGTCGGGGCGGACAGGCCACATCCTCGCTGACAACAATTTGCGCTCTCTTTCTTTGATGCTGAACGCGCTTCAATGCTTGTTTGCTCGAGAGTGCGCTGACTCTGTCTTCTGCATCCGGAGTGGTTGTTATGCGACGATGCGACACCTTGGCTGGCAATGCTCGTCGTCATACACAATCAATCCCGTTAGACGCCAGTGATGATAAAGCCCGCCTAAATACCTAACGCCGCGTAGAGCGTCTTGTCTACCCGGAGCGGGCGGTAGTGAGGAGCAATGGGCTGAATGAAAGGATGAGACTACACGTCCGGTCAAAATACCTCTGAGCTTGTCATTCATTACCCGCCCAAGATGCATTCTTGGTTGGTTGGCCTGCCAAGTCGCAAATGCCCCCGTTTCGAGGACCTGAGCGGCTGGCTTGCCAGCAAAGCAGAACAGAGCAAAGCAAAAATAAGTCATCTCAGCAAAGGCTTACCTGACTCCGTGGTGACCTGCGGCGGATTAGAGACCGTGTACGCGACAGCGACAGCGACAGCGACAATAATGGTAGGCAAACTGCCATCTGGCAGCCCTTGAAAGTACCGAGTACCTTTGCAGTCCCGACAGGGGTAAGAAACTATTTTCGGTTATCGGATTATCCAGGCCTCCGGACAAATCAGCGCCCGGGAAATCCTGTCGACTCCTACCAGATTGGTGTAAGTGTGTGCAGGACAGTGCTGGGCTGGGCCTTGCCTTTCCGCCTCGCTGTAGCAGGGTGGTCACGTCTGCTCCTGCCAATGCTGCTGCGCTCCGCCTGAGTCTGTCTGGTATTATTTGCAAAAGAGGCAGGAAGGGGAAAAAAGCTGCAATCTTTCGTCCACGCCCCAACTCGACAACTCATTCGCGCCACTCCAATATCTACAGCGGGAGTTGCGGATGCTTCTCATCTTTATATTGATCACAATTTTATCTCGCCTAGGCTGGTCTATCATTGAGAAATTTCAGGTTGTTCACGGAGACTGAGAGGCCAGGCGGCTGCTTTTTCTTAGCCCACACCCATTACCGGCCGGTCCAATCCACACCCTCGTCTTTCTCCCGGACACTCTCAGCCAACAACGAACTTCTTCAACCTGAAAGCTCTACATCTTCCTCCCTCGGCAGAGACCATCTCGCAGGCTCACACGTTCGGGAGCGACTGAATCACCGGCGGGCAGAGAGTCTATCGATTTTTCTGTCGCCCGCCCGTCTCTCTCACATCCCCTTCCCTCACTTACGCCTGCCTGCCTTCACTTCATTACACAATACCCGCTCTCACTTTTGCCTCCACTTACCTTACCCCCATTTCCCTCCCCAGCTCTGTCACGTATCTTTCATGAACGGCCATCACCGCCAACATGTCAGACACAGAGACTCCCGAGCAGTCAGGTTCCACGCCGACGCCTCAGCCGACGCCCAAGGCCAAGGGCAGAGGTAGGGGCCGTGGCAGGAAACCCGCCGCTCCTAAGAAGGAGGTCCCCAAACCCGCGCCCACGGCCGGCACTGGGCGACGCGGCAGGTTCAAGACCTTCAGCGACGACAAAGTCCAGGCCGCCTACGAGCGTCAACGCGAGCTCAAGGCTCATTATGCCAATCTCGCCAATGCCATGAAGCCTGCGCTGCAAGACTTGGTCACGCGGTCTGTTAAGAGACTGACCCGTGACGACGACTACTATCAGTCAGTGCCAGAGTTTGAAGTGGTCAGAAACCACCTCGAGGAGCGCCTCGCCTCCAGGGTGAGCGTCGCCGAGAGGAAACTCGCCATCGATCAGAAGATGGTCATCGGCGCCAAAGAGATGCAGCGCCTCGCCGTGCAAGAGATTTTCGAGGTATGTTGCGACACCCGGACTGACATGTCATGTTTTTTACCCCGGCCCTCCGCTAACTGGCGGTGATCCGCGGCATTAGAACGGACTTGAAGACCTCGAAGACAGATTTTTGAATGCCCAGATCCATCGCCTCGACATTCTGGAGTATCTTCACGATCACGGCCTGCCGATTGACGTAAGTATTTTTCATCTCGCTTTTTGTCGTGTCCCAATCTTACTCACACGCCGCCTCAGCTCGTCGATGGCGGCTGGAATTACAAACCCATCACCGACAAGGAAGCCTCAGAGTTTGGCGTCTACGAAGTCTACGTCGACGGCCATCTCGTCCCTTACCCTCAGCTCATCGAGGGAACAGAGGCATACGCCCTTCGCCAGGCTGCTTGGGCCGAGCCTCAAAACAAAGAGCCCGCGGCAGCGCCCACCGCCGCCGCACCACGGACCAAGCGCAAGGCCAGGGATCAGCCCGATGGCCAGCCCGCCTCCAAGCGTACCGCCGGTGATGTCGCGCCTGCTAACCACATTGCGGGCATCATGTCGGCACAGCACGCTCATGTCGAGGACGAGTCTAATGAGAGCACGCCGGCTCCTGAGGGTCCGGTTGCCGCTGACCAAAGGGAACCTCCACTTCCTGCAAAGGCGTCAGAGCCGGATGAGTACGGCTGCAGACAGGTCAACCGCCCAGCTGCCAAGAACGGTGCCATGATCGCCAACCGCATTATCGTGCCGCCTGCCTTCCAGTTCGACGACGACGAAATTGGTTATCGCGACTCAACAAATTCCGCAAAGCATGGTGCCACTGTCGCCAAGCGCGGCAAGTACTTTGCCAAACCCAACTCTAACACCTGGCATTACGATCCTCTTCTTGCTCGCTGGGATGCTCGCCTCGTTGAAGACGATGACATGGATAAGGAACTTGTCGAGAAACATGGCGTTCATCCCCGCTATGGCTACTTCCTGCCCACCAGCAAGAACGAGGCCGAACCTCCCAAGCCGGAGGCAGAGGCCATGCAACCCACTGTCTATCTCACGCCCTCTGGCCTCACCATTCACGCTTCTCGCTATGTGCCCGCTGCCAAGGTTGAGTTTGCCATTGAGGACAAGCCTTTCCAGGACCGCATGGGCAGTTTACTCTCTGCTGTCTGCGACGAGTACGACATCTCGGAGGAAGACATCGAAGGAGAGGAGCTTAAGCAGCTCAAGGAGATTTCGGCAGAATACGCCGAGGAAAGAGCACTTGCCGAGTCGATCAAGGAGTCCGAGAGCGTCGAGGAGACACCTGCTGGCTCGCCTCTCCCCTGCAACGATTCTTCTCTCAACATCGCTGGTCTCGACGACCTCGTTAGCGCTGCCGAAGCTGTTGAGAAAGAGGAGGCTGATGCCCAAATTGTCGAGGAGATGCCACCCGTTGTCCAGCCACCCACGCCGGCCAGAACTACTACTCGCGCCTACGATGCAATTAGGGATATCTTTGGCAATTCTGAGCCGGCCACGGAGTCTACGACGCCCGTCATCCCCAGCGCGTCACTCGACACATCTGCACTCATGGCTCTCGCCGACGCTTCGACTGGTGAATTACCCCCTCAACGCGTCGACGTCGTTATGGATGATGCAATTCCGATGCACGATGATATTCCTCCTCATCATATGGAGCCCACCTACTCAATGCAACCAGTGCATGATTCTCGGATGCCGATCCCCCCTCCGAGCAATTCCTGGGTTGAACCTCGTCTTGCCTCCCCAGGCCCCGACAGTCACATTCATCCTTCTATCGAGCACCAGAACCAGTTGCCTCCCGTTCGACCGGTGGAAATGTCCCAGATGAGGGCCTCGATCGAGACTCCAAATGACAACCGCCGACACACAATGTACGCGGAGCACAACGCTCCCCCTCCTTACTACGAGCAGCAAATGCCGCCTCCCCAGCAACAACAACATTACCTGCCTGTGGACCCTATGATTGATCCTCGCCTTTACTCTGCCCCAATGGACGGTCAGCCGCCGGCTGGACATCATGAGTACCACAACGCCGCCTACAACCAACCCCAGCAACCTTACCCTGGCATGCCGATGCAGGGCGGACCGATGGGACCTGGCCCTCAGCAAATGCAGCCTGGCTCCTCGTCTCGAATGCCCTTCACTAACCCTACCCAGGACAGGAGCTCGCCGTTGCCTCCTCTCCGCCCGTCTCGTGGACGGAAGAGCGCTCCTGCCGCACCGGAGAGCATACCTCCTGAGCCTCAGCAGGTTCAACAACAGCCGCCGCCCCCGTTCATGAACACCAACAGCGGCTCCTTCTACCCTCCGGGTCCCCCGAGGCCTTACCACAATGGCTACACCACCGAGCAGCCCGGCATGCCTATGATTCAACCGTACCCTCCGTACCAGAATATGCAAGGACCTCCCCCGCCTCAGCAATCTTACGGTCACCCGGGCATGTCTCCCACAAATGCCGCCATCGCTCCTGCCCAGAGTCCTCCTTCGCTGCAGTTTGTTCAACAGCAGCCCAACGAGCCACACACGAGAAGTCGAGCTGGTAGTGGCTCTTCGACGCCCAGCTCTGCCGGCAACAGCAGATACCCAAAGCTGGCGCCTGCGCCGATCCCTCCCCACCGGGTCGGATGGCCTACTGGACCCGAGCTGCGGACGGTCCAGTACGACTACAAGGAGAACATCAAGGACTACGCACCGACCGAACCCCCGCCGCGTCGTGCACCCATCCAAATCCGTGGCTGGAACATCAACAACAACAAGGTTCAGCGCCAGCGACCTGAGGAGAACGGAGACGAGCGCCGGGGCTCTCGCTAGAAGCCCGAGCCCAGCCCTCTGTCACAGTCTACCTTTCCAGAGCCCAGCCTTTCTGTTGATCCGCCACCACGGATCATAGGGCGATTACGCAGGTCTTCTCCTGTGCCGGAGCCGTCATGGCATAACTCACTGGCGCCCACCCCTCCTCCTACCGAGCGGAGGCCCAAACGGGTTAGAAAGCCCACTCGAAAGTCCCTCGATACCTGAGGGCAACTCGGCGCTCATTATTATATCAGCACGGCCATGCACACTCAGCCGCTGTCAGCGAACCATATCTTATCAAAACTTGTCTCAAGCTTCGTGAGACTGCGCCAAGGAAGGACTTCAAAACGTATCTAAACCTTGGGCCAAGGAATACCCTTTGCCGGAAAGTCCGGACAGGGAGTTGAACACAATACTTTTCAAGAATTTTTGCAGAGAATGGGATAGGAAAAGCGAATCCGTTTTGTATTTTTATCTTGATTACCTTTGGCTTATACCAGGGAGGTGATGCTCTCCCATCAGAGAGACACAGGAGCTAGGACTGAAAAGTCGGGATAGCTCCATAGAATATGGAGCCATTCGATGCTTCCTCGGATATTGGGAGAGAGCTAGGGCTGAAAAGCCGGGTAGTGCTCTCAAAAAAGGATATGAGAGCTAGGGCCGAGAGGCCGAGGTCAAGGGACCTCAATACATCTGGCATGATAATGAATACGACATGGCTTTGATTTACATCTCGACCTGATTTGCGTGATGCGTGACTGTCAAACTTGGAGGTTCAGTGGTATGTAACGCGGCTCTATCAACTAAGATATCTACACTGGTATGGCCACCTCCAGTGCTGGCGTTGAACAACTCTTATTGTATCGTCTTGAAATCATGTTCGTTAGGTTGGCAGTGTCACCGTTGGGGGCCTTATCCAGTATAAAACACCCGTTGGTTTGCCAACACGAGTTGGTGTGGCGAACGCTGAGATGAGTCATTCCGTCGTTGAGTAGTAGCAATCAGTCATCGTCGTCACTTCTTTGACTGAACAAGTCCCGGAAGCCGTCGTTGATATCGCCAAAGTAGAATCATTGGCTTGCAAACGAGCATCTGTCTTGGGTTCGTTTCTATATCTCTCCTCGTCCGTCCTGTTGTATTCTACATGTAATACCTAGAAGTCGACGCACAATACAAGCCAGTTCGTTTCCTTCTTGGCAAAGATGCTGCATGCGGTCATTCTTCTGGCATGGTATTGATCTTTGGTGATCTTGAACTCGCACGACGCGGAATCTAATCATCGTTGGTTGTGCTCCAGGCAGCTACCATCACTAGCGAGGCACTTCTTATATTATCACAAGCCATGATTCGGGCTTGCGATGTCTGGCGCCCTCTTAGCATGACGGCGTTGAGGGCTATAAGAGCATCCATCGCTCAGGGCCGAGAAGCAAATTGACATCAGAAAGAAAGCCTTGGCGGTAATGCGCGGTGCGTATGTCTTTGCGATTCTTTGCGAGGTCTTCGCACATTCCGCTGCCTCGGGTGACGGCGGTGAGCTTGCCCGTCTTGTGGAGTCGGAACGCCGAATGAATGAACCGCCACCCTTCAATTGTCAGGCATTATCTGTCTATTCGGCTCATCATACTTTGAAGACGACGACGATGACGGTCATCGACGGCGGTTATCAGCCGCCACCGGCGATGATGGCGGGTTGGTCCTCTGTAATGGGGGTTAAGGAGTGATGCGCGATCTAGGTAATCCTAGCTCTCGCGGAGGGATTGGGTGGAGAGGAGCTACCGCTCTCGTGAATTCATTTTGGCTTTCTTCTGTCTACATTCTTGGTCAACGCTATGTTATATACATCATGGAATCGCCCATAACACCCGTCTTTCAAGAAAAGCTGGCCGCTCAAGCTTGGAACTACCCCTATTGGTATGACGTGCCGCTCTTGGGGCACATCTCATGGCATGGCTCCAAGGCAAAACCTTAGATGCTCCTCCTTAAGTTTAACACGGCATATCTTGTCTGGATAAGTCGAGTCCCATGAACAGCGGAAAGCCAAAGACATACACAGATGAAGACGGTTCTGGGTCGTGTCTCTTTCTTATCGGGGCTTTGGCTGGCTGGCCTACCACGTCTAATCGAATTGAAAGCATTCGAGAACTTCAGCTAGGGCGTCTCGGAGCTGGTTTTTTCCAAGCTTGACGGGTAGGAGAGTAGGGATCAGGTCAGGACAAAACGGAGCTCGACAATTGGATACTCTGCTGAGGATCATTTTGGAGATCATTCAAGGACTGATCAGACGTCAGTCAGTGAATAGCATGTACGATAGAGAGCTACTGTGCGATGATGCCGACTTCGCTCCGGATCATCTTTCTATCATGGCACTATAAAACACCGAAGATTCTCGAGTCCTTGTTGGGGTCACGCACACTTGTAGTGACACGGATCTCGTTTGGATCTTGGAACGAGAGGAGTGAAAGTTGACATCTCCATACCGTACGCGTGATATATATGGACACAGATGTTACTTGAAGCCCACCCAGCTTAGACTCTTGGAGGACAAATCGTCCATGCTTCCCCTGATCTCTTTTCGTTTCCAACTTATTCGTTCACGATTACCCGAGAAAGGGGCAATTCACGAGAACCTTAAGAACCAGAGTCTTTCGGGAGCCTTCGATGACATCTTGGTTGAGCCAGTATCTACTCGTTTCCAGTTTCGCCTCGTCTGAAGCTGATCTACATTCAAGACATCGATGCAATTGCAGCCAACATTTTGTCGCCCTCCAGGGGTAAGTTTTCCAACGTAGGCTTTTATATGCTTTTGAAACAAGATCTCTATGCGTAATTTGATGTCCAGGTTTGTCTCGCCCGCGTTCAAGCTCGATCGCCAGCTATGTAATTATGCGAATGGTACGTAAAGATAAGGTAATTACATGTCACATCCTAAGAGAGAACAAGATAGTAGGTGATGTTTCCTTTCTTCCTGATGACTTTGGAAATACAACTTCAGATATAACCAGTAGAAACATACGTGACGTGCTCTTTTTACGCTGGTGCAACCTACGAACCGATATTCCACCCGCAATACTTTTGAGACAATAACAAAGAATAGAGACACTGTAACAGGCTCATCTCATCTGTGAGGAATGATTCGGGTTTATTAATTTTACGCCAGTCGACAATAGCCTTCTCCCTGAAGCGCAGCTGGGATCTTGAGCTAGCTCATCTCATCGGGAGACGTAAGATGAAGACACATCACAGCGGACCCATGCTGAACAGATCAAATGAGCCTGTTTGATGAGCAACGCCTTACTTCAAAGCATCATCTGGTTATTGGACCCCTTATACTCTGGTGGCTACAGAAAACAAGGACGATCATGGCGGGATGGCTTTCCGATTGGTATGGAAGCGCATCTCGTGCTTTAGAGACAGTTCTTCGACCTCTTTGCATTCACTTGACTCCGCAACTTGGGTTCTTATCCAAGGAAACGAATTCAAAGAACGAATGGGACGATTGATTAAGGAGGTCGCTGTCTTGAGATGGCTTTGGTTCTTTTATTGTCCAATAATCTGCATCGAGGTACGGATATCATGGCTTCAGTCCGTCAAACCCGGATTGAGGCTTTCCAAGGTGTATATCGGGATCGTCTCGATCAAAGTCCGCTCAGCTGGCGCGGTCGATGGTTGGGAATCGAATGAATCCTGATGCGTCAGAAAAGTCTGTCTCGACAACTGGAAGTTTTGTGTTTTGAGGAAGAGGCCGTCCGTCCTAGGGAGCTGTTCATTGCCTCGTCTCTAGTGATCTCTCTTCATCTCCAGGTTATTCATCCGCGACAGAGAGAGAGGCAGGGATAATTTTCTACAACTATGTATCTCAGGTGAAGGCTTTTTTGTGGCTTACGTCGAGACGAGATCAGAAACACTCAATATTTGCGCCAGTCCTACACGTAACACGGATTCAAAGCCAGTGATCTGTCGTGGACTAAGCCCTCTCAAAGCTGTGATGTCCTTTATAGCAATGTTCAAATGAATGAGGTATTCTCTCGGTTAACATTTGAGTGCAGGATCAGGTTCGCTGGAGGATTACGGGACCATAAGGCCCTTGACACTTAAATATGTCTTGTAGGTCATGCCCATCGTCGCAGAACTATATCGAGTTGTTTACAACTTCAGGTCTCGGATTACCATCAATGGCGACAAGAACGAAGCTCGATGAGTGATGATAGGGCTCTTGGTGGGCAAAGTCAACCGTGCCTGGATGAAACGGAACTACACTGAGAAGGAACTCAGTCTTGGCCTGCTTTGATATCCATCTTAGACGCTGGACTGCCTCAAATCAAACAAATCCTACAGCATGCCCATTTCTGATGTCGGCTTCCAGATGATATCAAAGGTGTTAGGGCTTCTGTCAATGTTGCCCAAACATCTCTCATATGCTCCCCAGCTTCCATGGGCGGCTTACGTATGGAGTATATGAGGGAATCGTACTTTGACCAGATGCGACACCTAGATGAAAACAAAACCTGGGGCAGCCATGCTGAGACGTGTTCAGTGAGAACAAAACACGTATGCCTGTGTTCCCTTCAAGGAAGGTTTCTTCCCCTGACGAGTATACCAGTACCCTTACATACACAAATAGCTATTACAATTGTACAGGTATTCCATCCCTCATACTCTCGAGACAACAGCCAGAAGAAACGTGATGTTCTAGTATCATCTAGATTGTTTCAGAAGATAAATGGGGTTCATCGGACTGATGGTGGGCAACGGCGATCTGTCTGTCGTACTGCTGCTAGAAACCAATGCCTGCAAATCATGAAACCAGGTGCCAAGGTTCTGGCGGGAATTGCATCATACAAAAGATACTAGATATATAAGTAGATATACGGCTAAGGCGGCAGGCACACCTTCCTTGTCTATTGGTGTGCAAGGACAATATAGTTCAGCCGTTAACATGGTGACGCTCGTAACGATGTTGAAGCTACTCATAATCATAGCCAACTAAGCATCCATGGACGGCGATCCTCCTTCACTAGCTAGCGCCGCCTCGTCCGCATTAGATCCAGGCTATGGCAGAATGTCAGCATCTTGTTAACAGCTTGGAACAACAATGAGTTGGCAGCCTCATTCACTGGGTTTGACTCAAACAGTTCCATGAGTAATGCTTTCATTGGCAATGTCTTTGACGTCATATACTCCTAAGTCCAGTCCCATGTTCCTCAAGTCTCCACGGGCTCTGGACTGTCATTTCCGTCCACATATACATGTATTAATATACAAGAGAGGACAATAGAGGACAGGGGGAAGGGCCGAGGGTTTGGCTTACCTTAAATCAGTCAACATAGACACAATCATAGAGCATCAACACTAAGCTCCACCCCCCTGTCGTTCAGTATTGTATACACGACTGGTCGCCAGCAGAGCCCCAACTGATGGAGCACTTCCAATATGAGCGCACTAAGCATTGCATTTAAAGCTCTGTCTTCGTTACTTGCTAGACCGCAAACATGCCCTTACGGTAATGACAGCAAAGTTAAGAGTTCAGAGCAAACCGTGAGTGGGCGCTCGAGAAATACTGGCATCTCATCGAGAGACTTCTGGAGACAAGTACTGGCATATTGCTATGGGCACGTAGCTAGCTACAAGAATGGTGTGCGATGGTAGTTTTTCCCTGGCGTTGATATCATAGGCTTCAAGATCACTATTCGAGCAATGCTCTGAAGGTGGTGGTGAAGTTGTTAAGTTCGCGATATCTGTGGTAGACCCAGGAAGCGTCGCACGCCTTTGCCTTTCGCAAGCCGAGATGATTTATAACCGCCAAAAAGAAAGAAAGATTTGAACATTAAGCTGCAGTTTCTCCAGCAGCTATGGTAGAATAAGTGCGGCGTAGAGAATGGCAAGAAAAAAAAAGAGCAAAAAAGCCAGAAACCCGACTCGAACTCACGGCCTTCCCGGGTGGGAAACGTTTCTCAAAAGGACATCAAGGTGTGACATCTCGTCGAGCACAAAGGAAGTACCTCGACATGGCCCTCCCATACAAAATCAGCGGCGCAAAAATGCAAAAAAACAATGAGACGCTCCCGGAGATATGTAGAGTCACCAAATTTTGTTGAATTAGCCGAACCCAGGCTTACACCATCCACCCTTAGACCATGTTGCAACGTTCGCCGTACTCATTGTTGACGGCAAAGGAACTAAACGCACCTAAGAGGCTTCCCACCCAGACTACGCAGGACGGATGACTTTTTCGTTGCCGTTCGCTGCACCACACCTGCGTGTCCTCGCTAGGAATCGTTGCCCGCAGAACAGCTCGCATAGCCGTCGTCGACCCGAGCCTCTCGTAAGCATGATATTCCTCATGGGGCTACGCAAGCGCTCGTTGCATCACGGAAACACGGAGAAATTATTCAGTGACTGCATGCAAGCATCGTCGCGAACATGCCACATTGAGTTACACAGTTGGGGTCGCATGGTGAGCCTGAGCAAAGCTACTTCTTTTCTTCTCATTACTGTGAAGCTACTATTACAAGTCTCCGAGCCGTTTCCCTCTTCGCATGGGCGAAGGTATCAAGATGAGAATCCTGTAACTCAACTCCTCGCAAGCATATTGCTATTGTACAAACTGGAGAGGGAGGCTGCCTCTTGTCCTGAAATCTCTAAATACGGCGGATGCGACCGCCGCTTTAACATTGTGAATTGCAAGTCCGCATGTGGCTGGTTTACTGAGTCATGATCGGGTTACCACCAAAGTCCACCGTGCCGTCCATATTCATCATCATGCTGGGGCCAGGGACCATGCCACCTCCGTTGGGCATGAGACCACTCGGCCCAGCGAGCGAAAGCAGACCTCGACCGAGCTCGCCGACGGGGTGCAGTGGGTAGACGGAAGACTCCATGCTGTTGCCATCGAAAACAACCATGTTCTGAATGGGCTGCTGAGTCTGTCCAAGGACGTTGATGACGTCCTGCGCGAGTTGACCTCCGAGAATAGCGGTGACAGGGGCCATCTCGCTGCCGATGTTCTGCAAGAAGCTCCGAAGGACCTCAGATTTCAAAGTCTCGGATGGAAGACCAAGCTGGGCGTGCTTAGCCGTGGCGAGCTTGGTGAACAGGCCGAGGTCCTCCTTGTTATGGTTGGGCAAACGACCGCCGTTAAGGACCTGGAAGTCCCAGAGAGCTCTCAAGCAGGAGAGCACAGGGCTGACGGCCTTCTTGCGACGCTGGCTCTTCGCGTACTCTTCAGGCAACGTGGCACCGTCACTAGCAAGGTACCAGGTTGAGTAGAGTTCGCGCTTCGTGACCATCTCGATGTTCTTGCCGCCCTCCTTCTTGGTGTTCACGGTGACAACACTGCGGGTCCTCGTCTCAGGCTGCAGTTTTGTCGCGACGTTGCCGAGATCCCTCTCAATGACGTAGTCGTGCTCGATCAGATCGGAGAAGATGAAACCATACATGCCATGGGTACCAGCAGCGTAGAAGGCCTTCTGGTGCAGACGGGTGGCGGTGTTGATGATATTGAGGGAGTCCGGGTCGAGGTCGGTAGCGATGACGATATCGAATCCTGAAAAGTAGCTGGTTCCCTTAGACTTGATGCCCTCGGCATCGACTTGGACCTTGACGCGCGGGTTGAGCTTCTGGATGGAGGCAGCGGCAGCCTGAGCGCGGTTTTGACCGACGTGGTTCTCCTCCTCAGAAAGGAAGAATTGTGAACCGAGATCGGACTCTGAGACGGCAGCACCATCGAGAATAGTGAGAGTACCAATACCAGCCAGGACAAGGTTCTTGGCGATCTCGTTCGCAAGGGCCTTCATCGTGATGAGAAGGATGTTGGCATTGCGGATCTTCTCCTGGGCCTTCATACCCCAGAGGCGGATCTGACGGTCGTAAAGCGCGATCTCATCTAGATTGTGTCAGTTGTGAGATGGAACGAAGAGTAGGAGAAGCTTACCTGCGCTCATTTCATTAACAGGAATATTCGATAAGGCGCCGTTGTTCAGGAGCATCTGCTGGGCGTCTGGTTGAAGAAGCGGCATGAACATCTCGCCGCCTGGGGGCAGCATGCCGGGAAGGATCTCAGGCATGGCTCCTGGGATGACCTCCTGCAGAGCTTCGGGAAGAACCTGGTCCATAGGCGCTTGCAAGTTGTGATGGAATCCGTTGGCCGCGTCAGGCATAGGATGAGTTGGGATGGACATTTGCTGGGGCGGCGGCGGCGCGTTGTTGTTAGGTGCAGGCGCCTCTTGGGCAGGCTTCTCCTGCGGTTGCGCTTGACCTTCCATCGTGAACTGAGATATGTCAAGAGTAGTGAAGGAAGGTACGATGAAGCGCGGTCGTTATGCGGTTCGGACGGAATGAGCCGATGGCTGATTCGTCGGACGTCTTCTTGAGATGAGTTTAGGCGCAAGTACCGACTTGCGATATGCGCAGGCGCAGGTGCAGCGAATCGGTAAAGGCAAAGCGAAACCGATTGGGTGAGCTCGGCTGGGTGGAGAGGTGTCGCGGATATCGCAGCTCCCGTTCCCGTGCTACCTGCTGTTGCTAGTGGAGGAGAGATTGAATCGCTTCAAAAAATGTCGCCTGCTAAAGAGAGTTGATGTTGATATAAAGCAAGAATGGCCTCAGCTCATGAAGCGAGGCTGACAGCCAGTGGTTCGGTTCACTGAGAGAAGCTTCAGCAAACAGAAATTGTTAACGTGACGACCAGGCACGTCCGACACAGGCCCCGGAATGGCACGGATGACGCGCTAAGGCCATGCTTAAGTGGTACCTTGACTCACGTGCAAGACAAGTGGGAATCGCAAGTATCTGCTAGCATTTCCAACCGCCACCTCCTTCCTTGCATCACAGGTTCATACAGGCACGGAACCCCGCGATGGACAGGGCCAGGGGCTTACTTTAGCGGGCGTATCAGGGCGATCCTACCACTGACACCGACCGCCTGTCCGTTTACTGCCTCCCGCTGGGTTGGACTTTGCAGCAGCTTTCCAACTTCCATCATCGACCAACCAACTGCCTCCGCCATCTGTCCTGCTGACGACACACCAACAAGCTGCCGCGACGGCTCTTCGCGCCAGAGACCTCTGGCTTCCTCGAAACACTTCCTCTTACAGACCTGCCGACTGTCGAGCGCACCAGTCTTTGGTTCCAGCGATTGAGGATTCACAAATACCTTCTGCGTGAGTTCCCCCCCGGTGGAGGAGGTTCCGCCCTTGCCTTCGAACCCTACCCTCGGCAGCCTAAAGCCACGAACCGCAAAGCTTTCTCGTACGTTGCCTTGGTTTCTGATCAGTCTTCCAGGTCTCATCCTTCGACTGGATTGCTACAGATTGTCTCGCAGTCGACCTCGTTTGCAAACCCAAGCGGCATCAAATTTCACCGAAACCACCGTTCGCGAACCCACAATTCTTACGTCGATTCGACCGCTCATCCTTCCAAGCCTTCCGACTACCTGGAACTCAGGCACAGGAAACGAACAACTCCTAACTGACGGTTCTCCTGGTGCTTGCGACCCGGGCCTTGGTATCGTTCCTCGTCGAAGCATGTCGTCGCAGCGGCCGGGCCCGAGTCAGAATTCTCAACGACGAGACAACGACTTTCCACCCCTACCGCCCCTACCGCCACATCGCAGGCTAGAGCAGTTGCTATCTTTGCCCACACCCCGCGCTCATCCTCCGCCCCCACCTCGCCGTCATTTGTGGGAAGTCGAGCCTGACACTTCTCGGGCAACTCAGCAAGATCCTGACGAGGCGGAAATAGAGGACATACTCCGATTCGCACGACGAGAAATGACCGATAGAAACTTCCAGGCCGAATACGACGAGCTTCTGGGTAACTTTGTAGGCAACACGTTAAGTGAACTCACGCCGTTCATGTCTGGACCAGAATACAACCCGAACCTGGACCGTACACGGAATCGAGGTGCTGCGGCCAGCGTGCTGGAAACCCTGCAGCGCGACCAAAGAGAAGAGGACGACTCCCGGCGCCAAGCCACACAGCTGCCCCCGGTTTTTGGATACAGGACCGCTAGATCTCTGAGCGGTCGGCAGCGACTTGACGGCACTGAGGACGACCTGGAGGCGGTGAGGGCCTTGTGGAACAGAAGAGCGCAATATAGCTCGTCGCCCTTCTCTCCACCTAGGATGCCTCCCAATCAGTCACCGCGCAACCTGTCGCCGCTTCCTCATTCGGAAGAGTATCCCGAAGAGAATCGTCGGGTAAAGAGGAGGAAGCTGGATTCTGAAAAGGCCTCGCAGGCTTTCAAAGGCTTTCGTTATGGGTGGTATGGGCAGGTGGAGCCTGGTCAACTGAAGATGGAAATCATGAGCTGCGACGGCGGCTTGTTCGAGAATGCGCCTTCATACGCTCATGAAAACATACTAAGAGACGACAAAACTGTCTACTGCACGCAGAGTAACCGATGCAATATCGTCCTAAAACACCAGGGCTGTACGGCCTTCAGCCTGAAAGAGCTTGTGATCAAGGCACCCGCTTCAAACTACTCATCACCGTAAGTCGATTTTTACAGTCATGAGCATGCGGAAGGCGGCTGATGTTCTAGCAGTGTGCGAGAGGGCATGGTGTTCGTATCTATGAACCAAGATGAGATCATGACGAGGACGGCAGCATACGAAATACAGTACGCCCCACTGAGGTCGGGACGAGCTGCTTCTACAAGGCCGCTGGCTCCGATCATATCCATTCGACACCATGAAGACGGTACCACAGTGACTAGAACACATACGCGACAGAGACGACTGTACAGCTTGGGGGCGGGTGAGGACGAAGAAAACGAGCAACGGACGGCACAAATCCCGGCGGAATTTACTAGCCAACCACCGCTTTTCAATGTCACAACTGAGTGTAGTTACGAAGAGACGGACGACGAAGACACGCCGAGAATCTCTGTCAACCGGCGCGCACCCAATAGAATTGGATCACTGCCATTCGAGAGCGACAGCAGTGACGATGGCAACCCATTTGCATCAGACGAGTACGGTTTTGAGGACTCTTTCAATAATAGGCGTCGAGACCCATCGGGTGGCACGTCTCTGGCAGAGGCCGTGGAGGCGGACCAGATGGCCACCCAGGAGGCTGTGCGAGCCGTAGGCGGTGAACTCATGGCCCCCCATGCAAAGTTCTTCATCGAGAAGGACAAAAGCAAGTGCACCATACGGTTTGACCCCCCAGTATCGGGGAGGTTTATTCTTCTCAAGATGTGGAGTAGCAGCCGGGCGTCCGGCAGCAATATCGACATCCAAGCAGTACTCGCCAAGGGGTTCGCGGGACCACGATATTTCCCTTCGGTGGAGTTGCGTTAAGTCAATGGACGATGGAAATACGACAAATAACACATATTTCTTAATCAACAAAGGGTGGTTATAGTTGCTCACGAAGGAACGTCATATGGAGTTACGGTTTTCAAAGGGGTGCAATTGGGCTCCTAAGGTGACATGAATAGTCACATTATTATACCATCCACGAATTGATCTGAAGCTTCATCATTAGAGATTTGGATGGTTGCAACCTGACGCAAGGTCCAGTATGAAGAGTGCATGTCCACCTTGCAAATATGAATATCTGATTCATTCATTTGACACACAATCGCGATGCACTCTATCTGTCCTGAACAGGCTGATATCAGAGCTAAAAGCGATTGATTATATGTGAGATGTCTCTGGTGGTTAAGTCCGATTTGACGGTTCGTCGGAGCAACCCACCAATCGCCCGCCGCCCGTAGGCCATTTCGGTCGTCCCGCAAAAACTCAGAACCAACAACCCTGAAGTCCAATCAACCATAACGACGGCTTCTCCTCTCCCCTTGTCACTTTGAGAAGAGAACCAGACAAATAACGACTTTATCTTTTCTTGTTTCGTCGTGCTTCACAAGGAAAAAAGGTCACCGGATCAAACGCAAAATGAGCCACGAACTCACCCTCATCGTCGCGGCCACGCGCAACATGGGTATCGGGGCCAAGGGCGGTCTCCCGTGGACGGGACTCAAGAAGGAGATGGCGTACTTTGCGCGTGTGACCAAGAGGCTTCCAGCTCAGGTTAGTATACCCCCGACGACGCATGTGCATCATCATCGTCGTCTGTCGTCGTGAGAGCTTCTGAGCATACATGGTGTTTCGGCTACCGACATCACTTTGCATCACTACCCAAGCTCGAAGCAACTCAACTGGAGGAAAAAGAAATCTTGCCGTCCATACTGACCAGCGATATAGGCTCCCCCAACCGCAAAGAACGCAGTCATAATGGGCCGCAAGACATGGGACAGCATCCCCCCGCGCTTCAGACCCCTCAAAGACCGCCTCAACATCGTCATCAGCCGCTCGCACCCGGCGACCCCTCAACACCCCGAGGACGTCGCGAAGGGGCCCGTCAAGGTCGATTCCCTCGAGCAGGCCCTCGCCTTCCTACGCGGCCGCCCCGCGGGGGAGGTGGGCAAGGTGTTCGTGATCGGGGGCGCGCAGATCTACGGCGCGGCGCTGGGGGTTCCGGAGGCCAAGAGGGTGCTGCTGACGCGGGTGACGAGCGATTTCGAGTGTGATGCTTTCTTCCCGCTCGAGCTTGGCGGGGATGCTACGGCGGAGGGTTGGAGGAGGATGGGGAAGGAGGAGCATGATGGGTGGGTTGGGGAGGAGGTTGAAGGGGGCGAGGTCGAGGAGAACGGGACGAGGTATGAGTTCCAGATGTGGGAGAAGGCGTGAGGTGGCTTCGTATTCAAGATAGAGGAGGAACTTTTTTCAATGCCATTCCCGATCCCGATGCGTCTTTAATATGCTGGTGATTGTACAGAATTACAAGAAAGCGTACCATACCCTCCGCGAAGGATGAGTTCCGATGGTATACACAGCGACACCAGGTTCCGACTCATACAGACTCATCTCACAGCACCTTGGCAGCTGCCTCCTTTAACGCCCCAACATCATCGTACACAGCACCTCTCCTGTCAGAAACCGGCTCCGGCGGCGGCATCTCCTCCCCCTTGGACCCCAGCTTCTCGAACTCCCCGGCCAGCTCCGGCCCGAACGCATCCACGAGTCTGAACATATCCTTCAGGTCCCGCTTGAAGACGGCGCGCGGGTCGACCAGGAGATCTTCGACGGCGCCGGCCTCAAGGTCGCGCAACGAAGCACGGATCCACGCGACGACAGCGGCGACCTGGCGCATGTCGGCGTCTTCGCGGGACTTGAAGAGGTTTCGCCAGACGGCGGCGGCGAGGACGCGGTCATCCTTGACGACGCCCTCGTCGTAGGCGGCGATGAGGCCGCGCCACTGGACGAAGATCTCCTTCAGGTAGCGCTGGCGGAGGGCGGAAGAAGTCATGCCGTGGTTGAGGTGCATCATGCGCTCGCAGTCGAAGAAGAACTGGTCGATGAACTGGTGCTGGAGGGCCTGGGCGGCGTCGCGGTCGAGGCAGCGGAGGCGGGCGAGGACAAGGTACATGTGCAGCATCGTCGTCTGGGACCAGGAGCTGAAGGAGGGTTGGAGGTCGAGGACTGTTTTGGCCAGCGAGTTAGCATATGCCGTGAAGCGCACGAACGTAGCGGGGGAGGGGAAACTGCTTACGATCGAGCCAAGGACCCTGGGCCTCGCCGACTTCCTCGCCGTCCTCGGTCATGCGCACCGTCTCGTTGTGACGGTCTTGCTCTGAGATTTTGTACAGCGCGGGCTTGGCGCAAGCTCCGTACAGCGCCTCGAGACGGGAAGTTGTCAGGGACGCAGCCATGGTCTTGGGTGCTGCGGCAAGCATGCCGGCGCGGATGGCCTGCTTGAAGCCCGCGTTTCCGGCATTCCGTGATGCGGCGGACTGGCTGAAGTGTCTCCTCCCGGTCGGCTGAGCGGGGCTTGTCCGTGTCGTCGTCGTCGGTGTAGAGGAGGTTATCGCCGCCAGGCGGGGAAGGGAGCCCTGCGCCGATGCGCTCGAGAGGTCTGCGGTGGCTCGCAGGCTCCGAGCCAGGAGCCGGGCCTGATAACGGCAACTTTGACAGGCCATAGTTTGTTTAAGTTGGTCTGGATGTTCAGCAACGCATGGATTTGGCGAGACGGAGGATATCGGCGAATTGGGGGCGGCAATTGGTTTTTGCAGCTCGGGCCGTATTCACGAGACTTAAGTCTGAACGTCATCTAAAAAGTTCATGAACATCATCGAATTGGAAATTTCGAGCTAGCGCAGATGCCAGGCCGGCGGAACTTCGGGTGATCCGCCGAAGCACCGTGTGCCGTTTGTCGAGTGCGCACAGTGATGATGTCCATTGACCGAACTCAAGTCATCTTGCCTTCTCGTCCCTTGCAGCAGAGTTGTGCCGATTCCAACACTCCGTTTACTGATCATTTCAGATGATTCAACTCGGTAGACGGAATCCGGATCTGACATTTGAGCGCGCCGGGTAAGATTACTCTGAGCCTGCGGGCGAATCCAATCAGAATACAGTTTGCGCCATATGAGACCGTCTTTATTTGCGTTTATCGGCAATTCTATCTCACACAAGTGGTGATTCCAATGATATAGCGAGGATGACGACGACAAGCTTCGTCTCGTCTTTTCGTATTGCTCTAGACGCGAACTCTGAGCCTGATAACGAGCTGGGGCGGAAGCATCCGCCTCGCTTCCGCAACTTCGTGGTTCGTCGCTAATGAATTTCCCTTATCGAAGTTTGGAAAAAACCAACGATGCATTCGTACCACCAAAGCCAAAGCTATTAGACATGGCTACGTTGACCTGTTTCGCTTGTGCTTTGAGGGGTACCAGATTCATGGATCCCCCGACGTCGGGGTTCTCGAGATTTAGTGTAGGCGGCACGACATCCTTGAAAGAGTCAGTAGACATGTTCATTTCGGCCAAAGTCTGGGGAAGATAAGGTTTCGGTTTCAGAAGCGAATAGCCGCGACCTAGGACTCACCTCCGCCACTGATAACACGGCGAACATGGCCTCGATGGCGCCAGCCGCGCCCAGTAGATGCCCGACGGCTCCTTTGGTGCTGCTCACAGTGACCTGCGACTCGTCCGCGTGGCCCTCCTCGCCCGTCATGATACTTCGAATCGCGGAAGCTTCAGCCGCATCGCCAACCTGCGTCGCGGTAGCGTGGGCGTTGATGTAACTTACATCGGCCGGTGGGATTCCCGCATTCTTTAAAGCAAGCTTCATCGCGCGAAACGCGCCTCGACCGTCTTCTCGCGGAGCCGTCATATGATGTGCGTCGCCGCTGCAGCCGTAGCCTTTGACCTCCGCGTAGATGTGAGCACCCCGGGCCCTGGCGTGCTCCAGTTCTTCCAGGACCAGGACCGCCGCACCCTCCGAGACGACGAAACCGTTGCGGTCGCGGTCGAAGGGACGACAGCTTGCGTGGGGGCTGTCGTTGTAAGCCGTGGAGAGGGACCTTGCCCTCCCGAAACCCGCAAAGGTCAAGGGATGGATGCAGGATTCCGTGCCGCCAGCAACCATGACGTCGGCGTCTCCAAAAGCAATGAATCGCATCGCGTCGCCTATGGAGTGCGCTCCGGTCGTGCAAGCCGTAGTGACGGCGTGATTGGGGCCTTGTAGACCGTATTTCATCGATATATGGCCGGCGGCCAAATTGATGAGAATCTTGGGGACGAAGAGCGGCGAAACCTTCTTGTAGCCCTACCCGAACAGACTTTAGCTTGGCTACGCTCGTCGATCACTGATGGTCGAATCTCACTTGCTGATTGAACGCCAAGCTCGTCTCGTAAATCTCCTCAAGATTGCCAATACCACTGCCCAGACAGAGGCCCGTTGCTTCCAGATCGTCTTGGCTTTGCGGTTTCCAACCGGCATCTTTCATTGCCATGTCCGCACAGGCCACGGCGTACTGGGCAAACTTGGACATGCGACGTTGTTCCGTGGCGTTGAGCCAGTCGGACGAGCGCCACTGCTCTGGACCTGTGCCATGGCTGGGGACTACACCAGCAACTGTGCTTGTCAGGTCTTTCCACTGCTTCTGAGGCTCGAAGCTGGCCACGCTGGTGATGCCCGACTCTCCAGCCAACAGACGATTCCACGTGTTGCGCACGCCGACCCCAAAGGGTGAGACGACACCAAGCCCTGTCACGACAACTCGTCGCATGATGCGGCCATGTCCAGGGTGATGATGATCTGTGTGGTCACCTTCGCCTCATGGACGCACCGACTAATAATCGGTGTGAAGATAACGGCAAGGAAGGGAAAAGGCGGGGGAGGTGGGCTGTTGGCGTGATTTTTCGATAACGTATCAAGAAAGACGAGGGTCTGTCTTGAGGCACTGCCAGCGTGGGAAGTGAGTGTCAAGTGTCAATTCGCCAAGTCGGCAGTGGCAGGTGAATCGAAGATTGAAGTCAGAACAATGTTAGAAAACTGCTGCAAACTGCAGGAAGACGCGGTTAGGCCGTTTCTGCTACGCCGCACAGATGCAGTTTAGCGCACCCCGATAGGCAGGTACGTACTCTGTACCGATATCTTATCAGTGCGGCTGCTGCTGCAGGGGGCCTCGCAGACACTGTGCTGTCAGGGGCAGTCATAGCGGATAGAGCACATTTAAGACGCCACTGGCACAGTGTTAGAAGACCCTGACAGGCGGCCAGGCCTAATTACAGCGGGAAGCGGGGGACGCTACTGCGGTACCTAATGCCGCCGCAATTGGGTCCTGGGCCCCGGATCTAGCCAACGAGGGTCCAATAGAACCGGGGGATTGTCCTCTGCGCCGCAAATGCAACGCAACGCCGCGCAACGACACACGTTGCTCACTCACTCACTCACTTCCATTCCTCTCACAACTTACCCCCACGAGCCGCCAAACCTTCTTCTTCTTGCATTCACTTACAATCGGCTTCCAGTATCTTTCCCCTTCGTCGTGAGACTGAAGGGTGACATCCTATCCAACCCATCGGAACTTCTTTCCCTGCATATTCAGGGGCAACCCAATCCCAACACTCTAGAAAGAACGAACTCCCCGGTTGACGACATCTCAACTTGCCATCGAGCCACGTTTCAGACAACATCGTGTTCCTGGCATTCCAAATCGACATTATCGACCACGTTAAGCAGCCAAGAGAAACATCACGCAGCCTTCAGGAACAAGAGGCAACACCCCAATCTTGGCTTTGCCCATCTGGCAGGGTCTCCCATCGCATCTCGGCCATCGCGGCACGCAAACAAGACGACTCTATCCCCGCAACTTGCGGCTCTCTAGCAACTCGGCCCTCTACCTAGTCGCCACACCCACACGCATCTGTGCTGAGTTGTGCCGCAGCTTGGTTTCAGCGTCGCATTTGTTTCCCTTCCCATCGATTGACCTCAGTCGTCCTATGAAAGCCGCCACACGCTTTACTTCTCGCCCACCCTTCGAGCACGAGCGTTGGCTCCGGTCCTGGTATCGGGACAGACGCCTTCCTTGAGACTAGGCCCCTTCATGCCTTCGCCCGCGATTCTAATCGATATCTCTGGCCGTCCGATCATCCTACATCCGACATCTCACGACTTCGACCAGTCAAATTCCTCGCCTTTGTTCAGTCTGATCCTTGTCCTCTGATCGCCGTGCTTCCTTCTGCCGAGCATCACCCTGTTTCCCTCAGAGCACGGGGTCGGCCTCTACTCAGCAAGCCTGCGGCCCTGCGGGTTGATTCAACTCGAGTCCCAGGTCCAATCACGCCACCACTAGCCTCGCAGAACTCATCAGAGGCTTATCGGGTACATCCAAAAGGTTTCCATTAGCGTTTGCTTCATGTTCGTCTGGGATCGGCGCTCGTAGCTCAGCGGGTTTCCCTCTACCCGTCTTCCAACCGCGCTTCCGCCTGGACACTTTAGACTCTCCCCTATATAGAAACCCACTGCCTTCTTCCTCCTTTTGGACGTTTTAGCCCTTGCGTCGATGATTGTGCTCCCTCGCTGCCAACTCAGTCTGGGAATACCTTCAACATGGCCCAACCATCAAGTGCCAAGTCGTCTGGAACGGCTTACGGACCTATGGTGGTAGACCACGATCGCGGGTACGACGAAAAACAGGAAGGGGTTGAAGTCAGTGGGCGCGAGATCAACCCTGCCTCCGACTCGACCACGTCGAGATACCAAGACCGGCCTGATCCGGTCGAGGACTTGAAGGAGCGCCTCTCGCAATGGGGTGAGTCTAGTGTCTATGCCGGTTACTCTGATGATGAAGAGCAAGGGTCCGAACATGAACTTCTCTTAGATCCCAATCTGCCCGAAGAATACGAGACGAGAGTACGAAAGGCCTCGACTCCGACGGAAGAGGTCGACGATGAGCTCGCCATGAAGGCTGAGGAGGAGGAGGACTCACCGTATCCCGAAGTTCGCGCCGCCGTCCGCAACTACGACGAAGATGTGCCATGCAACACGATCCGAGCATGGACAATCGGTCTCCTCCTGGTCACCGTTGGTGCCTCCATGAACACTCTTTTCTCACTGAGACAGCCTTCCATCGGTCTTGGTCCTTTGATCGCTCAGATTATCGCCTGGCCTATGGGACACGGATGGGCGAAGGTCATGCCAACGAAGCAGTTTAAGACATTCGGCATCAAGTGGAGTTTGAATCCGGGTCCGTTCAACGTGAAGGAGCATTCCATCATCGTTGTGATGGCTGGTGTTTCGTTCTCTGTCGCGTACGCTACGGATATCATTCTGGCTCAGCTTGTGTTCTACAAGCAGGACTTTGGTATTCTCTTCCAGCTGCTCCTCACCATTTCGACACAGTCGCTTGGCTACGGAATCGCCGGCATCATGAGAAAGTTCCTCGGTATGTATGTTTGAATTTGGGTGGCGGACAAACTTACTAACATTGTCCTCAGTTTACCCGGCAGCCATGATCTGGCCCGGAAACCTGGTCTCCGTCACATTGATGAACGCCATGTACGAGAAGAACGACCGGCCTGATCCGAGCTTTATTGGTGGCAGCATGCCCCGATACAAGTGGTTCTCCATCATCGTGTTGGCCTCCTTCTGCTACTACTGGATTCCGGGTTTCCTGGCCCAATTCCTTAGCATCATGGCATTCGCGACCTGGATCGCTCCCAACAACGTGATCATCAACCAGCTGTTCGGTGGTACCAGCGGTCTGTCTCTGCTGCCATTGACCCTCGACTGGACTCAGATCTCCGGTTTCGTTGGCTCTCCGCTTATTCCTCCATGGTGAGTAATTCCATTACTGCGTGACGAATGCAGTCTGACAAGTTCACAGGCACGCCATTGCCAACACCCTCATCGGTGTTGTCACATTCTTCCTGATCGGCTGCTCAGTCTTCCACTACTCCGGTGTCTGGTACGCCCAGTTCCTGCCCATGAGCGATTCGGGCACCTACGACAACACCGGAAAGCCGTACAACACCAGCCGCATCCTGACCCCTCAGCTGACGCTGAACGAGGAGGCCTACAAGAACTATTCGCCTCTGTTCATCAGCACCACGTTCGCTATGTCTTACGGCCTGTCCTTCGCTGCCATTGCTTCCCTGATTGTCTACACCTACCTGCACAACGGCAAGCAGATTTGGGCGCAGTACCGCGGCAGCACCAAGGAGAAGCCAGATATTCACATGAAGCTGATGAAGAAGTACAAGGAGGCGCCGACCTGGTGGTACATGGGCTTGTTCGTGATTGTGAGTTAATGGACACGAGATTTCATCGGACTCAGCAACTAACTTTTTACAGATGCTTGGCCTTGGCTTTGTCACCGTCCTCGCGTATCCGACCAACCTGACATGGTGGGCCTTCCTTCTGGCCGTCGCCATTTCCTTCGGCTTCTCGCTGCCCATCGGTATCATCCAGGCCATCACCAACAACCAGATCGGCCTGAACGTGCTTACCGAGTTCATCTACGGCTACATCCAACCCGGACGGCCGCTCGCCCTGATGATGTGAGTTTGACCGCCAGAAAAGCAGCTTGATCAGTGTTAACAGCCCTCCAGCTTCAAGACATTCGGCTACATCACCATGTCCCAGTCGCTCAGCTTCGTGTCTGATCTCAAGTTCGGCCACTACATGAAGATTCCCCCACGCACCATGTTCATGTGCCAGGTCGTGGCCACGACCTTCTCCTGCTTCATCCAGATCGCGGTGCTCAACGCCGCGCTGAAGAACATCCCGGACGTCTGCACGCCGCACCAGGAGAATAAGTTCAGCTGCCCCGGCGGTCGTGTCTTCTTTGCCGCCTCCGTCATTTGGGGTCTCATCGGACCAGCCCGCATGTTCTCCCCGGGTCAGGTCTACTCAGGCCTCTTCATCTTCTTCGGCCTCGGCGCCATCCTCCCCGTCATCATCTACTTCGCCGCCCTGAAGTGGCCCAAGTCCCCCGTCAAGTACCTCATGGCCCCCGTCATCTTCGGCGGTGCCGGCGCCATCCCTCCTGCCACGCCCCTCAACTACCTCAGCTGGGGTGTTGTCGGCTACATCTTCCAGCACCACATCCGCAAGAGACACTTTGGCTGGTGGTCGCGCCTCAACTACCTCACCTCGTCCGGTCTGGACCTGGGTCTGGCGCTTGCTACTTTGATCATTTTCCTGGCCTTCACGCTTAACAAGATCGAGCCGCCCAAGTGGTGGGGTAACGACATCGTGACGGCGACGATGGATGCGCAAGGCACCGCTGTTCAGACGGTGCCAGGGCCAGGGGAGAAGTTCGGACCCAAGAGCTGGTAAAAAGGAGGTGTACAAGGCGCTACGGCTTTTTGTTGAACTTGGGATATTTTTTTATATAGGGGACAACGGGATTGGATAAGGGGGGAGACAACCCAAGGTTGAATGGGTTCAGATATGGTAGAGGGCTGGTAACCACGATACTAGGCTGCTTCAATTATTGTGTATATTCTGTACTTAGCCGCGCTAGTCGACGTTTTGTCTAATCTTACTGGTTGTTTCTGTACAAAACTTGGTGTATAGTCACTTGGACTCAGACGTTGTGATTAGTGCTCACATCGAAAGATCAATGGCGTTCTTCTCAAGGCAGTGTGGACTACACCTCGCGGGATGTAATTTAACGAATATCAACTGAGACGAAGTATGATTTGGACTAAATCCAGCGCCCCAGCATATCTCCATCGTTCATGGATATTTTACCGACTTCATATCAGGAGCATAAACGCGCAGTGCCCCACGCCGAAGCACAGGAAAAGTCGAACCACAACCCATCCACAAAACTTACACCAGACGTCATCAGAAATCCCATCTCGGGTCGAAATTCCCCATCTTTGTTAGGACTGATCAAGTCGGCGAAGTCGGGCTCGGTCTATTTCGTTCTACTACGGCTCCAGGATCCTCACCTACTTACCATCCACTTACACCACGACCGGCCGGGGCTGGCTCAACAATCCATCTGTCCCAAAAAGCCGCCCCCCCCCCCTCCCCGCCAATGCGGTCTCGGCGTTCCGACACCGAGATCACAGAAACGCGGATTCGCAGATCTCACAGAAAATCCAACCCACATTGTGCGTCCGTTGAAACCGACGACGTCGCATCGGCGGTGGACTGTATGTGTGCAGTGTGTTTGCCTGCCGCCCGGCGGCCCTGGCGCACGGCGGGCGGGCGGGTGGGTTTCTTGGACCCCGCTGAAGGCGCTAACGGTTCGGGGCAGGAAACGGCTGGGGCCGTGAGGTGGGCCACTAACGGGCTGGTCATGTTTACTGCGACGTGAATGGACGGCGTGGAAGCCACAAGAGACAAGGAGGGACGCTGTCACCTCAGTTGGAATGTTGATGCATTGAAGTTTGTTGGGGGCGAGGAGAGAGAGAAATTCGGCACTAGAACACGCAGGTTTCGAAGTTTTGCAGCTATTGTTTCTTGTGGGTGTGCAGCCCGTCTTTTTTTTTTCTTCCTTGCCACGGCCCGAATGCCCCCCCTTTTTCTCGGACGGGGCTTGGAGGCTGAAAAGCGCAGAAGTCGGGACGATGCTGTCATTTTGTCTGTGCGAATGTGTGGTGCATGTGTCATGGGCCTGCCAAGGGGATGGGGAAGACGGATGGTCGTACAAGACGACGAGTCAAGATGTAGGTCGAGTCGCACTAGAACTGATGTTCAGCTGCTTGGTGTTTGCCAAGATGGGTATCGCGAGATGCCGGAGCGGGTGGAACTTTGGTGTTTCTTGGATGGATGGTGTTGGTTCCCCACAAGAGAGAGCCAAGATGATTATCGCTGCGGGTTGGTTGGGATCAATGGCTTTCCCGATGGAGTATCGAGGATCATGAGACTGGAGGTCAGGTTCAACGATTCACTGTGAAGACTCCCTCGAGCTCCGAGTCCCTGCAAATCCACATGGGCCACAACCAAAGCGACTCGCTGCGTTGAGTTTGATATTCCCTCGACATGCGGCCCCGAATCAACCCCGTTGCAAACATCCACACCGAGGGGGGCACCGGGGCACACTGGCCGGGCCCAGAGGAAGACCGGTGTAGAAGAATACATTTGTCAGGCAAGATGGGACTTTGGAAGTTGTCCAGGCCCTCTCCTTCTCTGCCATGTTTTCTTATTCAACTCCACCAAAACCCAATCGTGCGGGAACGTTGCTTTTTTTTCTTGCCCCCAACTCCACGCCGGTATGCACGAATCGTACGAAGAAACGGCGCTAGACCTGGAACCACGGCCTCGCCGTTGAGACACGATTTCACTGTGATCTGCGCCCTTTTATGGTGGTGGTGGTGGTGGTCTTCCCGGCGCCCCGGACGGCCCTATCGGAATTCGAATTCGGTCGCAGGTGGCTTGACTGAACCCGGACTCTTGCCCCCGGGGGCCTAGATTCTGTGGTCACTCGGGACGAGGGAGGCAAGGTCGGGATGGTAGGAATCGTCACCCTACCCAACGGTCCAACGCAGAATGACACGAGTGGCGGAGGCAAATCGGAGGCTCAACTCGAGTGGCCAAGACACCGTTGCACTGGAAGCGGCAGGAGAAACGGTCGATGAGAAGGAAATGAGAAATGACATGCATGAACGGCCGTCGATCTCCAGAACCACAGGCCGACTGACACCCATCGCGGCGGCAGTCTCTCGATCATTTCTTTTTCCTTCTCCCCTTGACCGGATTCTCCACAACGCGCTGTCTCTAAAACCCCCGAAGGTCGAAGGCGTGTTGCATTGCAGCTGGCTGCAGCAGTCGGCGTGCATTCCTAGCTTAAATCCGCCCCGGCGGAGATGGGCCATCGAAACGTGCCCGCGCTCGCGTGCCCTCTTGAACCGGGACTGGATCAGACCTTGGTGAGGTCTGGAGCTGGCCGTGTTCTGGCCGGGTCTTTTGGGGTCTGGTCTTCGCCATTCTTGACGAAACCCCGGAGAGCCTCCAGCGGACGATCCAGACTGGTGTCTCAAGCAGCAGTCGTAAGCCACTCCGGAGAAATAGCCGCGGCCAATCAAAGGGAGGGGATATCGATATCGTAGTTGATGCAGAGACGACGGGTTCTTAGGCGATGACTGATGGACTTGATGCACATGCCCAGTCATCCCGTCACGCACGCCGACTACCTTAGACTACCCTCACAGACCCTACCTAACCAAGGAGACATCAATTCGAGACTCTCACCTAGGTTTCTTCATAATAGTAAGCAGAGATGACTTCCACTGGTCGCTAGCAGCGTATTGACTCCATGTACTTTCTCAGGGGCTTCTTCACTATTTACTTCTATGCAGTTGCCTATGCTGAGATCTTCCTAGCTTGGGAAATCTCGTTGAGAGTGAAAAGTCCGGTCTCGTAATACAACGTTGCTGCTATCACGTATTCATCAATGTCAAACTGAGAATGTAGCTCCTGAAATGATGATCTCGGTACCTCAGCTTACTCCCTTGGCGCCAGCAATTGAGTTCAGGTGAACGATGTGAGGTGGTCGACACTTGCTCGGACACTTTCATGGGATCCATTCAGGAAGAGAGAGCTTGAAGCCGCTGCTTCCGGTCCTCCAATGGCCCCTTCCCCTTCTTCGCTGAATCCCTCTTTCTGGCCGCAAAAGTCCTTCCCGGGCTTGAGATCGACCTATGCCATTCGTTCTTCGAGAGGAGGTGAGATGACTATTTTCTCATCTCATCTTTGGGAGAACACCACCAAGCAGAGGACAACGACGTCGCAGCGGTGTCTTCTCGCCAGCATCTTTGACTTCAGTATTATCCTTCGTTTTAGAACGACAAAACCGTGGAGAGAATATTTAAGGTTTCGACTACATCCGACGAACCCTCCTCCACCCGTCCATAGCATAATTGCCTCGAACCCTACCGACCCCAGTCAACCCCTGAACCCAAATCAGATATCAGAAAACATGGCGGACGCAAACGCTCTTAACAGTAACCGCGAGAACGACGGCTCGCCGGCCGGACAGACGCCCTACGACCCGGACTTCACGGCCCGGGTCATCGCGGCCACGGGGCCGAACGCGAACCCCCGTCTCGCCCAGATCATGCCAAGTCTGTTGCGCCATCTCCACGACTTTGCGAGGGAAGTCGACCTCACCGTCGCCGAGTTCATGGCTGGCGTGGACATTGTACGTCTCTTCAGCACCCCCTTTTCTCGTCATATGCCTTGGGTTCTATCCGGCCTGTACAGAACTAACACGTCTCTGCCTCTTAGATCAACGAAGCCGGCCAAATGTCCAACGACGCCCGCAACGAAACCCAACTCATCTGCGACATCATAGGCCTCGAGTCCCTCGTCGACGAAATCACCTCCAAACAACTCCAACTCCGCACCACGACCTCCCTCCCACACAACCCCACCTCCTCCGCCGTCCTCGGCCCCTTCTACCGCCACAACGCTCCCGTCCTCCCCAACGGCAGCTCCATCGTCTCCTCCCCGGAGGACGCCTCCTCCCCGGAATACAAAAACGCCTCCACGCACCTCTCGGGCCGCGTCCTCGACCAGACCGGCGCCCCCGTCCCCGGCGCCCTCGTCGACATCTGGCACGCCGCGCCCAACGGCATGTACGAGCAGCAGGACGCGGACCAGCCGGACATGGACCTCCGCGGCCGCTTCCGCACCGGCGCCGACGGGGGGTACTCGCTCTACTGCCTACGGCCCGTCCCGTACCCGGTCCCCGACGACGGCCCGGGCGGACGGATCCTCAAGCTGCTCGACAGACACCCCTACCGCCCCGCGCACCTGCACTTCATCGTCTCCGCGGATGGGTACAGGCCCGTGACGACGCAGTTGTTCGACAGCGAGGACGAGTATCTCGAGAACGATAGCGTCTTCGCGGTGAAGAGGGACTTGGTTCTGGAATACAGGGCGAGCGACTCGGATCCAAAGGCGGCGTGGAAACTGGAGTACGACTTTGTACTGTCGAGGGCCTAGGATGGTGTTATCTCTAGCCACGGCACACTCCCTTAAACGCGAAACGAATTATGATCATCATGCACAAAACAGCACGCCGTGCACAAAGTGATTATTTGAGATTTGTTTTCTTGATTCGGCGACCTTTCGATCATTGCATTCGTGATTTTCTTTTTTGAACTTTGGTGTCCTCCTCTGATTGCTGACGTTACATCCCCCCCCCCCCTTCTCCGAACAGCTCCATTCTCTGACCGGCAATATCATCCCATGCTCCATTCCAACGGGCACGGTATGCACGCAACATCGTAAATTTCCTTCCGTAATTTCGTACAACGGCACAAACATCCATCTTCCTCGGTCGACTTACCTACAGGGTATCTCTCTCTCTCTCTCCCTCGCTCGTCTCCTAGACAAAGACCTCCCGGCTACGCACACGCCCCCCCCTTGCATCCGGGCACCACCCGAGCTCTGAACGACGTGGCTCCTAAGTTGTAAATATTGTTGAAAAAACATTGAGAGACTCAGATCTCAACGTGGAAAGGTAATAATTCATGAGTACTCCGCCGGGACGTACATCGGCACGCTCGAAGCCGCCACGTAGGCCCCAGCACCAGGAGGGGGTACGCCTGCTCCATTAGGACCAGGACCGCCCGGGACGACGTAGTTTCCGAATCCTTGGAACCGCGGGCCCTGGCCCTGCACCGGAAATCCTTGACCCGGAATCGCTACGCCGGGCGGCGCCGGTGCGGGGGCCCCGGGTGGTGGTGGTGCATTTCGCCTCGCCACCATGGGACCGGCCACGGGACCCGGGCCGGCGCCGAAGGCCCACATGGAATCGAAGGGGAGCTCCTCGTCGCACATGTCCGAGTCGCCGCCCATCCTCGCGCTCAGGTCGCTCTGGGACATGCCGGGGGTGCTACCGGCAGGAGAAACGCCGGCAGACGGCCCCGTGGGCGTCGAAAAGCTGTGTTCGGTCTTCATCGACAACGGAGGCGGCGCCATGACTTTGGGCGCTGTCCCTCCCGATAAGGGACCAGACGTGGCGCCGGTTGCGAATGAATTCTTGCGGGAGACAGCAGAGCGCTTGAAAAGATTGCCGATCGGGTCGTGGATCGACGTCGGTGACAGCGTCTGCGGAGCGGGCATGGCGGGCTGCTCGGATTGCAGATTGAAGACGACGTCTCGGAACGACGTGAGAATGAAGAGCAGCCTGTTAGCCTGGGGGTCGCTCGTCGCGCAGTATCTCATGATGGAGATGGTGTTCGATATGGATGCTGCGTAAGTTGGATTGGGGTATATTGATGCAAACTCGTTGCTCAAGACGATGAGCGAGGCGGCGAAAAGGAAGTAACTGTGGGCGATGTCAGCATATGTCGGGTTCGCATGTGCGGGGATTACGAACAGGATGAAGGGATTGCGTTGGGGCAGATAATTGCTCTCGAATGCCTGCTGGACCAGAACAATTGTCTGATTTGCCGCGCTGAGACAGGCTTCGCAGTACTTCGACATGCGGCTGATCCAGCGCGGAACCGGCAGAGCGAAACCACTCCGCTCGTTGTGGACTTTGCTCAGCAGTGATATGAAGTATGGTCTCGTCAGCAGGATGATGGAGTGACAATAGAGGAGATTGACGTGAAGGGCCGCTATGCCCTGCGCCGGACTGCTAGGATCGGCAGCCACTTGTCTCAGGGATAGATCAGCGCTCAAGGACGAATGCCAGTTGCCACACTGCTCCCAAATGTCCGATGTCGTGCGCACCGATATCCGTCTTCGTGCGTATATCTTCTTCAATATCTGACCGATAATCCGGCAGCATCTGACAGCGGCGTCGAGCCCGTCATTGGGGTTCGTGACCTCTACCAGGTCTCCGTCGGAGTTCTTCTCGAATACCAGAAGAGCCTCTTGGGCGCATTCCTCTTCATCGATCGCAACGGGACGGCCAAGTGAGGCGGCGAGGAATCGGTCCAGCACAAACAAGCTTCTCCAGAGGTTGCGGCGTAATCTGACCTCTTCGCTCTTGAAAATGAAGTGATTTTCACGAACTCTGTGTAAACCGAGAGCAAAGCCGGAACGCACAGCCATACCTGGGTTGGGTGTGAACAAAGACGCGTACGGAGGGAACTGAGGTGCTGGACTTACCAAAGTAGGCGTATGCCGCATTGCGCTTGGACACTGCGAGCATGTATACAGCCATCAACGACAGCGCTTGTACAGACCAGAAGTCTGCGTCTTCGAACCCGGAGATTGGATCGCCGAGGGCTTTCGCGCTCCTGAAGAAAAGCTCGGCCCGATCAAATTCGGTAGACTTGAGTTTCTTGAAGATTACATCCTCCTTGGTGTTTGGAAGCGGCGTTGCGAGGACCATGCCGATGGCGAAAGTCAGGTACAACAAGCAAAGAAACGACGACTGCGCCGTAAGAGGATCTGTGTAGCACGCTTCAAGAGACTTTTCGAACAGAGACCTGTCGAATACCTCGATGAAACCGCGAGTCTGGAAAGCATAAGCGATTGAACCTTCTTTTTCCCCAACAGAGGGAATCTCTTACATTCGTGAAGAAAGACTCAACCAGCGCATTCGCCGTATCCCTATCAGGTAAGATATGAGGCGGCCGTATGTTAGCTGGCATAGCTATGGTGGCCTCCATGATTTTGTGACGGCTTGGATCCATCGTGAATTCGCTGGGTCCAGTTCTGGCCTCTACAATCATCCTTATGAGTTGCAGATAGGCCAACGACGCCGAGTCACCAACATAGACTACAACCCAGTCAGCATCTTTGGATCGAAAAAAGTCCAACGGGTTTGACCATACGAAGTCTTCCTGTGGGGTCCTGCAACATCCTGACAGACTGGAAAAGGGGAGTCTCTTCATCGGGGCCGGAGGCTGTGCTGTGCCGGGAACGAATATCAAACTCTTTCTCCCCTACTGTCGGCTCGTGGTCTTCCTCTATTGACGGCTTTATATCGAAGCCGACGTGGGGCTTGTCCTCGCTGGGCGGTGGCTGCGTCTGTGATTCCCATGGCGTGGTGACCGTCGCGGGGCTTTCTGATGCAAATGCAGCTTCTGGGACAGCTGGCTTGGTTGTGGGGAGCTCTTCAATATTGCGACGCTTAGAAGGAGATGCTAATTGGTCTGGAGGAGTCTGGTCGGAGCTGTGATTCGGTGTGTACGTACACACCAAGCTCCTCTTCGTACACGTAGTACATGGTTTAGAGCCGTTGCACTTTCAAGATATTGGTCAGTTATTGAAGCAGGCTGGAGACGAAGGGCGCCATCAAGACCGGGGAGGAAGAAGAATGTAACGGGCCAGCACTTGCCGACCCCTGAAGTCATTCAGACCCCAGGTAGCAGTGGACACGAGACCGGCAAGATGGTAACCCGCCTGTAGATCGACGATGGGGTTTCTCCATGGGATGAACCAATGACCCCGGTGAAGTCTGTGACCAGATCGCCGGGTTGGCAGCCGAGGTCTGTTCAAAATCGGGGGATATCCCGGGCAACTCAAGAAGAGCATCCCTAATCGATGACCCAGTGATATTGCGAATTATGCCGCGAAAGAAACGCCTTCCAAACACATTTGTGGGAAGTACACATCTGCCCACCATCCACTTGAGATGGTTGAACCTGGTTGGCAACGTAACATCGATATTCAGGGCCGGAGGGAAATACATGGGCATGTGCAGTGAAACTGGGTTTTAGTCGAGTTGTAAGACCATGGGAATCTTGATCGGAGGATTTGACGCTATTTTGCGTCGGAGGGTATCCCGAATTTGAGACGATGCCCGGTACTTAGACTAGGACGCGGGTGATGTGCGGATGAATTCCCATTATCGGGAGCTGATATGTGACCGATTTGGAGTCTTCAGGCTACTAGCCAAGGCCGGGGCGAGGGGATGGTGGGGGAGCGGACGAAATGATATGCAACGCCGTCAACCACGGCGTAGCGACGGCGACGATACAACCCAAATGCCATGGGTTTGAGGAAATGGCGGTAAAGAGGAGCTAGGGAGAGAAAGGGATTGTGACGATAACATCGTTTGAGTTCTGGCTGAAGTTGATGGTTGGGAGACAGGGACTTGCAAGTGAAAATAGGGCTCACCTTCTGCTTGCGGCGCTTACAAGTGTCACAGGCCTGGGCGGTCCGTTGGCGTTTGTCTTCGGGGACCTTGGGACGGGTCATTGTCGTGAATGATGCATCAGCCGATAGTCCATGGACTCTTAGCAATACCCGTTATCCGATGATGCGCGGTGGAGGGAATGGTGGGAGGTGGAGATGGTTTTGGAAGAGTAGCGGCCGCAGTATGGCGAGGTACCAAAAGCCGACGTGTTGGAAGGCGGAAACGGCGCCGAGGATCCACAGGTTTCTGCACCAGTCGTGTCGGAGAATGAACAACTAGGAAACGGATAGCAGGCACCAGGTAGGCATGCTTCCCATTCCCTTCGCTGTATCAAGCGGCAAGCGAGGGTCGCGGACGGAAGCCGGAGGTGGGAGGACGGAAGGCGCAACAAGATTCCAACCCGGTTCCGTTCTCCAAGGCGGGAGACTAGTAAAGATCGATTCTTTAGGCAAGCTTTTCTGACATGTTCCGACGACGGGACAAGCAAACAAGAGTTTGGTGATGTGCTCGACGAGGATGGCTGCAAGTGGGGACCTTGAGCGTCGGGTATGGGGTTGGTTACTTTAAAGAGCAACGACACCATACACGAAAGAGATGAGATGTGACGTGGAGAGTAGTAGATCTAAGCTTGTGCTTTGCCTCGCAGCACTGCGGGCGAAAGGGGGCCGCCGTTGCGGCAGCGGATATCGGCGAAGGCGGGGAACGGAAGTGAGGGAGAGAGACAAGTAGAGACAGAACCAGCGACGAGGATGAGGAGAGGACAACAGAGAGAAGAGCCTGGCCGGGTGAGGGAGGGAACGGCGAGACTTTGATCGGATATGGGACTGCGGCCAGGCCGGGCCAGGCAGTCTTCGCCTTTGGGCCAACAACGCCTGCGCCTAACAGGAGTCAGGTCAGATTCAGGACGGGACGGGGGGGGATTGGAGCCCTCGCCTTCAGCGAAAGCAGGGTCGCCCGAGTCGAGTCAAGTCCCGTCCGTCTCCAGCTGCTCCTGTTGCTCGCGCGCGACAAAAGATGTCAAGCGTGGGCCAAGAGAGGGTCAAGAGGATCCAGAAGGCGACAAGGGGGTGTGGACAAGGAGCTGGGTAGGGGTCTCGAGATTGACGGGCGCCCCCCGTTGTCTGGATCTGGGATGGATCAGGTCGAATTTGGGGAATTCTTGAGGGGCTCAAAGTCAAGGGGGCGTGTTGGTGAATTGGTGTGGGTGAGGTGAACCACAACTAAAACTGCAGCAAAGTCTCTCTGCTCTGGAGAAAACAGCGCGCGGCGATACGAGGCGAGGCCCCAGTGTCCGTTCCAGCATATCAGACAACGTCGGCCCAGAAGCTAATCATTCTTTTTCTCCCGTTGACATGATAGAACGAAACAGGCCGGAGGAGACGAGGGTACGCCCGTATGCTCCATGAGCACCGAAAGACAGCCGCGACGGCGCTGCCGGATCGACGTTTTGTACGCCGCTGGACATGAAGAACACTTCTATCCCATACAAGGTGCCCTGCGTGCGCATGATAATTGCCGTCCAGCACGATGAAATGCTGCTTCCATGTCTCGTGTGTGGAGCAACATTAAGCGAATGGGGGCTTCCCAGGAGAGATTATCCCCGTCCATGTCAGCACGATTGCGACTTCAAGTCTCCAACTGATGCGCAACCCGATGGCGTGCTGCCGTTGCGATGATGAGAGGTGATGCTTGGCGAAACAAATGTTTCCCCGGCGTGCTGGATGCCATCTCTAGTTATTGAGTCCAGGAAACACAACATGAGAAGATGGAAGGAGTAATAACACTAGATTCTGCCAAAGCTGCAGCCAGCAATCTGCAGATCAAACGTTGAATGGCTGAAGCGGGAATCTTGGAACGTCTTGTCGTGGCGGGAACGTCAGTATCGACAGTTCACGGCCACCCCAAGCCAGCCGCAGCGCAGGGTCAAAGCTGTTGTTGGCGCAATGCCGCGCGTGGAGAAGTCGATTCTGCGCATCAGGTATCAGGGATGCGTTTGTGTGCGAGTGTGTGCGAGTGTGTGCGAGGGCGATGCGACAAGAAGGCCGGACTGATGATCGTGATGGTGATGATGGTGAGCAATATCTCGCTTGACAAGGTTGCAAGGGTATCTATCTCTCCTCGTACCACACGAGTACCACGCAAAGACAGCTTCTGCATTGCTGTTGTTGTATCTTTACGAAGTCGCATACAGAGGATGCAAGTGTCGTGAAGCTGGGACTGGGGTCAGTTTTTTTGCAAGCCTTCAATTCAAGCCAGTGGCGCCGCCGCTAGCGATGGATTTGAAAAGTAATCGACGGCGAGACAACACATGGCGTCGGTCAAGGCCAGCGTAGGGCATAGTGCTGGCCTGTCCTGATGCATGCATGATGTCGCTGGGCAGGCATCAGAAGCAGAATGCGCTGCTGGCTAGACCACGGCCACGCCTAGACCGGTCTGTCTGGCTGGACCCGGCTGGGCTTCGCTAGTCCTGCGGGCGAAAGTGAGCACATAGGGCGGGCGAGGCTTGGAGAACAGGCGGGAGTGTGGGAGCTAAACACCAAGATGCTGCTGCTGCTGTTACCGTGTCTTAGTTTCGGGGTCGATGAAGAAGGTTATTCGCCATGGTTTCGGAGCACCTCTCGATCGAGATATCCGGCGTCGATTGGAATGTCACCGACAGCATGGAACGGGCAGCAGGCTTCTCGAATTGGCCCCCATTCCTGCTTGCTGGTATCGGAAGATCCGTTTGTCTGTCGCAACATCGTCGCTGTGATCTCGGCTATTCTTTGGTGGTTGGACGCGACGGTTTGTTTGGCGTTGAATGCTGGGTTTGACTTGCAAGGGGCGTCTCGAGTCTTGAAGAGGTCAGCCCAAAGTTAGATCTGCAATATCGAAGCCAATTTGCCGGAATTATTGAGTGGGTGTCAGGACGTAGACATTGAGGGTGTAGTCGTGAGGAGAAGTTGCATCGTACATGATGCAATGCGATGCGATATGAAGTGAAGAGGAGGCAAACAAATTGATGATCCGTTGGGGAATGTAGGAGGCAATATTGTTATCGGTAAGTTGAAAGACGAGATGACAAAAAAGAGAAAGGACAGTCCCGTCTCCTTCCCCACGCCGCGACACCCACTTTGGGTTCTGGCAGCGGGTGCTCACCGCTCACCGTGCTTGCCGTTGCCGTTGGTTGCTAGGATCTCTCGCTTAAGTATCCTCACCTCACCTTAAAGCGACTACTTCACCTTTAAGTGAATAATGCTCGCATTAGTCGCAATATGTAACTAAAGGCTAAAAATGGACTCAGTCGTCTCATATTTCGCGTACACAGGCGGTTATCGTTGTCGCAACGTATCATCCCTTTTCCAACCCGTCACGATCTTTCACCAACGTATCCCACGGAGCCAAGTGGCTAGCTGTTCATTACCAGCAGTAGCACAGGGTCTTAGAACATGGACCCGGACTGCTATCACTGCATCGGATCGGTGACCGGGCCGGACCAGGGGCAGCACGTCCCTGTATCTACCCGAATTCCGATGCAGTCGCAATTGGCCAGGCCGAAAACCTCGATCACATTCCGTTGAGACGCTGCCAATCGCCTTTCTTTCAGTTACATTGTCGCTATCTACCAGCTAGGTATCTCAGCATTTTGATGCCGCGCTGCGATCACGGCCACATCATCCTCAGCATCGGGTAGTGCACCTAGGTCAAAAAGGCAAACATGAATCGCAAAACAACCGGACAGGGGATATATGCGCGGGATGTGACCGATCAACGAGCTGAAGACGACTGCCTTGATTGGGTTCTGCTCTTTTTCTACGCGCAGCATCGCACTTTCGTCTTCGTTTCCCCGCAGCAGATATTCTGCCTTTCCACGATCACCACGACTATCACCACCTCTCATCATACCTATTTTCACTGGCAAGATTGGCTCGAACCCGACATTTCGAATCCAAGTCAACTCACTGCCCCGTCCAAGTGGATTTGCTCTCATCGCCCCTGTTCATCGGCATCTGCATAGCGAGTTGCTTACCGGAACCAGTCGTCGGATATCGCACCTGGTAAGACTGGTTACTGGTGCGAGTGCTTCTGAGTACCGGATCCGGTATTCTTTGTTCCGTCAACAGGTTGATCCTTCCTTTGTTCCACAAGTTGATCTGTGTCGATTTACCATCAAGTACAGTCAAGGTTGAAGCCAACCACCCAACCTGCTAGTCAGTGATTTCATAACCACACTGCTTAACCGAGACAATGACGAGGTAAAGTTGCCTCGACGCAGATCGAAGTCTTGTAGCTCCCTCGTGCTTTGTCTGTTCATTAGCTGAGTAGTTCAACTAGCCAAACCCTGGACGTCCCGGGACCATCCCTCGGCCTATGCTTCCTCCATCCCACCCTTCTCCACAAGTTCCAATCTGGCGGTCCTACCTGGACTTGCTGGAGAAGACCCCTCATTTCTTCAACGTGTACTACCTTATGGTACTGTCTACATAAGGCGCGCTTCCACGTTTCGTCGAGCACGGCTACGGCGCATCCGGTTGACTACCATTCCGTCAGCGCCCCTTTTCCTCCTCCAATCACTACAACTAAGGTGCCGTCTAATTGTTTGCTACTGACGTGGTCAAACAATCACTTTGGTCGTCTCCCGCAGCAAACCAAGCCACCTCGAGCCCTCACATCAAATTTCGGTGGCTTCAACCACTACCGGCGACGAGCCACCCTGTTCAGATCCTTGTATCCATGATCCCAACTCAACCCTACTACGGTAGACCATCCTTCTCCCGTGGACCGTCATCCTCGCCAAGTTGCTTTCCGTGCGGCTGTCCCCGTCTCTAGCCACTCATAATCCTTGGAGATCCCATCTTTAAACCCCAGACCTCATGTGCGAGGCCACCCTGGGACGGATGCCGTCAAACATCAGGTACCAGAAGGGCACACGTAGCCGACGGCTCTTTCACCGAAGGCCCCCTTTCTTGTTCCCGACGCTACTAGGATCGTTGGACCTTCTCGTTTCTAGCTCCACCTCTTCTTATATTCGTCCTATCTTAGTGGGGTGATCAACATGCCCCTAGCCGACCATCTGCTCTCCTAGATCCGACCTATTTTTGACCCCTGATACATATATGCTTTTGGCCTTGTACAAAATGTGGCTGTCGGGAACTTCCCAAGCCTGTGTCCCTTCTCGTCGTATCACGAACCTGATCTCGCACCACAGTCCCTCACCTCCAAAATGGTGGTGCCAAAGAGATCCGGAGTTCAACAAAGAACCGTGCCAAGCTATTCGGTCAAGGAGGGCTGCGAGAGCGCTCTGGCCGACCTCCTCTCCTCATGCCAACGGCAGCTCCCCCCTGCGTTCGTCGAACACTTGCGGGACGTTGCTTTCAGCACTCCCCTCGGGGACACTGCCTTCTTCCCATGCCCTCTAAAGGAACAGGAGGCTACGGCCTCCATCAAAGCCCTCGAGGGCATGGCTGCCGCCGCAATCGCTGACCTGAGGTATGGGCCTCAGCCCGCGAGGAACATTGACATCGATGTGGCACGAACTGCGTGCTTCCTCATCTCAGCCTACCTGACCACCATTGACGGCATGGACAAAGCACATCCCAACGTCAAGTCCAAAATCCCAGGCACGTTGTCGTACACAGTCAGTGAAGAGCGTGTGGTTGGCTAACATCACGCAGATACCGACTTGAACCAAGCACAGTCCATTCTCTACCGGCGCCTGTCAGCAAACTTATACGAAACCAAGAAACCCGGAGAATACTACCACCTCCATGGATCTCTGGAAGCCAGTAAAGCTCTCAACATGGTTGGCCTACCGGCATTCAACCCTGACCTCCAAAGCTACACCGAGTGCATCAAGACTATCGAGACGGCGATGAAGCGCTTCACCGTCGAGGAACTTGAAGAGCTGAATAGCAGAGAAGGCCAAGCCGGCGTTCCGGTCCTCAGAAAGGAGCAGTTCTTGGACACGCCACATGGCAAAGCTCTCGAATCTCTCCCCCCCTTTACAGTCAAACCAGCCGAGACCACCACTCCACCGACCCCATTTGAATCTCAAACGACAACCACCGGCCCCGAACAATGTCTCCGTGGAATCCGCGTGCTCGAGCTTTGCAGGGTGATCGCCGGCCCGACGATCGGCAGGTCCCTTGCGGCACACGGCGCCTCCGTGCTCAAGGTAACCTCCGCGCAGCTCCCGGACGTCCCCTTCTTCCAGGTCGACGTGAACACCGGCAAACATACAACCTCTCTGCACCTGAAGGACCCTGAAGACCGCGCAAAGTTCGACGCCCTCCTCGCCAGCGCGGACGTGATCCTGGACGGCTATCGCCCCGGCGTGGTCGACCGCCTCGGCTACGGACCGGAAAAGCTTGCCGCCATCGCCAAGAAGCGCGGCAAGGGCTTCGTCTACGTGGCCGAGGACTGTTTCGGCGGTACGGACCTCGGGGAGGGCAGGGCCGAGTGGGCCGGGCGCCCGGGGTGGCAGCAGATCGCGGACTGCGTGAGCGGCGTCGCGTGGGAGCAGGGCCACTTCATGGGCCTCGACGCGCCCGTCGTCCCGCCCTTCCCGATGTCCGACTACGGCACGGGGGCGCTCGGCGCCGTTGCCGCGATGGCCGGGCTGTATCGTCGCGCGACGGAGGGCGGGTCGTGGGTTTGCAGGACGAGTCTGTGCCAGTACGATGTCTTCCTGCTCTCGCTCGGAGCGTACTCGCCCGAGGTGCAGGCTAAGCTGCGCAAGACTCACGACCCTGCGTTCTTTGAACTGCGACATCACGACTCAGTGGACGAGGTCAGCAAGAGGGCTCTGCGGAGTGTGAAGAGGCTGCATCCCGGCTTGTTTGCTGAGGATATGGTGCATTCCGCGTGGAGCGAGGGATTTGATGCGGAGGTCAGTTGGCCTAGAGAGGCTGTCAGCGTCGAGGGCATCAGAGTTGGACACAGCAGGGCATCGAGGCCCAATGGCGCTGATGCGCCTTCTTGGGAGGATTGGGAGGTTCAGGAGGATATCGTTAGGGCTTGATGATCTGCCCCTTTTGGTGATACCACTGGCGCGCTTAGAGCAGGAAGACAGGGGAAGCTCAGCGTCACGCCTGATTTGTATATGAACCCAGGCCCTCTGGCCGGTCAGTACAGCTACAGGCATCGTATGCGGCTACGTGCCGCATGATTTGGACATTTGCCTAGACACATAACGAATTTGATACCATGACTTGAACCTCAATAACATCCTCCACGAACTTGAAGCGATCATGACTTTGGCGGGTGTTCCTCGCAGGCTAATAAAGCAAAGCAGAATCCATCGACCCGAAGCCAGGGTGAAGCTGACCAGCCGCCAGGGAAACGTGTCCCCAGATATCACTGTGCGCCATTGCCAGCCTTGCAATATCTTGACTCTGCGTAGGACTCGTGAACAAGGCCTTCAACGGACCCGAACGTCCAACATTGTCCCTCCCGGCCAGATACTCAAACATACTGGCGATGTACACGAGGTCATTCAACCAAGACCCCTGCTCGAACCACGAGACGCCGTCGACGACGCAGAAGACGGTCACATGCGGCGGAACCTGTTTGACGATCTTGGCGAACACGTTGCAGAGCACCTCGCAGTTTCCCTCGTGACAGTCTTTCAACGTCGCGTAGGTCATGAACCCCAAGTCGGGATCGGGCAAGTTGTTGCTGTGGAGCAGCTGCGATATAAGACTCCGCATCATGGCCACCGGTCCCGTGGTCGGATCCGATCCGTTCTTCCCGGATCTCTGCTTCTCGGCATGCAGCCCCGCAAAGTAGAAAGCCGTCGCGATGTTCTCGGCCTCCACGAGGTTTCCTATCAGGCCGGCGCAGATTCCCGACAGGGGAGATACGAGCAGGTCGCCCATGCAGCCGTCGACAAGGAGGAGGGATGTGTGCCTGGCGCGGAACCAATCGTGGAACTCGTCGGTTTGGATCAGCCACTGCGCTTTGCCTCTGTCGTCCGCGTCGAGGTGTCCGGATTCCTCCAGGACGACTTTGTGGTCTTCTTCTGGGCGCTCCAAGTGCTTTGAGCTGCCCGCGGGGATCTCGAGCACGCCCGCGAGGTGGATGGGCTTGATTGCGCTGGCCTGTCTTCTATCCTCGAGGCTCCTCCGTCTGAGTTTCGCGACTTGGACGTTGAGGTTTTGGTTTTCTTCTCTACGTTAACCATGCACGACAAGCGAGCAGGATTGAATTCGAACTTACTTCGTTCAAGTTCGTCTCGCTCCCGGCAAAATATCTCCCTTTCATATTCCCGATCCCTGCGCTCCTTCTCCTTGTCCCGCTGATGGGCCACCATATAGTCTCTGAACACAGTGGCCAAGTCCGCGTAAGTGCTAGTTGAACGAGATACCTGCGTCAGCACCTCGGCGTTGTCTCTCTTCATGTCGCGAAAGCCATCCGCCACCAACTCTCGAATCCCCACGCTGGTGGACTCGATCTTGTCGCTGATCTTGTCGCCGGTGCTGTCTAGCTTTTCGGACATCTTGGATTGCCACTTGTCCTGCAGTAGAATTTTCATGCGCTCTATGTGTTCTTTAAGCCGGGCTAGTTGCCGATCCCACTGCGACAGAATTTCGTCAATTGTCGAGGTCTCTGGAATTCGCAGCAACAGAAACTCGAAGACTTTGCGATACCCTAAAACACCAAATGTCAGCTACGTAAAGGACAATACATGGTCCACATAATTGAATCTCACACGGCTCGTTTCCTAGCAGGATGTTGATCAGTACCGGAATATCCCTAAGCAACATGCGTAGGAAGTTGGTCTGTATCTTGAGGTCTTCCGGTTCAGGGTCGAGAAATTGAAAGGCCGTATTTATGGTGAGGATACTCTCGGGAAGAGTCTCAAAGGTCTGGATTATTCTCTCTCGGTTTTCTTCGTAAGCCTTTGCGGCCTGTGTTCTCGAACAGTTAGTATATTTCGCTCAAAGAAGGTCATTCTGGAGGACGTACATCAAGTATCAGAGCCAACCCTCCTTTCAGTATCCCAATTCCGAAGTCGTCTGGCACTAGGTTGATGTATGCCGACATCAAATCAGCACCATCCACTGCTTTTGAACTCATGCCAGTTTTCTTTTCGCTTCTTTCCTTAGCGACGGTCATTTGCTCGAAAACAGAGCTCCATGGGGTATCCTCGATTTTGACGTTGGTTTTGGGGTCGCCATCGTGGGCTTTGATGATCATTATCAGATCTCTGCAACGCTTAGTGTCTTCAACCTAACAAGGGACTACCCAAGTGATAAGCGTACTCTGCTGCATCTTCTTCTTTCGGTCGGAACTTTTGTTCTTGATCGTGAAATTGAACTGGTCCAGGAGGCGTAATGCGGAAGCTGTTGACCTTTTTGCGAAGGAAGTTATCGCATTTCTCAGGACTTGGAGACCTGCCCCTGGCTTTTGAACGCCAAAATGGTCTTCGAAGGCGCTGCAGCCCGTGGGAGGTGCTGCCTTCTCCCATTGTAAGGACTTTCACAATCTACCCGGTACCTTAGTCTGTCGTGCAAGTTCGATGAAACGGAGAAATAAAATCGGAACATCGTTCCAGTTGCCGCAAATAAGCGACGGAGGAGCTCTTTCAGCTTTCGGTCCAAGTAATCATGCACTTCCTCCTAGACGGAAGATCTCAAGGGGACGGTGCCTGCCGCCTGCATCCAATCTCACTCCATGACGCCCATCATGCAAGTCCAACCGAGGGCAATTCAGAGGCCAATTAACGCGCGGGGGGCTTTTATTAGAACACGACCAGCCTGTTTCTGACCACCTTCTCCGAGACTTATCGCAACGCCCGCCTCATGAGGCCTGGTCTCGACCAATAGCCACGAGCCAAGCACACAGCCTGCTTCAATCCCATTAAACGTGCATCCAACAGAAGAGGGGAAACTCAGCTGCAATGCATATGAATTCTCGTGCGACTAGAAGCCTGGCTTAAAACCTCTCTGCGTTCGCTCGCGGAAGGCTGGTCTTGCAAGATATGTCATTGTCAGTCCGCATTTCACAGCCCTGACACCGTTCTTTACTGAAACAACGCTTCCCAGCTTCTTTTGCAACTCCAAATACACAAGATGTCAGAAGGCACCACGGCTGCCGAAGAGACACTGGCGACCCCAGGCATCCCAGTCGAAGACGAAGTCCATCAGCAAGACCCGTCGCACAAGGAAGTCGAGAGCAGTCAAAGCAGCAGTGGCTCTGAAGCAGACGAAGATCCTGCAGGGAGCCCTCATGAACTGGACGAAGAAACTCAACCTCCTGTCTCAGGGACTGAGCCTCCGTTAAAGAGACCACCGGAACCGTTACCGCTACGGCCAGGGCTTTTGCCACGACAAGACCGGCCAGTGCGACCTGAAGTCCGTTATTACAACTATGAGGGATTTATGAATCGACTTCAAGACGATGGAGAAGACTTTGTTATTGAAGCTCTCGTTACGAAACCAGAGTGGAGACCTGAAGTCGCTACTGAGCAAGCAAAACGAAGCGTCCCTCCATTACCGTTCCCTTCGTCAATGCCTCATCGACCACCACAGCCGATGCCGCCACCGCAACCCTATGGAGTTGCGCCTCCGCCACCACCACCGCAACCCTATGCAGTTGCACCTCCGCCTCCGCCTCCGCCACCGCGTCAAAACATAGTTCGTCCACTGAGCAAGGCACAGGAGCTCAAATATCCCGCCGTGCGGGAGATAGATGGCTCACAGGAACACGCCTTTCAAGCTCAATTACGACTACCCGGAGGCTCGAAAGTTCCTCCGGATGGACGAATCATGCGTGTCAGAGTGCGTTCCGAAGCAGTACTCAGTGCACTGGTTTCTGTGGCTGGGTTTCCTTGTTTGGCAGGAGAAACGTCCTTCGAGTTTGAACGTCCATTTCGCCTCATGGAAGAGACTTATGAGGGGATGAAATCCAAATTGACAGAGATGGGGAACCAAGCCTCAAATACCGAAGCACCAGATGAAGCCCAAATGCTCTCTTCAATTAACAACTCTCAGACTCATCAGGCCATGCCCGTTGGTATAGGTTTGAGAAAGGCCCCCCTTGTCGGGGCAAAAACAGAAGTTTTTTTGCCCGCCAATCCAGTAACAGGTTCGTCTCGGTTGCGAAAAAAAGCCGAAGAGCAGTGTGACTTGGAGCATATGAGCTGCTACGTCAAATTCATCGAAACCATGGTCCTTCCAATCCGCAACAACTTCCTCAGCTTCAGCGAAACCAAGAATCCACGTGTCTGCTTTCAGGACATACTGTATCTTTTCAAGCCTGGGAGTTTGGCCTATTTACCGAACAAGCGGAAGTCAGGAAAGTCCCTCCATCGCTCTGCTGCCCAACAGGTATGGCGTATGGTTTCATGTCGGCCGGCAACAGTATGGACTCGTGGATACTCTGAAGAATCCGAGGATCCATATGAACACACCCGATGGAGCATTTACTGTCTCGACTACGATGGAGATACTATAGTCCCAGTCTGGAATGTCATCAAGTTTGAGAGATTCGACGGAGAAAGAGACATTACCTCACTGGAGTGCTACCCCCTCGATTTTCACCCGAACAAGAAAGACATCATCGACAAACACCAGAGCATTGGCCACATGTTCAATTCATGTATCTCAGCGAAGCTGAAGCATCACTACTACTCAGGATGGACTTTCATCACGGGCCTTCACGCCGAACCCTTGGATGATGAGAACGGTAATCAGGTCCAATATCCCGAGTATATCGAGAGCGATGTGGTTATCGATTTCAAAGAGACACTCCGAAGCTATCCTAAATGGGAAACTGACGTAGGAGATGCTTACCCTCTGAGTTCCGATCAGGAGTGGGAAACATACTCAGAGTTTCCGTTGAGCGTTTGGGGAAAGGACGTGGACACGACTATAGGGCGAAGACGCTACAGGGATGAAGATATCCCTATACTCACGGAAGAGTTCATCTACTATCGAGATGAGGCAGAGAAGTGGATGGCCAAGGATGAATTTCTCCTCAAGGATGTGGAATTCCTGCGCAAGACATGGTCCGACGTGGACCTGGCTCTGCTCCCCAAAAGATTGTTCGCCTACATTTTGAGAGAGCGGAAATTTGCCCGCATCGACGTCGAAGGAATCGAACTCAACACGGGAGAAAGTAATGTTAATCTGAATCAGATCCAGATGAAGCCCGAACGCCGCAGAATGATTCGGTCGGCGGTCTCAGCTCACTTCAGGGACAATAAAGGCTCCTCCACGTTCGACCTCGATTTGATTAAGGGGAAGGGCAGAGGTCTTGTCATACTTCTGCATGGTGCTCCAGGTGTTGGGAAGACCGCGACTGCTGAAGCTGTGGCGGCAGAGACCAGAAGGCCGTTGTTCCCCATTACTTGTGGCGATCTAGGGTTCTCGCCCAATGCGGTGGACAAGTCTCTCAGAGACATATTCCGCTACGCACATCTGTGGAACTGTATTCTTCTGCTTGATGAAGCCGACGTGTTCCTCACACAAAGAGATCGTGGAGGCGGAAACCTTGAGCGGAATGCTCTTGTGGGAGGTAAGTCTCGCTCGCAGCCGATAGTTCATGGCCAAAAGCTCAACTGCTGATTCTTTTCCAGTTTTTCTCAAAGTCTTGGAATACTACAGCGGCATTCTTTTCCTTACGACGAACAGAGTTGGCGCCCTAGACGAAGCCTTCCAATCCCGTGTACATCTCAGTCTATCATACCCCAACCTGAGTTTGGAAGACACAGTCAAGATCCTCGAGGCGAACCTGAGTCGCTTGCCTAGAGTGGAGCGCGCTGAAAACAACACCCCTCGCGATGGCTATCTCAAAGTCAACGATAAGGCCATCATTGAATTCGTCAGCAGCGAATACAAGAGGTACGCCGAGAGAACAGGCAAAGATAGGGGCCCATGGAACGGACGCCAGATTCGGAACGCGGTACAGATCGCAGCTGGCTTGGCTCTATACGATAAGCAGACTGAATTAGAAGAGAAGGGTGAGGACGGCATTCCGGCATTCCTTACTACTGACCATTTCCGGGCCGTGGCAGAGACGACGTCCGAGTTTGAGCAATATCTCGAAGAAACCAACGTAGGTGACATCGAGACACGTGCCAAACGCCGTCAAGATCGCGCGGACCACTTCAAGGTGAAAAGAGAACACGATGACGGTCATTCCGATGCCGAGAAAAAGAACAAACCCCCAAGGGCCAGATACAGAGGCTCCTCTCCGGAGACGGAGCACACCAGAAGTGGCGAGCATGTTTCAGGGCAAAGGTCTTCTGGTACGCCACGTAGAAATCGCCAGCCTCCGCCGCAACATTCAAGCATGTCGGGGAGAGAGTATGTTGCAACAGCGTCGTTCGATAGGGAGACTGGCCGAGGCCAACCGCGTTCTCATGGGGGCCAGACACCCCGCCATCCTCGAGAGAGCTACTACGAGGACGAACACTATGATCAGGCCGAGGATTCGCAAGAGTACTGGCAGGAAGATGCGTTGGAGGATGAAGAGTACGATCGAGGTCACCGTCCTCGTGTCATGTCTCGGAGAGGGAAACCGGAGTCTTCACTGGTCGGACGGGGCAAGTATTGAGGGCATAAGTGAGAAGTCTGTAGATGAACATTGTCCGCAAAGAAGAAGCCTTCGAGATTGAGAGGAGACGAGAAAGTAACAAGGAGAGGTTAGAAGAGAAGTTACCGAGTCTGTCGGAACTTATGGATTTCGTGCCTTGAAGAAGATATTTTCAGGCTTCATTAGAATTAGTTTACGCTCCCTTTAGCCGTCTCTTCGGTGTCTTTTTGGTTCAACCTCAATCTTTCAGTAGTCGATAGCTCGTGACGTGAAAAACACATGTCCACCATTGTCAGTGTCCCGTCACTGGTGAGCGCACTTCCGCCGACTCCCTTCTCGTGATCTCAGCCCGCGTTTGAATAAGATCTGAACTTCGAAACCAGCGTCAGGCTTAGGAGAGCTTGAGTGCTTCAGTGAGGACTGCTACGGTGAATGACGCAGGCTGAGAACCCGGGGTCGAGTGCTGCAGATGAGCTGAGCTCAGGATGACTGTTTCCCAAGAACCTCAATGAGCCTAGCTTTAGCGGTGGAATGGCTGATTGGGATTGAAGAGTCATAGTGGCAATGCATCGGCAGCAAAACCAGGATCGGAAATGGCATGTTGGTAATAGGAACCATTGAATAAGCACGGTTTCGTGCGTCTTGCACGCAGAGTGACTCATCAACCATACAACGGAACTTGACTCTTTGCTTCCTTTTCACTGGCTGGAGGCGAATCGGGGGTCCACACGGCTCGGTGTGCCCCGCACCAAGAACCAGAGCCACCAAAAAGTTGCAGAAAAGCGCCTGCCCCACCTTCCTCCAGTGCGATTGATGCTTTTTATTAATGGAGACCTTTCCGCCTCTGCAAAAATTCCATCATCACCAAACAGGACCCTTACGACAACAACACAAACCCTGCCGCAGGGCCCTTTTTTGACGACCAATTTTTCCCTACGAAGGCCTCACCGGCAAACCTCCCACCAAACACCATTCAAGCAGTCAGCACCGAGCTTACCGGAACCAACACAATCATGGCGGTGCGCGCGCAATTCGAGAATTCCAACGAGTGAGCAAAAAGCCCCGCCGAACCCGACCCCGCCATTCTGCTTTTTGCAGCCTTTGGCCACCCGAACTCGACCGCCAGAACACGCGATGTGCTGACTTGGACTGTTTCTTTAGGGTCGGCGTCTTCTCGACTCTCACCAACTCCTACGCTCTCGTCGCCCTCGGCGCCAGCGAGAACTTCTACAGTGTCTTCGAGGCTGAGCTGCAAGATGTCATCCCCATCTGCCGGACAACCATTGCCGGTACGAGAATCATTGGCCGGTTAACAGCTGGGTAAGCACATTGCCTCCAGCACGTCAAACCAGGTCACCAAGAGGGAGACGACTAGGTCGCGTGAGCAAACAATCAGCAGAAACTGACCACTCCATCATTAGTAACCGCAAGGGCCTCCTCGTCCCCACGAGCACATCAGACCAGGAACTCCAGCATCTTCGGAATAGTTTGCCCGACGACATCCGCATACAGAGAATAGAAGAGCGCCTGTCGGCCCTCGGTAACGTCATCGTCTGCAACGACCACATCGCCCTGATCCACCCCGACCTGGAGCGCGAGACGGAGGAGATCATCGCCGACGTTCTCGGCGTCGAAGTCTTCCGCCAGACCATTGCCGACAACGTCCTCGTCGGTTCCTACATGTCCCTCTCCAACCAGGGTGGTCTCGTCCACCCCAAGACCTCGATACAGGACCAGGACGAACTGTCCAGTCTGCTGCAGGTCCCCCTCGTCGCGGGTTCCGTCAACCGCGGCAGCAACGTCGTAGGCGCCGGTATGGTCGTCAACGACTGGATGGCCGTCACCGGTCTCGACACCACGGCAACCGAGCTCAGTGTCATCGAGAGCGTCTTCAGACTTGGTGAGGGCCTGGGTCCCAGCAACGTCAACACCAACCTCAAGGACACCATGGTCGAGTCTTTCTACTAAGTGCTCATGGTTCGGCAAGGGGCAGCGGAAGAAAGAAAAAAGTTGGTGCGCGGCAGTTCTGGGTTCATTCGGGTCTTTTAGTTGGTTTGGGATACCATTAATGGGTTGAGCAACGTTTTTGGCACGACTCGACTTCCCCGAGAGTGCCATTTTTAGGGATCAGTTTTAACGCCGAGGACATGAGAACTTCTTATGTCCGGCGTGGAATATACCTAGCCTATGGGCGATTGGGATCCCCATTCGATTTCCGAGTTGCTGATGTGATAGTCTCGTTTTTTGTGTCCGGGCCCTTTGTTCCGTCAGGGCACGTTTGTGAGAGACGTGAAACGCGGTCTAAACTAAGACGCTCCTGTTGACTTCAGATGCAGTATAAGTATCGAAACGGCGGTCTCCTACGTGCTTACCTGTGGCCCTAGGAAAGCATCACCCAAGCCAACACGATGGGCTTCAAACTCGAGGAAGTCAAGACCGACGAAGAATTCGTCCCGCTCTTCGTCGCTTTCCGCGATGGCTTCGCGAACCCGGACAGCGCCCTCTGGCGGCTCTTTATGGGCGACTGGAAACCCCACGACCCCGCCGCGCGCGAAGAAGCCCTCCGAGAAGGCACGGCGAGGCTGCGGTCCTGGCACCGCGGCGATCCGACGAGCACGTGGCTGAGAGTCGTCGACGAGGAGACGGGAAAGGTCGTAGCCGGCGGACGGTGGAGCATCTACGAGAAAGATAAGCCGGATCCGTATGAGGGGCATGTGCCGGGCGAGGCGACGTGGTTCCCCGAGGGAGATCCGAGGAGGATTGCGAGTTTGTTGTTGAATCAGTTTTTGGATAGCGCTGTGAGGAACGCGAATCGGCCTCACGTTTGTACGTGGTTCGAACACTTCTTTCGCAGAGTCTTGGGTTAACTGACAGGGCGTTCTAGTTTTGAACATTCTCTTCACGATCCCTGAGTATCGGCGTCGGGGAGCGGCGTCTCTTGTAATGGACTGGGGTGTTGAGAGGGCTGACCGGCGGGGGCTGGATGTCTACATCGAGGCTACTGAGAAGGGGAAGCCGCTGTACGAGAAGTATGGGCTCGAGACGATTGAGGAGAACCATTTGGACGTTGATGAGAAAGACTTGCCGTCGCCCGAGGACCCGGAGCTGAGGAGGGAGGTTGTGAGGCAGTTGACGCCGTTTAGGTGGTGGAGTATGGTCAGGAGGGCGGAGGTTTGAGGTTGTGATGGCAAAGCTGGAGAATGAGAATAGATAACTACCAGACGTCAAAACCAGCCCGTTGAAATCGGATATAAGACCGGACAGTAGTGTAGTCGGTTGGCCCAGAGTGCGTTTCTGCGTGCTGCGCTCTGGTGCAAACAGAAGATTTCAAGCACAGCCTTCTGTTATTGTTGCGGAACTACGCAGCATGCCCGGTCTGTGTTCAAAGCCAACACACGACGAGTCCCATTTTCTCATGTTTGGCGCTGTTCCCTACTTCTGCCGTCTCTCGAGTATTCTCATGGATTAGTATCAGTAGGGAGCAATAACGCCAGTAGAACTGCCGCGAGCAGTAGCTTAACGAATTCGGCTTCTTTGCTCGAAAGACACAGAATGCCTTCTTGGAAGAGGTGCTCGAAGAGAGCAATGCATTGTTGGGGAAGAAGGATTCGAGCTTCTCGGCTTTTGAAGGAATCATGACGTTGCCTGCCAACCCTACCCATGATCCCTTGTTCCCGGCACATTCAGCCGCAAGTCGTCGATCACCCGCGGCCGCGCTGCGCCTCCTGAAGACGACGTACGGCAGTTCCGGCGCTGGATGTACCGGAAGCAACCACGATCTTGGCAGAATCCTTGTCCGCCGAGGAACCTCGTGATGCCCCGTCCGTACCGATGACTCCGGCCCCGCAGTCCCGAGGACGACCCGTTTGTCCGGATAATACAGCGCCACCTACCAGCCAACTTTCCGTCCGCCACACGGATACCGTGTGTTACCCGAGGTTTGGGGGTTCTTCAACGAGAGTTTTCTGAAAGGCAATTGACACAACCGAAGCGACGATACCCCGCAAGTCAACAACATGCAGACCCGAGAGTTTGAAGAGGAAATGCTCAAGAAAAACAAAAAGCATGTTTTCCCTTTCTGACGGGTGTCACAACTTCTGCTATGGGCTCAGGGCGGTCTGGTCTCGGTCCCGAAGCACACCCTCATCGGCGGCAATTCTGCAAAAGCAAAGAAAAGCACCGACCATCGAAGGATTCTGGAAAATCAAAGCTCGAGCCGGCATGAGAATGGGAAACACCACCGGGCAGCGGGCATGTGGCGCGGAACCGTGCGCGGCGAGAAAAGACCGAGACGATGGGAAAACCGCAGGATCGATAACAGACGTGAGGATTTCGTCAATCGACCTAGAAGAATGGATCGTCGTGGAAGTCCGTTTAGTGCCGTTGAGCGTTTCCTCGCTAGAAGAGGGTGGATTAGTTGTTTGATCGGCCGTGCAGAACTGAGGGAAACGTTCTTGTTCGATTTCGTTTCTAAGTATGGACTAGGGTGCCTCTCTAATGAACATCGGCGGTTTTACCCTTCCTAGGGGCATCTGATCTGATCTGGGAATCTAGAATCGGGCGGTTTTTGGCGTCTCGTGAGGAATGTTGGTCTGCGTGTCTGAGCGTGGCCGGTTGAGTGTGTTTTGAGAGACATCCATGGATAAGTTTCGATGGTGCCTTTGCAGATCTCGACAAAGCTGCTGTTGCTAGAGGATTAGGATTCAACGGTGCAGTTTGCATGACCGCATTTGGGTTTTCAGAGTTCTGCTTACCTAGGGGGCGATATATTCCCGCTGCTGTTTTTATTAGTGTTTCCGCGGGTCCATGTAAGGGATGGCTATTGATGATGCGTGCCATGATGAAATAAAGCCAAGGCAATGGAGAATGACGGTGTAATTGTGCCGAAGTTCCCAGCACGGGGACAGGCACAACTCCTTCCATTCCCGTCCGCTGCAGTGCAACTTTCAGGGTCCACGAGTCCCTGCACTAGGGATGGTGGTACGTGCACAATTAAATGCTGTGCCGGGCTTTCTTCATCTTCAAGTTCTCGATGGCCGACCGGCACAAACGGGCTCCAGTAATAATGAATGACCGAAGTACAGACCGCACCATGAGAAATCGAGGATAACTTACAGAGTACCGATTCAGTACATGCCTAGAAATGACCGGACTGGTGGCTTATGCCTTGCCGACGCCTCGAAGCCGGCGCTGCATGGCAGGGCCGCCACAATGGCCTATCGGGAGCCTCTGGAAAAGCGAGATACTCGTGGCCACTGGAATCCTGGATTCAGCGGACCAAGCCTGCGTGGACGTGAATGTGGATGGGGGTCTCACAGCCTGGAAGATGGGTGGTGAGTGACACAACCTTCCAACCTCCTCCAATTGTTGACGTTGACGTCGCAAGCCCGCTGCCACCTCCGTTTCCAGGGACCTACTTCCTTGGGCCCTTCAGGCGTCGCTGTCGCTGGCTTTTCCAAGGTTTTCACTCTTCGTCATTAACGGTCTGCAAGTCTGAGCCCGACCTCGTGGGAGGGAGCAAACACAATTCTTCACGTTCAACCGCAAGGATCCCTCGCCGTCGGATTACTTCCCATCTCTCAAGCCTCACAGTTTTTCGACAACCTACTTGCAAAGGATACGTTGCTCTTTGTCGGTTCCTGACTCTATCTCTGCAGCTAGAGTCTGCCTTCGCAGTACAGCATTTCCTGACTCGGCTGCTCTCATTCCTTTGACCGACTCCAAGCGGCACAATTTCTCCCCGCTTTTCTCTCCTCCCGCGATAGGAGACACAACATCAATATAAACAAGACGACTCGAGATACGCATCCCAGCCGTCCTAGCTCTCAGCCACAAGCGCAGTTGCGTATTCACCTGCGACTTTGACAGCTCGACGCCCATCAGGAAACACCCTACGCCGCAACGCCGCAACGCCGCCGACGACGCCGTCACCAAGTTACGTTACCGCTGTACCGAATGTACATTTCTTGTTCCTGATCCGGCAGCCTGCACACTTCTGCAAGGACCGGGCCCGTCCGTCTTCAACTGTTCGATCCAAGGACGTTCATGCGAGTTGTGCAGTCGGTATCCGTCGCCTGTCAACCTCCCCTGGTTCAACCCTCCGCTCGCCATTCTCGCTTGCAGGGGAGCCTGGCTTCTGGCCTGAAGTCTGTCTCCTCTCTGTCCTTTCAACTCCGAGCTGCACGCTCCTACCAACAACTCTCTTCTCTCGCTCCTCTCGCGTACCCAACGCACTTTCATTTTCCTTCGCGAGCCGGTTGCGACTCTGGGTGCTCCTAGTTCGAAAAAGGGATCCCCTCCCCGAACACTGTTTGGGCCCGAATTGTGTTGATCCATTCACATTCCCAGCACCAACAAGCCCGCCCGCCCCGGCTCAAGCCCATCCCAGCGAGCCCAGGCTTGTCTTCCTAACTCAGGCCGGGAGGCGTTCAATATTGCCCGTCCCACACGAAACATTAACGCATCATGCTAAGCCGTCACGCCGCCTCCACCTCAGACTACCCGTCGACTGTTCCGCGTCCAACGACCGACTCTGGAATGGACGGGACTCAAACTCTACGCCGCGCACATGGGCCGTCCGCGAGCAAAGATCCAGCCGTCGATCCAACTTCCCCGAGCGCTACCCCCGGTGCTGCCATAAACATCAACCCGCCTGCACAGCTCGAGCCTTGTCGCGTTAGCCCGTCTGCCGCCAACCGAAGCTTCCCAAGAGTGCACACTGGTCATCAGAGGCAGCAATCCGTCCCAAACTTCCCCTCCGCGGCCACAAATTACAACATCCCGCAAGTGACGCTCTCGCCTTCTACTGAGCGTGGGAGTGGTCGTCCCTCTTCGATCAACATGCCTCTTACGGGCGACAACAGAAGCGGAAAATCACCAGACGCCGCTCGAGGAGGTATACTCAGCGGCTGGCTGGGCGGTTCCGGGGCCTCAAACAACACCCAAGGAACGAGCACGACGGCTCAAGCGAACAAAATGAGCGACAACGATGCGGACGTTACGCCTTCGAGGTTACAGAGGAGAGCGACGGCCGACCAAACATCTAAAGCTAAGGGAACTTCGCCGGCCACATCACGCTTCGCCTTCTTCAGCTCTCCCTTTTCGAAAAATACCCAGCCCGTCGACCCGAAGCAGGACGAGGAGCTGTTGACCCTCAACATCCAAGAGGCTCTCTTTCCGCCTGCCTCCCCAACGCACAGGGACGCATTTTCGCCCGCCGCCTTCAAGAACCTCGAAGCTACAGCCGTCGGCCTATTAACAAAATACCAAAGCGCCTTTCAACGGCAGAACGCTGCGCTTCAAGAGTTACGGGACGAGAAGAACGCCCAGGAGGACGAGCACGAGGAGGCAGACACACGAATCCAACACCTGAAGGTCCAGTTGGAAAACATGGCCTCCACGGTTGCCGAGCAGGCGCAGTCAATGCAGCAGCTCATGGAGGAGCTGGCGGCCGAGAAGAAAGCCAGGCAAGAGGAGCGTTTAATACGGGAACGGGGCCGTCCTATTTCCGAGGGATCTTCAATATCCGAAGACCTTGGCGTGGACGATGATCAGGCCAGGAGGAAGTGGAGAAAGAGTGCCGGGTTCGACACGGACGAAGAAAGCGTCGAGGACGCCAGCGTCTTCTCCAGATCACGGAGCCCTACGACCGCCGCCCCGAGTGTCTTTGAGGGCAGCATCGCCGAGACGTCACCGGCGCCGGCGGCCGCCAAGTCCAATAGTCTCGGACCTCCGCCGAGGACATCACGGCCGCCTGCCCCGAAGACGACACAACAGCCGACAGTATTCCAAAAGTTGATGAGAGGGGTAACAGGCGACCCCAATCAGCAGACAGGCGCGACGTCGTGTGATAACTGCCGCGGACAAGACGAACGAGCTGCATGGGACACTGTCGGGTTGCTGAGAGATGAGAACCGGGGTCTGAAGCATCGGGTCGCCGAACTAGAGACGTGTGTGGATAGCGCGTTGGATGTGGTGAACGGCCTTAGACTTGACTGAGAAAGAGGCGGATATACTTTACTTCCATGACAATACTTCTTGTGGCATATTGGCGTTCTTTGGGATACGGGAAACGGGGTTTTTGGACATCATACGGACAATGCGATACCAATGAGCTGGCATTATTGACGTTTAGCGATATATGGCGTATAGCTCTACCACGTCTCAGCTGACTGTAGAGAATGAAGCATCCTGTTGAGCACTTATCATCGGCCGTCATCTTCCGTGAGGTTGCTTGACTCTTTGCCAATTGCGACGCACTTCAGTCGACTTCTGAAAGTTATCTCGACGTCAAACTGCCTACCTGCCAGAATAAGAAGTGAGAGAGGATCGGATAGCCGTCTGTCAGAAGCTTGGACTGGGCAGATGCGGCTGGCGATGGTATATTTGATGGGATGACGGGTTGAAACGGGCGTCTGTGCCACGACGTGTTTTTTTCAGAGATGACGAACTGCTTCGCCTGAAGGTGTATAGTGCTTAGATTATGTCTTCTTCGGTGATCGGTCTTTGGGATGAGGGGAACGGTTGATGCTTAAATATCTGAACGGATGTGAGGCGGCATCTCAGCGTGTGCTGACTGTGATGACCGAGGCATAGGGCATCTATCTATCTGGGCTCAGAACTCAATCTTGGCTGAGTTATTTGCGTTTGTGGTTCGTATGCAGGTACGGTTTCTGGGGGTTTGTTGGTTGGACGGGTCTCGTTTTTGGTGTTGGGGCAGTGCGGTTTGTTTTGGGCGTACGCTATTGCTGTTGCACACTTGCCATATCTCTCTCGGGATTGAAGTTTTGTTGGTTAGATACTGCTTGCGAAGTCATTTTACTTCGGTTGTAGTCCTACTATCTACTGTTGTAAGAATTGATCGTCTCGCCAGCGCACTGCCCGAGGGAAACGGAATATCGCCCGGGGTACAGTGGATTTTCGCAGAGTAGGAAAGCAGACGACGAAGAACGCCAGTTCGTCTTCAGTGACGGCTCCGTTGTCAAGCTGGGGGCTCGCGGAAGATGATAATCACGTAAACAGACCGTTCAAGGAAGGGCTTCCGAAAGCCGGATGCGAAGTAACCTCTTGAGGCTTTCAAGGCACCCAGCAGGCGTTGCGAGAATGCGAAGAAGAGTCGTCCAAGCTTCATCCCCAATGACATCAGGGTGCCCATTCTCACAGGTTCACCTGTGACAGACCCTCCTGTCGTCAGCGCTGCCATCCACCCCTAGATCCATTCCGGCACCTCGGACTTGTCACTGCACTGTCGTAACGTATTCTTGATCGCGAGAATTCAATTTCGTCCTCTTCTAGGCCCATCCAGCGAGCCGATATGCCGGCTCGAGAGGTAAATGTACAGCGGAGCAACCCCCCTCCGTCTCCCTCCCCTTCCGAGCAACCCCTCTAGTGGTGGTCCTTGCCATGGCTGTCGCCGTGGTGATGGTCGTCGTTCAGGAAGAAGTACTCGAACGCGCAGTAGCCGGCAAAAGCGACGGTCGCAATGCCCAGGCCGGGGAAGGATCCCTTGAATCGGTTGAATCTCGTGAACTGGCCCTGGTATCTCCAGGCCTCTCTGTATCCCAATCGTCAGCAGTCGTCGTGGCATGGCAAGTGCGAATACACAATGGGATGCTACTAACGCTCTCTCCCACGGGTCGTATCTGGGCTGGCCGGTGGCCTCCTTGAAGGCTCTCATGTTGAAGCCGGTGATGTTAGGCTTCTCGCCGTGGGCGGCCATGGCTAACCTGTGATCGGAAAGGGTCGTCAGCCGTCTGCTCAGTAGTCTGCCGAGTCAATTGAACTTTGCGGGGGTGGCATACCTCGTTGGTTGCATGATTGCTGTGCAGATATCGTCTCGCCGTACAACAATGGGCTCGTCGAGGTGGTGGTCAGCGAGTTGGAAGGAAGCTGATTGGAGATCTGTGAGATGTTGTCGTCGGAAAGTCCCGCCGGTACGTACCTCCTTGCTCGGTGGCCCCGCACAGACCACCCCTCGTCGTCCATGGTTCGGTCAACTTAGCAAGCCTTCAGGCCTCATTCACACATTCTGTCCTAAAACCGAGATAAACCAGACGTTTATTGCCAGCGCCCTCAGAACAACGCGACCCAGGACGAACAATACGAACATCAATCGGCGCGACGATATCGATAGAGCAGACGGCGCTCTTTTTGGACGACCTTTGCCGACGCAGATCGACTTCCGACGACCGGCGGAGAACAAAGGCGCACCTCTTACTGCCAGCCAGCCCCTTCCAGACGCAAATGCAGGGCCGTGGATCATCCACATCCCCTCAAAAACCGACAGAACCTCGCTCGACGGAACGATAGATTTGCAGCATCACGCACGAATACCCCTCCCCGGGAAGGCATAGTCTGGTATGCCGCCACCGCTGAGGTTCCCTGGCGGGCCCAACACCATATCGCCCTACCACCAGCAGTTCCCCTCGCACACCCAAGGCCACGGCGCGAATCATGGGCCTCCCCTCGGAGGCAACCCCTCCTACCTCAACGCCAACGCCCAAATCAGCCCCTTTTCGACGAACGGAAACGTCCTCGGCGGCACCCCTGGCCTGAACGGCGGCTTCCCTCTTGGCGGCGACAACGGTCTCAACAGCCATGCTGCGCGTATGAGCTTCCACGCGGCGAACCTGCAGCAGCAGTCGCACGGCCAGCCGCAGCACAACTTCGCGCTCGACCACAGCGCCCCGCCAGCGCGGACGACGCAGAACAAGGGCAGGATACGGGAGGTCTGGAAGCACAACCTCCATGAGGAGATGGCGGTCTTGAGAGAGCTCGTCGACAAGTACCCTTATATTGCTATGGTTAGCTAACCCGCCAGCCACCCCGGAACGAAAGACAAAGACTGACGATGGGAATCGCAGGACACCGAATTTCCAGGCGTGGTATCACGGCCAATGGGATCTTTCAGGGGAAAGAGCGACTACCACTACCAATGCCTGCGCACCAACGTCGATATGCTCAAGGTCATCCAGATCGGGCTGACTCTATTTAACGAAGACGGCGAAACACCTCCCGCGCGACCGAACTCCACCCAGGACTTAGAGCTTGGCGCCGCCGGCAAGAGGGCTGCGTCGCAAGGCCCCTTCCCCTACGCGTGGCAGTTCAACTTCAAGTTTTCTGTCAAGGACGACATGTACAACGAGAAATCGATCGAATCATTATCAAGCGCCGGCATCGACTTTGCTAGCCTCGAGAGGGACGGCATTGACCCCAAGGAATTTGCTGCCCTCCTCATTCCGTCCGGCCTCGTGTGCTTCGACAACGTGAAATGGGTATCCTTCCACGGCGGCTACGACTTTGGTTACCTCACCAAGCTCCTCACCTGCAACGATCTCCCCAACGACGAATCCGATTTCGACCTGGTGATGAAGTTGTACTTCCCGTCAGCGTACGATGTGAAGCATCTTATGAAGCATGCTATAAGACTCCATAACTCAGGATTGCTCACCCCCAGCGATCCGAGCAGCGCCGATATCCTCCAAAAGTTCGAGCACAAGTCCGGCCTCGAGAACATCGCGGACTCCCTCAAGATCAAACGCGTGGGCAATGCGCACCAGGCAGGCTCCGACTCGTTACTTACAGGCAAAGTCTTCTTCCAGATGCGGGATAAGATCTTCAACGGAGAGATTCCCGAAGAACACGTCGGCAAGGTCTGGGGTTTGGGTATTCCCGACCTCCTGATCATTGACCGCATGCCGTTCGGCAACAATGCCGGCAACCAGGAGCAGTCGCAGCAGGGCGCCAACGGACAGCAAAACGGCGGCGGGCCGAGCACCCCCAACACCGCGAGCGTCGGTCTTGCCAGCACACCCGCCGCGCAAGCCCACAACACGAACGGTCTCTCTATGGGTCCAATGACCCCGGGCGGCGGCGGCGGCGTCTTCGGAAACTTTGCCTTTGCCGGCAGCAGATAAGCTTTCTGCGCACCCATCCCCAACCGGCATTGAGTTTCTCGCGGGGCTTTCCGGGCGACTGTCGTGCGTTTGGTCTCTGGGACAGGCCATGGTGACTTGTCCCTGGGGACTCAAACCTCGAAGGGCTTTGGTCATGCATAGATGTGTTCTTCTCTTGACAGTTTGCGACGTTACCGTTCCGTCACGTTTTCGGTCGTACGTCGGTTTTGCGATGTGGAGTTGGGATTCGGGGAAGGTCCTGGGTTTCATGAATCACGTAAAAAAGGGGAAACGAGCAACAGGGCGGACGGCGGACGGGAAAAGTAGGCGGGTTTATTCTACTTTCATGATTCTTTTCCGACAGGCTTAGGCAAGGGGAGAGAGAAAAAACCAAACCAAAAACAGCAAATATCCATACGTTGTTGAAGGGTGGAGAGAGAGAGAGAGACTTTATGCATTATCAGCCCGCCCACCGCGACGTCAGAACACTCATTGCGGTTTTGGGGAAAGGGGGGCGTAGATCGAGGGTATTATCAAACCCGGAAGGAGACATGGAGATTAAGGGATAAGAGAGGACGAGCGTATGAAACTTCTCTTAATCATTGTACTGTTATTGTGAATACCTGGATCAAAGGTCGGCAGGGGTGGGGGTCTTTTTGGGGGAAAACGACTGGAATTCAAATGCGAAGTTTAGTTGTGTTCACTCTTGGAAACCCAGACATTGTCCTCGTGGTGAAGTGTTTCTGTGATTGTGACTCGCTGTTCGGCCTGAGCTGGTCTAGTCTGAGGGGACCCTGAGTCTGAGCGACTGGTACATGTGTTGTTGCATGCTAAAGCAAATAAAAGAAAGCTCTGGGGTCTGTGATATCCCGAAAAAAACGCTGCGCCGTAAAACTCCCCTGATTTCCCCTGACCCGAACGAAACGCCGCTTATCTGAAAAAAAAACGAAGCAAATATGGATAACCGCTTTTCCTGTTTCTCGCAGCAGCATAGAGAATCATGTGATGAAGACCTTCTTGAGCTTGTCCGCGGGATACACCTCGCCTGTCCTCAGATCCCTGACCTGGTCCGGCGGCAGGCCCGACTTCTTGGCGTAGTCCTCGAGGCGCTCCTTGCCGTAGGCGCGGCTGTTCGGCAGCAGCAGCAGGTCGTGCTCGACGTAGCTCTTCGTGTGGTGCGCGTAGGGGACGTTGCGTGCGAGGTCGTTGAGCTCGGTGGAGCAGATGGGGCAGACGGACTGGGTGCCGGCGGTGGCGGCGGCGTTGGTCGCGGTTGTCTCGGAGGGGGCGACGTGGGAGGAGTTGGCCGAGTGGCAGGCCGGAGTCTTGAGGGCGGACAAGCCCGAAGAGAGGGCGATGTGGAGGAGCGGGAAGGAGGGGAGCATGAGAAGGGAGTTGTGGGTTGTGGTGAAGAGGTCGGCGAGGGTGTGCCAGCGGTCGTCGGAGTAGAGGTCGGCGTAGACGTCCGTTGCGGCGTTTGGCGAATAGGCCAGCAGGCCGAAGGCGCGGCTGAGGTCCTCGGGGTAGACCGACTTGTAGGAGAGGAGGTATCGTTTGGCGTGGGCTATGGCCTCGAGGAGTTTCGGCTGGGATTGGGTGCGGACTAGCTCGATGTACTGCTGGAAGCGGAGCATGAACTCGAGGTTACTCTGGAAATATTTATGTCAGTATATGCTGCCGAGTAATAGAAAATGGGGAAACAGGGCGACGTACATCCATCTTACGAAGCTCCTTCTTGTTCTCTTGGCACCATGCGAGTGCCTCGACGACACTCCCGTTCCGCAAAGCCTCCTGGATACGGCTCATCTGCACAAATGTCTCGACGTCGACCAAGTCTTCAAGGCCGCGCTCGGCGGTCAGCGCCTTGGCGGACTCGTTGTAGCCGTGGCGGAGGAGGTAGTCGACGAGCAGTCGATCGAGCCGGGCGCGGCTCCAGGCCTCGTACTTGACGTCTTCGACGGAATGCATGCCGTAGAGGTCGCCGAGGTGTGAGATGCGGGCGGCGGTCTGGCGGGTGAGGCGAGCCTCCTCGTCGGCGCTGGCGGCCAGCTTGCGCTTGACGCCGCGCATGCGGGCGATCATGGTGTCGAGGTTCTTGAGTACATCGTCGGGGGTGGCGCGGCCGTTCACCGAGTTCGTCGCGGTCTCCTTGAGGAGGGACTTGATTGCTGTTGATTCCTTTTCGACCGTGAAGTGGGCTTGGCGGAAGTTCTTGCGGAGGAGTTCGTAGGGGAGGCGGAGGAGGGGTTGGTCCTTTGAAGGAGGTCAGCTTGAGTTAAGGAGGATTATGGGTTTGGCGACAGAGGGACCGTACGAGTAGGAGGTGATCTTGGTGTTTGATTGTCGAGTGTTCGTGGTCTGCCATGTTGGCGACTGTTGAGGGCTGGCCTCTGTGTATTCAATGGAACGATGGAATAAAACGATGGAAATATTTCGCTGAGATGCCTCCTCGTGGGAGGGGTTCTATGTTGGCGTCGTTGGCGTGGCGTGGAACTTGTTGGTGGTTGGGATTGGGAAGTTGAAGCACAGATGCATTGACACCGTTGACGTTATCGGGCCGGCGTGGCGGGGCCGAAGGGCTCCGAGGCAAGATTTCGTGCAGAAAGTATGTGTTTGAAGCGAATGTTTAGGCTCTCTTGAACTAAGTGGATATATCAAAGCATCAATAACAATCGATTTTGACCAGTTTATCGACTTCGAAGCACTTCACCACTTACTGATAGCTTGCCCTCGTGCTTCACAACCCGATGCTTCATGTCCACCCCCACAGTGACGGACTGCTCGACGCACAGACCATCGATGTGGCTCGCATCGGCTTACATAAGACCGAGATCCCTCAAGCTCGGCTTCCATGAACCCCACCTCGTAATTGTTCAACGGGAAGTGCATCAGTAAGCAAGCGCGACGGGACGCAAGACGCGGCCAGCAACGGGCGAGACCATCTCAGAGCCGGCGTATCTGCTGTGCTCGTTTTTCAAAGTGGAATGTCTCACAGCCCATCAGTCAAGTGATTCATGCTGGCAGCCCTCGGCATCATCAGGTGATTCGCGAGGCTCGGCATTTCCTGACGCGCCAGATGATGGTTGGGTGCATTGTGTTTGTACAAAACGAAGCAGCACTTGTGAAGTGGCTAATCAAGCCCACACTTCCTCCGACCGGTCGAAGCTACCCCTGCTGTAGCTTTCCCAGTGTCCGTCCGGACTGCGACTGCCTGTGTGTTTTGCTAACAGTAACAAGTCGACGGGAAGCAGCGCAATCGATAAGACGCGACAAACATATGGATCACTCGCAATGTCTTCCTGCTGTTGCAAGCGTGTGCCCCTCTGAAGAGATGGGATTGGACCGGGGCAGTCGCGGGAGGAGTTGGGAGGCACCCACAGGCCAGCCGGACGCCTGGGGGGTGTGCCTTTCGGGCTTTTGATTGGTTCTTCCGGAAGTCCTGCCTGAGGCCCGCATCCTCCCTCACCCTCACCCTCGAGCGTACCTATTTATCTCCAGCCTCACCCACTTTGCACGTGTTCACCCTCTTCCCTCGCCGCGTGACCAGAGCTACCCGCCGTCGCTGCTCGCTCCCTCCCCCCCCCCCCAAAATCGACAAGCCCGACACGACCACCACCCCGTCTTCTCTCGTCAGGAATAAAAGAGAAAGGACCTGCAGCTCCGTTTCAGGCTATAGAGGCTTTTATCTTTTCAAGAATCGCCATTTGTGAAAAATTTCCGCCCGTCGTTTCTTTAAACGTCTGCTGGAACCTCGGAATCCTCGACAACACTTACAACACACGCCCGGCCCCATCCGGAAGGAAAGGACCCCCCCAGCCGCCGCCGCGCGATATCACGAGTTTGATCACGCCGACAACACGTGAACTCCAGCAAAACCCGTGATCTGGAGCTCCCTCACCGCCCAGACCACGCTGCGAAGCACATGATCTAGAGGTATGCGACCTGTCCCATTTTTCCTGGCGATCTTTCATTCTGCCCTATCGCTTCCATCGCAATCGCACTGCAATGCGACCGCACGACGAGCTCCTTTGGAGGCGCGTCCCGTCGATGCTATTTTGCGCCATTTTCTGGAAACGTGCCTTGCTGAGGCGCGCATCACGACCTGCTTCCCAACCACAATCAAGTGATTGATGACGGCTTGAATACAGTTATTGGACTCAGCAAATGCGTTGCTCCTTATGTTGAGAATCGCAACATGTCACTTTCTGGATGGCATTCAACCACACTCCGAATTTTATGGGCATCCGACAGGAGTGAGCCAGCGATTGTTCAACTGATAGAGCAAGCGCTCTCATATCGTGCAGCTGAAACAGAAGGTCACTGTCGCCTGGATCGTGGTGAATTCACTTACTCGCCCACCTTCCGTCTGATGCATTTGCATCAGTCCTTCCGCTTGCTTCCACTTTGTTGATGAACGTTGAAGGCGATGATTTTCGGTACCTTACTGACAAACTCTGTAGTCTCACCAACACGTCTCGTTGGACTTCCTTATCACCACCTAGCACCCTTCTGGCAACCACGCAAGCACAATCACTATGGCTGAAGTCCTCAGTGATCACCCAGATCTCTCTGAGCTGGCTCAATCCCCTTCTCCTGGACAGAAGCGGAAGCGCGACATGTCTGAATCGGCAAGTCCTGGCCGCGCCAAGCGCACCAGCGCCGGACCCGACACAGACACCACCTCCTTCATTGAAAGCGCCATCGAGGCCGCTCACGCTGCCGCCGCCAATGGTGTCAGTGCCGCCGACTTCAGTGCCCTGCAAGCTGCTGCTGCGGAGCACTCTGAGGCTGCCGACCCGGCAAATGCCTCGAGCACCGCCGCCGCCGCCCTCGGCATGTATCCTACTCTTCACGTCCCTTCTTCCACGGAAGAGCAGTTCGCTGCCCAGACCAACAACGAGCCGACGCACCAGGAGCACGCTTTCGACCACGGAAACGTCACTCCTCCCGATAACCTCATGAGCAGTCTCTCGGCTGTACAACAGCCTCTTAATGGCGTCCAGCCCGTGCAACCCCAGCCCCCGCACCAAGCTCATCAGCCTCCCCAACCCCAACCGCCTCAGCACCGCTACTCCTCCGGATCTGCCAGCACTCCGGCTAAGAAACCTGATGTTGGCTCCGAGGAGTGGCACAAGATGCGGAAAGACAACCACAAGGAAGGTCAGTACATTATAAGCCCCCCAGCCACAGTCACATATTGACAAAAAGCCAGTCGAACGTCGTCGTCGTGAGACTATCAACGAGGGCATCAACGAGTTGGCCAAGATCGTGCCAAACTGTGAGAAGAACAAAGGATCGATTCTTCAGCGGGCTGTCACATTCATCAACCAGCTCAAGGAGAACGAGAATCAGAACATCGAAAAGTGGACTCTTGAGAAGCTGCTTACGGAGCAAGCTATAGCAGAGCTCAGTGCTTCGAATGACAAGCTCAAGCAAGAGTGCGAACGCCTGTACAAGGAACTCGAGACCTGGAAACGTGTCGCGCAGAACGCAGGTCTCTCGTACCCTCAGGCCAACAAGGAGGAGCCCGCCGTCGCGACCTAGGAGGTCGAGGACGAGAGCCTTCCCTCTGCCCCCGAGCAGCAATCAGTTGGTGGTCAGGGTTCCCCTTCGACTTGCAATAGCCCGAGTCAGATATTTGAGCCTGGTTACGATGTTGAACACGACTCGACTTCAATGTTAACTCACTTTACTGGCGACTCTTTCAACGATTCTTTCGAGAGCCAAGAGAGTGGTCAGATCTCGCCTCCAACCACTGACTCTACTTTCTCCAGCAACGCTGTCGGTGGCCAACAAATACCACTTCCACAACACTCGGCTCGGTTGCAACCTTTGGCTCAACCGCCGGTCCCCGTCATCAACTTACGTGGGATGTCAGCGCAGCAGGCGAGAGCCCTGAGCAACCTAATTTACCATGCGCATCAGAATCGCATGGAGCATCCCTCTTTCCCTTCATCTTATACCCCTCAGCAGCTCTGAGCTGCTTTTCTCGTTGGTACTGTTTATAAACTGCCGTGGATGCGGCGTTAAGCTACGGATACAGTCTATAATGAATATTTGTGTTTTGGTCTCTTTCACCCCCGAGCTGAAGTGTACGGATTGGTCTCCGCGTTGGAGGATTTCGCGAAGGGTGATTCTGTATGATTCCGATTTTATTCACGCAGTCATGCATTCGGCCAGACATACCGTCTGCCCGATCCCGGCGTCGGAGAGCTCTAGCCACTCTGGTTGAGTTGCTAGCTAGTCATTATCAGGGCAGAGATAGCATATCAATTCTCACCGTAATTGTTCACGACACTGGCGAACCGGTGACTGAGTTCAAAGTCAAATATGAACATCAACTGCACATGACAAGTGAGCGGGCTTGTTCGGCCGAAGCTTCCAGCTTACGGAAATGAAGAGGTGCTGTTGACCGCGATGTGAATTCATCACAAGCTCGCGACGAATTAAACTGAAAGGTCGGTGTCTGGGTATTTTTGGGAGTTTGACTTTGCAGTTTAGTCTGGTCCCGCCTCTTTCAACCCAGAAGTACGGCCGTCTTGGCGAACTGGTGAAAGTTGTCAGAAACAATCCCCGGCTTAGAGTGCATGTGCCGTCCAAGCTGTACGTTCCTGGTACGTTGCATCTTCCTATTGTGTCTAGGCCTGTGTATATAAATACAAGGTCTTATCACATCACCTAATCCCTTCGGCAAAGCACGACCTGGTAACTTCGTTTGTTATATTTCGAGTGTTGAACAGCTCAAGACTAATCTTTCTACGAGGTCTAGAGAGTAGGATCAGCAGCGGCCAATGAATGCCACTGCGGTATCTGGTATGATGTTATTTTGCTTGTTCTCATCTCTATCGCCCTTGGTTGATTATAGTGGCTTATTCCCTGTCAGGAATCAGCAACTTAGACGTCAGAAGAAAGAACTGCGAAGCCAGATTTGGTATTTCTCACCACGCAACAACAGGCCAGGGTCATCTCTCCAGAAATGCAGTGACTCATGACATGCCATTGCGGCGTGGTGAGCCACAATCCATTCGATCGTTCACTATGTTTATAGGCGTTGATGAGGTTGGTCCCGGGCGGTTGAGATATATGATTTGATAGTTGAGATTTGACAGCTGACAACGGTGGAATGTAAGTACTGCATGGTCTGAGGGGTACTTGATCTGTCTCCTTCTGAGAGCTGTTTCGGGAGGGACTGAGGCTTGCGTGGTGCACTTGTCCAATACATATAAGGTGTCCTCGACGGCGTTGCAGTATTCTGATGCTTGCAAGCGGGGTTAATCCAGCGTCCGACCTCCGCAAGGTCGTCTCGTTTGATCAAGGAGATAATAATGCCCAAGGCGAAAGGGCTTTCTGTATTACCACAGGATGTCCATCAAGTTTCTTACGTTCCAAGAGAACCACTTTGCGTCCTGAAAAGCTCTGTTTCTCGGCATCCTTTGGAGCTTATTCCTCGGCTTCCCGTGACACATGGTAAGAGGACTTGATCTACGATGAGTACAGTGACTTAGCGAGTTACATGATGCTCATGAGACGGCGCCATCGAACTATCGATCCCATTATCGCATAGAACTTGGTACGAGTTGCAACTATTCCTCTTTATGTACTCATTCCTATTGTCAGGTGAAGTAGAACCGTCATACTTGGGACACTGTTCGGACGATAGTCCTAGAGACCAGCTTGAAGAGATCACGGCAAAAGGACCACGGCAGACCCTTTGCCTGTAATTGATAGATCTGCATGTCGTTGGTTTACAGCCCCACGGCAACCTAGAAGACATGAGTGAAAGGTACCTGCGCAAGACCAGGGTGGGGATTATTTATCTGTCCAGACTGTCCTGCAACCTCCTTCCTTATTAGGAGCCTTGCAATCCGCTTTCGGGCCACTCATTCTTTTAACATATGCACGTTGGAGGTGTTGTTGGCTCTAGACATATTCCTTCGGCATGGGGCTTCCGATCAGCCGTACTCTGCGTTGTGACAGGGGTTGTCAGAGGGCCGCAAGCTCATTTAAGAATCATCTAGATTACTCGGTCCTTCTACAATATATATAGCTTCAAAAGATTCTTAGTCAAACTGTTCGAAACCATCTTTCTGCCCATCAGTTCCACTCTTCCTTCTCTGACCTACGACTCTCTACTTGATTATCCCATGATCCCGGTGTCGCTGTCACGACCACGCCTTTATGATGGACGTCAATGTGAACCACGCCGGTTTTGAACGCCGGCTCTCTGTGGTTCGGCAACTCCTCCATGACCTCGGGCTTCAGGTTTGTGATCAGTACTGCCATGCATCAACTTCCCTCTCTCGCTAACTAAGCAACTTTCTTAACCCGCCGGCAGGCCTCTACCATCTCGACTCTGGCCTATGACGAAGAGTACGCATTTCCATTCAACAACTTTCTGTTCAAAGTAGAGCTGGCGGCGCCGGCCTTCACCTCATCATTTCCGGGGACTCAACCTGGTACATGCAAAGCTCCGTCTGAGGGCGTCTCCACGCTAGTCATCAAACTTAGCAACCCCGCGGCCCACGACGTGAACAATGCCAACCGCGTAGCGAACGACGTGGCTTCACAGTACCTCGTCCGCGAGTCCATGGCAAAGGCCGGGCTCCCTCCACTGGTACCAGACGTCTACGCCTGGGCGCCGGCCACGACTACCGACGAGGTAGACGAGAAGGGGTTCGGGTGGATCATGTCAGAGTTCCGGAGCGGCGTTGATCTGGGCCCGGAGTTCTCCTCCCTTGACGTGGAGGACCAGAAGCATGTCTTGGAGCAGATGGCTGCCGTTCTTGGGGCCATGCAAGCAGCAGATCTGCCGGAAGGCGTCACCAAGTTTGGCGGCGGACTCGGTTTCGACTCGGACGGCTACATCGTGAGCGGAGAGTCGCCATCAATGCAAGACGTGAAGCCCGCTGGGTCATACGCGGAGTGGAGGATAGAAAAGCTGCGGTCCCGGCTCGAACGAGCCGCCGGAAGCCCTGTTATCCAGGGCTGGAAAAGCAGTGGCGTTGCCACCAGAATCGAGAAATTCCTCACCAGCGGCGGCCCGGAAAGATTGCTTAGTACTGTCGACGTGCACAGGAAGTGCATAACACACGGAGACCTGAGTATGTATTCCGGTCCCGAGTCTGGTCGATGTCGAACTAATCCCCAGTAGCCATCTACAATATGCTCTTTGACAAGAAGGCCAAGAAAGTCACTGCAGTTCTGGACTTTGACTTCGCCTCCGTCTCTCACCCCTTCGAGGAGTTCATCTCCATATCTTTTACCCATACCGGCGGAAATATCGGTGACTATGATATCGCGATCAACCGGGCGATTCTCTCAGGCGACTTCACCACGCCACCGGCAGACCTTCATGAGGAATCTGCCAAGGAGTGGGAGCTTGCCAAGACGTGGAATACGGTTCTGCAGGAGAGTGCCGCTCTTGCTCCGAGCCAGATCGAGGGCGTTGACCAGATCTATAACCTCATGCAGTTGGAGATGGTCCTGTGTCCGTATCGGCTAAGCAGCGCGAGGGCGGTTGGGGAACTGGACAATGAGGAGAAGGCTAGGCTGCGGGGGAAAGCGGAAGCAGACCTGGTGGGCTGGCTTGAGAAGCACGGGTATTAAGCAGAACAAGATACAATCTGAGTAAGAGATGAATGTGCTAAAGTTATATTACGATTCAGTTGCCCGTGATTTTTGTCGCTCTTCTTTCCTTAAAGGTCTATTATTCGTACCTCTACGTCTTGTCTTGTTGGTGAAGATGAGTAACCGGCGATGCGAGCTTCTCGCCCGCATGGCATAAGTACCCTGCAAGACGAAAGTCTACCTTATTCTCTGTTCGAGTCGTTGTCCAGGGTCATTGAATGCTTATGGGGGTAACAGTAGATGTCTCTTTTATATCCTCCGAAATTTTTGCGGTACCAACGCTGCCGCTCGCCATACATACCTCCAGGTTTGCTGTCGACAACTGAGATGAAGCCTCAAAGAGCTGAAACTTTTCTTGTGTCAAATCACAAAACGACGTGATTAATATTGCATATAGGGTATTCCACCGAAGCACTGCAAGTAGTAGTTAGTCACATAGTCTCAATGCGATTCGCCTTTCCTACTTGCCGCCCTCAACTTTCCAACCATGTTCCCCGGGGGGGTTCATAAGCAAATTATTTCAGCTCGGCCGTAAGGTACTGCAATGATTACATAGCTTCCTCGACCAAATCACACGCACGACACCACCAATTTGGAGATATCACATTCCGTCTCGGGGACCAGACTTCCCGCCGCCCGGCCGTATGCACGCCGCGCATCATGTCTCAAAACAGCCGGTCGGATGCGGTTTGGGGAACCGGCGACTCCCGGGTAGGCAGCCGCCAGTCTCCGGAGTCAGCTCCGGCCAGGTCCCGAGACTCGAGAGGTGCGTCATGCACATGCAGTTTGCCCGAACCTTTCAGCATGCACACCAACCCGCCGTGCTTGTCTCAATCACACGTACGCAAGAGGAGGGAAGCAAACGAATAGCGCCTTTCTGAGAAAACCCGACATGACATGTTGATGACGCCCCATCGCCTGTTTTTAGATGAGAGTTTTCGTTCGGGCCCGTTTTTGACGTTTCTTCTTCGTTGTCTTGCAGGTTTTCTCTGCCTTACATGGAATCCGAGTGCTTCGGTCTCGGGTGACCCGGCTACAGCCGGTCTATCAACCAGAAGCTCTGGGAGATATGGACGACGCAGCTTTGATCTTAGGATAGGGTAAGTCAACGCCGGCTCCTCTAGATCTGTGAGAGAGCCCCTGAAAGCCGAGGTGCTTCATCACCCACACGCCGTGGGAATATTGCGGGTGTTGTTGCTAGTCCGGAGAGGAACAGAGAAATTAAGAAATGCCAAGATACCCACCGACATCTGGGAGCATCTCAAATGCCAAGCATTACGAAGAAGACGATATACGCAAGCACTTCTCGTCATCGAAGGCTTTACGAAACGAACCTTACTCAGAAACCCGCGAAATGTTCTTAAACCGAAACAAACGCTCTTCACAAAAGCCTCACAAACGGAACGAGAACCAACTGCTCAGTCGAGTCCAGCCACCACAAACGTTTTCCCACCCACCAAACACACCCCAGAACAGGGGAGGGGAGGGTTGTCCCTCGAAGTACCTCTACATCCAACCCTCGGAAACCAACAAAACAGAACACCAAGAAAACCTCGACGAACGGACAAGATCCATGTCATCTATCCTTTCTCACCTGTCAAACAAGCACCGGCCCCTGTGTGTGTGTGTGAGTGGGGGGGATGGATGGTGGGCAGGAATGATGTGATGTTTGGGGGAAAACAAGAGAAACAAGCGAAGGGGGGAAGGGCGTCGTCGTAGGGAGGACGGACGTGGACTCTGTAGCGTCATCCGCCCGCGCGGGCCGAGCCCGTAGCTCCCTCCCACCACCCCTCGTGCGACCCAGGTCGAAAACCACAAAAAGGCGATATCAAGCAAAAGGAAAAAGAAAGCATAAGCAGAATAATCCATGTGGTGGTGGTGGGTTGGTCATCTGTCAAACGGCTTCGCTGGAAAGTGTGTGGAAGGGCGTGTGTTGTGTGTTGTGTTGTCGAAACGGGAGGGAAAAAAAACGATACATCTGAACTTCGGAGCCGGGGAGGGGGGCTTGACGTGTGGTGCGCGACGGCCGGTGACTGGCCGGAGGCGGTATCCACTTCTTCACCGGTCGCGGGATGCGGGGACCGGTGACCGGGGTATGGTATCCACCTTTTCTCGTCAGTCCGCGCGGGAACACGACAAGGACAAAACGCAGAAAAACAACACCCTACCCTCCTTCTTTTCCCATGTCATTCATTCTCTCACTTTGTGGAGATTTGATTCCTTGGGTTCTGACATCCGATATGTCAAAATTACCTTAGTTTGGCGTCGTTTACCGGGCCCAGGATACCGGGATTCGCGCGTGCTTATTTGGTCGTTCGCAGTAGCGCCGCCGCTGCGCCGCCGCGGCCTTTTCACCCGTTTTCCCTCCCGGTCCACATCCCCCCCTTCCCCCCTTCCCCCTTTCTCGCCTCGTTACCTGTCAGATTGTCATCTGTATGCGAAGAGACCCTTACCCTTTACCCGAGTACAGTGGGAATTGGACTGTCTTCTAGCGCGAGGCGGACGAACGCCTCCGTGGAAGGCTGCCGATTGGAAGGAGCCGTAATCACATTCAGGCACATATCGAACGCGCTAATGAGATCATCTTCATCTTGAAACCGGCCCTCGTTTAGGCAGAAGAGCCTCATTGACGTTGGAATTCGATGAGGCTGACAGACTATAACACGTTTCACAGTGGCACAGAGAAATTTGGCACAATGGATATTGACCACGAAAGGAAAACGAAACCCTTTCGAGCTGATTGCCCTGATTAACACCTATCTATAATGACCCACCATTACAAGCAAAACGTCGTGAACGAACCGCTTGGGGTTCCGGCAAACCTGTTTCCGCGACCAGCATACTCGGACAGTCAGGAATGAAGACCAAGGCGTCAACCATTGCCTACTGTCCAGTAGTTTTTTCTTCTCCAAAAACCTCCCACGTCATTTTTGAGTTTTCTCCCTTAGTTTTCCGCCGAGCACATACCAACGCTCCGAACGATGACCATACTCCTGCTCCAACAATGCCAATAATCTCCTGCTCGACTACGCCTTCCCCCTATGCTGAGCCCCCTCCCGGAACTTGAGACCAGCTTCTCGAAGCAATGAGGAGCCCCCCCCAAAAACAAAACATACGGCCAAAGGCCAGCGGTATCAAAGAAAAAGTATTCCAAGCGTCGCCATTCGTGCTGTGCTGCGTCCTGAGCTGATGATCCGTGTATGCTGATGCTCGAGGATGCGTGATGGAAAGTAAAGAGACGGAAAAAGAAGAATGGTGTCATGATAGCGTGAGAGCCCGCGCCTGAGCAGAGAGAAGCCACCTGCAGTATGTGTGAAAAATCTTGCCCCAACCTTTCGTAAACAGACTTCGACGTGCAAAGAACAGACCCATAAAGACGGCGAGTGAAATTCATAAAATGCCCTCCAATTGCTCCAGTACTTCTTCCGAGACTGCTGACCCCACTGGCTGTGCTCGGAAATGCCGATGTAACTTTTGAACAGCCACGATTGAGATAGGAAAACAAGACTTGCCGCTCATGTTGGAAGATCGGGTCATGATGAGAAATAAACAGACACAAACAGACAACTGCCGCCCCATATTTGTGTTTCTTAGATGAGAACTTTCGACTGCAATGACAATTTCTGGAAAGTCGTGAGATATGTACAGTATGTCGAGATCGATACTGTCGTAAGTGTGTTTTCGTCGAGATAGGGTTCAGGGAGCTCTCGATCAATAAGTCCTACGGCCGAGGCGAGTGACCACGAAATGCAGCTACAACACTTCTCAACTCGTCAGAAGTCGAGGTGTATCCCCTTGCAAACCGTCCCGTCGAACAAATCCCTGTGAGAACTGAAGCGAGACGCAAATGTTCGTGACCAATTCGTTCAATGAATCTGACCTCGGGCGATAGGATCCGGTTTCCCGCCTGGGCCTGTCAGACCTCGTGTGTCGGTGGGAAGGCTATAGCCAGAGAACCCTTGGGAGCCCTGGACTGGAGTTTGGCTCGCGCTCACGGATCGAAACATCCCGCCTTGATCGAATCCGCCCCTCGGCAGCCCGTCATACGGCGTCGGTACGTATTGGTTTTGCGCCATCGGCACGCTTGGATTACTGAAATGCCCCTGGTTGGGACCCGGCTGTTGCGTCGTGAAAGAATACACAGGGGCGCCGGTGGGGGCAGTTGACCCTCCTTGCCAAGGTTGAGTGTACATCCCAGGAGGCGCTGCATTGGGATATTCCGTTGGCGAAGTATAAATGGAAGGGCGGCGGTGAGGATCATGGCCTGATGGTACTAATTCCTGCGGCAGCATGCCTCCAGGCGGGTGGATGTTGTTGCCCTCCACATAGTGATGGTCGGGATGTATGCTTGAAGGCAATATCTGAGCCGAGTATTGCTGTCCTCGCATTGGCATCTCGTTCATGTACGCGCCGCTCGGCAGAGCGCCCGCTGGGCTGTGATCGCTGCTCGATGCATGCAAAAGATCATGCGGCGCTCCGGCCTTCGACGGTGACGTCCCAGAGGTGATGGATGCATGATGGTCGTCCTCCTCTTTGACGAAACCGTTGTCCTCGGTGTCGGATGGGTATGCTTCGGGAAACTTGTCTTCCGACATGACATGAACATATGCCTCGCCATCTACGGATAATTAGCCGAGGAAGTCGATTAAGCAAATCATGATACTGACCGATTTCGCCTCTCTTGAACCTTTCTTCCTGCTTCGCAACCTTGAAAATCTCGTCCAGATAAGGCTTCTTTTTCGCGTTCGCCTTGTTTTCCTTGTCGGAGAAGAATGCCGACATTGCCTCCGTGGTGGCATCTTCAAGCTTCTGTACATTCAAATTCATTTTCAAAATGGCTGCATGCTGATTCTCTTGAGGTTCCACGATCATTCGGAGAATATGGCACAGCAAGTGGACTCGTTCTATGTGAAGCGTTAGCATACGAGAGAAAATGGGTTCGAAAGGATAACTTACCTCTTTTGTAGAGATGGTCAGGCTCCTTGTGTCGAACCTTCTCCTCCTTCGTGGGTCCCCATGGTTTCGGCCACCAGTCTGGTGCCTTTTCGTCTTGACCGGTGTAAGGATGATTCGTCTGTTTCTTGGGCTCGACAACCTTGACCCAGGCTTTGGCGATGAGCTTGCAAGCCGTTTGCTGACAGTTCTTAAACCGTTGCTCGTAGAAATCCCACACGTCCTTTTCGTTCCCGATTCTCAGGTTTCTCATTGGGTTGGACGCTGCCACCATCACATCGTCGTCGTCGTCTACCGGTCTTCGAAAGTTTGTTGTGCCCACTCGATGCCTTTTGCGGGTCTTGTAGCCGGGATCATCGAACATGCCACTTGGTTGGCGGCGGCGATCTTGCGGTCGATGTCCATAACCGCTGCCGAATGTCTGATGGTAGTCGCCGTCAAAACTGAATTCAGAGTCGTCGTGTAAAGGGCTTGGAACTTCAACGCGGGTCAGTCAGGAATGGCTTTGCGCTCGGAAAGAAACATCACGTACCCGCCTCTACGCCTCTGAAATTGACATGTCGCTGGAAGGCCCTCATGTTGAAGAATCTGTCGAACGCGTTCGGTTGGTTTCGCCCTCCGGCCAACGTGTTGCTAAACATCGACGTGCTGCCATCATCCAAGATAGCTGCGACAAAGAAGTGTTTCGCTGGTATGTTGCAATGATCCCTCAATGCCTTACCAATATCCTTGGAAGAGTGTTAGATCATGCGCGATTCGGTTGCTCGCCTCATTCACTTACGAGGGGGGGCCTTCGGCCATCGGGCGCCTCATGATAGCGGCCATCCTCGGGCGGCGGAGGATCTGCTGGATACCGCTCCTGATGCCATTGCCGGGGGTATGCGTCCCGGTTGAAGTCGCGAACCATTGCGACGGTGCAATTGGCTTCAGTAGCACTAGCAGGTAATTGGCATTCAGATGCTGCGTCGAACGACCAGACTCGTCGCTGGGGCGAGTCTTAAGAGGCTCTGGCAAGCGGCCGCGAACGGGCGCGTAACCTTGCCGACAGATTCAGAAGGTGTGAAGGCGAATACGATGTGTAACTGTATGAGTGTCAGACGAGGTTGAAATACAGGTAGCAGCAGAAAAAATAATCATACCTTGAAGCCACAAAGGGCGAAACTTCTGAGATGGCGGGTGTGGGACAGAGGTGAAGATGCAGGTAAGAGCAATTGAGTCAGATATCAATGCTGTTGAACGGTGCTCGAGCCCGGCATGCGAGAAAAGGATGTTTTTCGGAGGACCTGAGGCCTAATGCAGGATGTCGGTGGTTCAGACTTGAGGGTGGCGTGTCAGACTGTATGCGCGAGGGTAGATGCAGCACACAACGCGACTCGTCCCGATGTTTGTATGGCGGGAGGGTCGTTGTTTAGATATTGCAGAGTCGGACTGCGAGATACTAGACTGATTTGGACCAGAACCGTTCTGCAATGGTGCATTGAGGTAATCCGGGTGTCAGGGGATGCAACGGGATCCTGCCTGAAATCGTCAGGGTTGGCGGGCGGACGGCAACCAAACGCGATGCCAGTAATAGAGATAATGCCAGATACTGCGCAGTGGCTGAGGAGACGAAATTGTCTAGCCGGCGGATGGTGATGACGACAAAGAGGACGGTATGTGACTTGTCAAGAACAGTGCTGATGTTTCGAGAGGAAGTTGGCGGAGAAGGCAAGTTTGAGCGACTCAAACGGATCTATCAGCTCGCGGAACTGAACGGCAGGAAGGACCTCAAAGTCCTCTTTGTTAAGAAGATGACTTGAGACATCGGGGGGAGAAGCTCTCCACTGGTTCGCGGTCTGTCTTAGAGAAACTCTCCACGCAATGTCTCGGGGACAATGTGGTAGACTAGGAGAGACGTGTTGATAAGTGAGAGAGATTGGTCAACTGGCAACAGCCCGCGTTTGCGTCCTCGTCCAAAGCCGAGACGGAGAAAACGAATACGCTGTTCGGGAGGGAAGCAGAGAGAGACAAAAGAGCCAATGACCACACCACAGTCTGGAGGGTGAGGGCTCTAGATGAGGTCAAGGCTGCTGGGCTGAGGTGGAGCTTGGAAGACGGATGGGCCTGGGAGGCGGAGGCGATTCGAGCTTGTCGACGGGTCCAGTACTTTCGTAATGATCTGAGTTAGGGCTTCTTAGTGTATCTCGATTGTTGCTGCGGTATGTGACAACAGACGGCTGGGGAGTGCGGGCGAGAAGGAGTTCCCGCAAGCGAAAGGTGGATAACGAGGCCGCAGATGACTTGAGGTCGAGGGGCAGCGAGACCGGCATCCGCAATTGTAGAAACAAGGACAAGCAAAGCGGCAGGAAGTTGGAGCCAGGAGACACCCCGGTCTAGTCGAGGTGAGCTCTCTACCCTCCTTCAGCTGCTGCTAGGTTTTGATCGGGAAAATTGACGCTGGTCAGCCGTAGCACTGCCGTTGCGAAAGGGCCGAACGAAAGGGTCAAGTCCGTCAGTGTAGAGGAAGAATGAACGGACGCAAGCCTGAAGCAGCAGGACAAGAGGTCTTCCGAGGCGAGACTGGCGGCAGTGGAGAAAGAAAAGAAGGGCTTCTCAGGTAAGCCTTGAGGTGGAAGTATGGTCGAGGTACTTGTGAAGCACCAACAGGGGAAGCGAATACATTTGGACACCCTGGTCTGCCATCCTGATAAGGTGTGGCAGGTGCTAGCCAGGATGAGAGGGTCGTCGATAGTCCCATACACCATCATCCAATGCCGCAGCTCAGCGTCTCAATCTATGGCCTGCAGGTGAGGACACCCACACCCCCAGGCTGTCCTGCGGTGTTTGCGCTACTGCGGACAAGGTCTTTCTTGTACAGTACTGAACAGTACTGTACGCATGCTGCACGTACATGGCTGTACCAAGCTCAATACGGCCAAAGATTATGGTCCAACGGAGGGGTTCTCGTCGTCTTTCCGGTAGCAAAGTCCACCCACATGCGCTGTCACTGGGCGTGAATGTTGCAGCTGGCGATCCTCTTGGCTTTCGTTGCTCTCCCAGGGTCCCCGCCGCAGACAAACCGAGGAATGCCGCAACGAGGGCCGAACTTGGATGCTGTGATCGGTCTTGAACCGAGCCATCTGAAGAACACTGCTCGTCCTCTCAAGTCGTTGCTCTACGCAGCTCGACGAGCATTGGTTGAGAGATGGCCGCGGACACTGGAGGTGCTGGCGACAACAAGTCTCTGTATAAACCTCATCAACAGCAAACGCTACTCTGCCGCGTGAGTTACTGGACGGTCTGCGTGGTCCGGTCCATACGACGCCCACCATGCCCGGAGATACATTTGCAAAGGGTTTTGGCAGTCGTCCTTGCGGGCTGGTTGAACCGTAACGGCACAAGCTGGTGTTCTAACCACTGCTGGAAGAGCAGTGTCGAGAAAAATGAGGGAAAAATTCATAATTTGTGTGAATGCATGAAGGTGTGGGAGAGGTCCCTTGTCGATGAGCAGGGGTTGAAGTGAGACAACGGTGGGCCGGGCTGAACGGCGCATCGGTCGGCAAGAGCCTCGCCAGCCATACGGGGCCTTAATTACATGATATTGGGTGCACCGGGGATACTGATTGCATCATTTTCAAAACCGTGCTGTTATCCTGGTGTAGTTGTTTCTTTTTCCCGCGGTGTCGCACGCTCTGAGCGCCTTTTAGGTCACTCTGGGCCATCCCGTAAGCCTTCTGGGACGTCCGCATCATAGGTATCATGAACAGCATGGCCTACGAGGCCTGATGGGGTGCGACCGCTGGTGCAACAAACGTTCCTGCTGTCAGGCCTTCTGACTTGTATGTCGGCAGGACAGATGCGAGCTGCTCGGATGCTCTAAAACGTGGCGGCATTTTGAAAACGTTGCATGCCTTGACTTCTTGCGATACCGACGTGAAAGCAGTTGGCCTTCTTGACATCCTAGAGAACGTTCAAATTGGAGAAGTTCAACGGCTTAGACGCCATAAAAGGTCCATTAGTGCTTGATGAGGTCGATCGAAAGAAGTTTCCCTGGGCGTTGGGCGGACGAGCCGGTATTAGAAACGGTGGGAGCTGGTGACCGCCGCGCGGCCGCAAGATGATCCATGACTCAAAGCTGACCTGTTCGTCTATTGCGGAGTCCATGCCGTCGAAAAAAGCAGCTTGCCAGTGACGGTACGTTGTGCTTGCCCATCTATACTATTCGTCTGCAGCAGCCAACCAAGGGCTTCAAAACCAGAATGTAGCTGAACTCAAGTAAACTCGTCGGTGACGCGAATGACCCCTCGGCATCAAACGGGACGAACACGGCGACCGTCCAGCGGGAGTTGCGCGCATTCGTGAAGGGACGGTGACTTGTTGGCAGCTTTCCAATGCCGTCTCCGTTGTTCAGTGGTCATGGTTCCCCTTGCTTTTGGACGGAGTCGGGCGGGGCGGCTAGGGTAGGGCCCGTCTGTGTCCGTGAGCGTCGGGCGCGACTTATTTTTTGACAGTTCAGGACCAGCGGCGGGAAGCGGTACGGCACGGAAGTTAGTATGTTGAGTGGCAAGCAAACACAATTTTTGATGGGACCTGACGCCCCATCGGAACATGCATAACATGCTTCGAGCTCGCCATTTGAGCTGTGATGTGGTAGAATAGGTACCCTTCCCATTTTATGCTGCTTTCGATTCTAACAAAGTCGACAAGACGTGTACATGACATAGGGACCGGTCAGAACCAGATGGAAGCTGTCGGACGGCTGGTCAGGAAGTCAGGTCAACAGCGGAGAGGGCTGGTCGTGGTCAATGTAAGTCGCTCGTGGGTTGCTCGGAAGTGGACGGACGGCTTCTTGAAGCTGGGGCCGCAAGATGGGATGAAGCCTGCAGCGAGGGGCGGATCAAAACCAAGCATGGCGTGGTCGGGGACATGTTCCGAATGGGGATTCCCTTCTGGCTCGTTCCCAACTCTCCCTGGCGTCCGCTCGCATGTTGAGAGCACAGCTCTGGGATGTATATGTACCTTTTGCACCGTCAGCTTCTGAGCAGTGAAGATCGAGGCAGACGTACGCGACTAGCACACGGCAGAAGCGAAAGAGAACTTACCTGAGGGATGTACAGAGAATCCGTAGTGCACACCAATTGGTGACGAAATGCAGAAAACTGCAATGCATCGATGGATTGACTTGGCGATGCAGCAGGGACGTGTCTGGACCATGTCGCCGCGGACGAGACAAGAACAAAGCTGACGAGTCCGCGTTGGCGTACGGAGGTAGGCTTGAAAGCCCAACGGCTTCGTGCCAGTGCCCGTTCATGGCCCAGGGCTCAGGAATGCAATAAACGTTTGGAGCCAAGGGTGGTGGCTGGCATGTTTGCTTGGTCTTCCAGGGTGGCCGGCGGCTGACCGCGCCCGAAGGGTGCGATGCGTTGCGGTGCGGCGCATGCGGACGGTGCTGATGTTGGTTGTGCATGGGGATCAGAAATGGAAAAGTCCTACTCAATCCACCACGCAATACTCTGTATCTGTGTCTGATGCGGAGGATGCGTGGTATCCGAAAGGTATTGGCGTAGGATACGCGTGATACCAGCCCAGTTCTGATATTCGCCTCAGGTGGTGAACAGACATGGGCATGCTTCAAGAAGTGGAAATAATGGAGAGGAACTGATCTTGAAATGTCATGGTAATTGACTTCATGATTCGACGAAGGCAACAGAATGGCGAAAGCTGGTGATGATGCCCTGCACGCAGCGTTAAGGTACCGAGGAAGGAGGTGCTAAAAGTGATGATCATGAGCTCCCGTCGGATACAATGGAAAGAATGGCCGGGGAAGAAAAGCCAGGTCGGGTACGTACCTTACCCATTTCTCGACACGTTCTAGGTGGGGAAAGGACGCGGCCGCCAGCTTCTCCACCGACTGAAAAAGGATAATGC